GGTGAAAGGATGGGTGGTGGATGGGTAGATGGATGGTGGATGGATGGATGGATGATGGGTAGATGGTGGATGGATGGATGGATGGATGGACAGTGGATGGATGGATGGTGAATGGATGATGGGTGGATGAATGGTTGGATGGATGGATAGATGGGTGAGTGGATGGTGGTTGGATGGATGAATGGATGGTGGGTGGATGGTGGATGGATGGATGGGTGGGTGGATGGATTAATAGATGGTGGATGGATGGTGGATGGATGATGGATGGTGGATGGATGGATGGTGGATGGATGGATGGTTCAGTGATGGCTGATCTTTTCCATTAGCAAAGAAGAGGGAAACTTGCAATCTTTTTCAGCTAGGCCTCCACTGGGTGTCAGTGTGGTTTCATCCAGTAAGGCACTGGTCCCACAGAGGTGGCAATTCTGCCTGTAAGTAGGACAGCTCTATTAGTTTCAGTTTATTTTTAACACTGACTTTAACTTGCTGCTAGACATTCTCCTACTGTGCTGTTGATTAGTTTAGAAATAATTTAAAGTTGCATTGGCCAAGGGTTTTTATCTCTGCTGCCAATGCCCTCACCTCCTCAGTGCCTCATTCCTGGTTAGAGCAGAATGCAAAGCCCACTGTTTCTGACATGACTCTCAAATCAGTCCCACAATGTGTCTTGTTAATAACAGTAGCTTGCATTTGCTGAGCACCCGCTGTGCATCAGGCAGTGTGCAAAGTTTGACAGGCATGATCTCTTTGGATCCTCACAACTCTGCAAGCTGGGTCCCTCATGTTATGGATAAAGAAGCAGAGAGGTTTCTCAAGGTCAAGCAGCTATTTTGGGAATATAAGCAGAATTAGACTCCAATATCTTACTCCAAAGCCTGGGCACCTGAACACTGCACTCTTCTTGCCCCTGATGAACATCCACCATGCATTAGACCCCCAGACAAACAATAAGATGCTGAAGAGGAGACAGATTAGCTCCCCAAGGAGCTGAAATGCAGGTGACAATTATGATCCAGGGTACACAGCACACACAGGATGCTATGGGAACAGGAGAGGGAGCAGCTCCCTCTGCCAAGGGTCATAGCACTGGGGGCATTGGGCACTGTCCAGTACAGTGGCTGTACCAGAACACGGAACACTGTCCCCCTGACCCAAATGGCCATAGATTGGCCACCTTAAAGTCACACACCCCAAATATTTTTGTGTCTCTAGAGATTTGTTGACACCAGTTCAACAAAGGCCAAGTGCTCTTCAAAAGACATCTCAGAATCCCTCCACAACTCATTTCTCCTTCCCAAGGACACTTTCTTGGCAATGGCTGGTGACCCTGAAATAGGTATCAGGTGTTCCCAAAGGCTGTCCATGCCAGGCCAGTTAATCCGGTACAGTGGCTGTATCAGAACACAGAACACAGGGAGCCTGGAGGGAAGTTCAGTGGCAAGGACAACTCTTAGTTAACATCGAAGTTGGGAACCAGGGCTGGGGTACATTCACTTCCCTCTTCTGCCTCCTCATGCTTTTCCATCAGCTGCATGACCCTTAAGACCTTGAACCTCTGAGTCCAGCTCCCCACTACAGAATGAGTTCTTGAATGTAGGCATTGTGAACTACTCATATTCATATACCCAGTGCCTTCCACAGTGACTGTCACTAGGGAGGAACTGAGTAGATATTTTTGTAATTGAGTTGAATTGACCCCTCTCTACTGAAAGTTAGTATACCCCCTCCACACACTTCTTACCTCCATGACCAATCTGGCCTCTCTCTGGAGCTCCTGTTCCAACAGCTACAGCCATAGGTGAACATCAAAGTGCTTTGTTAAAATAGAAAGAATGGCAAGTCCATTTCTGAAGTGAGGATGACAATTACAAATCCAATTTAAGTTTTGATGTTATTTTTATGAATACATGAGTTGGATGTTTCCCACATTTCATACGTAACACGGGGTTCATGAGCTCTACCTCACAGAGAGCATTGAGCATCCCAGGAGACAATGTATGTAAAACATGTGGCAAAATGCCTGATGGATAGTAAGTGCTCAGTAAATGGAAATGCAGAGCCAAGGCTAGGGTGAGGTGAAGAAGAGACCTGCTTCATGTGCCAAATTTAAGGAGGCATCAAAAATTCAGTAATCAAGATAAGTAATTTCATTTCTTAGTCAAGACCCCTATAACAAAGGGCCACAAAGGGGTGGCTTCAAAAACAAGAATTTAGGGTCTCCGTTCTGGACACTAGGAATCCAAAAGCAGTATGCCAGTAGGGCCGTGCTCTTTCTGAGTGCTCTGGGAGAGGGTGCTTCCATCCCTCGAAGCTTCTGGTTGGGCAGGTGTCCTGGGGCTTGAGGGACACCGCTGCCACCTGTGCATGGGTGACTTGTCCTCGTGTCTGTGTCCTCTCCTCTTCTTAGAATGACCAGTCATATTGGGTGAAGGCCCCCATAGGACCTCATTGTAACCAATCACATCTGCAGTGCCTCTGTTTCCAAATAAGGTGACTCTGAGAGACAGAGCGTTAGCACTTCAATAGATCCTTCTGAGGTACCAAATTCAACCCATGACAATCATATTTTTAAATTCTTGAGCAAAACATCCAAATTTCAAAGAAAGGCAGGATCCAACTCTGCACTGGAGCCACCTCACCTCATTCTGTCCGCCCTCTGCCCTGCCTCCCCACAACTCTCCCTGTATCCTGCCTCCTCCTTCTCATCTTAATCCTGGCCCTGTAGGATGCTGTCTTGATTGATAATGTACCTGTGCTGTTGGGGGTGTTGTGATAAAGCAACAGAAGAGATGTTGTAGGGAAATACAGGGAGGAGGGAGGCCTCCCAAGGGATTCTGGTCTAATAGAGGAGAAAACTCTAGAGATGGAGAAAGAAAAAATACAGCCCTGCCTGCTGTTGGCCAGCAGCCAGGCTCACAGCTCCCAGCGAGGTAGTGATGCTGCCCTGCAGAGCAGACAATTTCACAGGGTATCACCATCGATGACTTGCTGTATCCATGCTGGAATAAGACGAAAACTAGGCCACTGCAGTATCATGTCTGGATAGAGAAATAAACGATGACAGTGGGCAACTGGAAAAATAGCGCAGCAGCTACCTCTTCTGGCCACCACAAGCAGCTGTGCCGCTCACCTTTCGAGGCCGCCCAAACCCCCACCTCTGTGCTGCCAGCTCGGAGGTCCCAGCACGGAAGTTGTTCCTCTGGGCTCCAGCAGCACCTTCTTTGTACCTCGCCCACTATCACCACCTACTGTAATGACCTATTTTGTCTATGCCTGAGAGTCTACTACCACCAGTGCTCAAACAGTCCGCAGCAAGGGTCAGCAGTCATGACAGAAGTAGCAGAGTCACTCATGGATTTCCATTGGTGTGCAGAAGGGAGCACAGGGTAGGCAAAGTCACAGAAGTGTGCAGTGCAGGAGGCATGTCTCTCCCAGGCCAGCCCCACCCAGCTATTCCTGACCAGCTCCCATCATCATTGATCTATCACGTCCTGGCATTCATCACACTGCATTGTGATGGGCTGCCTACTGCCATTAGACATAGAGAGCACAGACTTCATCCTGTTTCTCTTTAGGTCATTAATCCCAAGCACAGCACCCTGAGCATGAGAGATATCCAATATGTGTTTGGAAGGAAGGAAGGTAAACTAATGAGTCATCCCTTGTGCTTAGAACCTAAGATGTTTAAAGTGAAGCAATGGAAAATGAAAAGTAAAAAAGTTGGAATCACATTGGATGGAACCTTGTTTGCCAAGGAGAGGGATTTAAATTTCATTTGGTCAGCAATTCGTGGTCACTGAAGTATTGGGGGGAAGATCCCCTGCCATTACTGGCCAAACAAAATGGATAGAACAGAGAAGTGAGAACTTGGACACCAAGTCCAGATAAAATGCTACTGCAACAGTCCAGGCAAAACATGGCAAGCATCTGAAGAACAGTTCTGATAGATACAAAGATCAGGGGATCAAAGTGGGACATATAACAAAGATTTCAAAAGATTTGAAGTCTTACTAGATGTTTGGAATACTTCCTTAATCCTTGCTTTGCCAATATTTGGTTAGGTTTTTAAGCAACAAATCTTAATTATGTTTCACTTGAGTTAGTATTAAATTGGCTCACATGCACTGAACATATGTGGTGGGCAGAAGAATGTCCCTGAAAAGAAGTCCATACCCTCAGCCCTGGAACTTGTAAATATGTTAGGCTATATGACAGAGGAGAATTAAGGTAATTAAACTAAGATAATAAATCTGTATTGTTTTACATCACAATTAAGTCACAGTAATTTGTTACAGCAGGAGAAGGAAACCAATACAATATGTTGCACAAAGGGCTGTGCCAACGGTGCTGGTGACTGAGCCAGATTATAAATCTTGCTGCAAGTGAGCTGCAGACTGAGTGCTAAAGAATTGACCATTTATTTCAAATACCTTTCACTTGTCATTCCTGAAATGACCTCTCAGTGGGCTAAAAAGCTATCTATTTCAAGCTAAAAGATAAGGCATAGTTATTCTCTGCCTTTTCAAATTTCTCTTTTGTACATGAAGGTCTCCATCATTCAGGAAATAGGATTTATCCCAACAGACAGTAGATCCCCACCACCAACAGCAACTGAGTCAGTGGTAGCTTTTCTCTATAAAACATGACGAGTGTATAAAAAACATTAAGTTAATTCCCTTCTTGAGACATCCAATGATGAAGTAACTAGTTTAAAAGTAGAGAAAAGCACTCCAATGCACTCCAACATACCACTATATTATCTCATCCAGCTATAGAAATCCCAGGAGCAGGTATCACTATCCTCATGTTATACATAAATAAATTGGAGCTAATAGAAGGAAAATGAAGCCAAGATCCAAACCAGGGTCTCTAGGACTTCACGCCCTTGGCTCTTCCCATGTCCTTACACAAATGAAAACTCTCTCAAAGCATTACTCCTCCAGAATCTCCAGAAATCTATATCAGATAATGAAAAAAATATCCCCATTTTCTGTCTGCAGTGTGCAGCTGTGTGCACGGAGTGTGCAACAGTGGGATAGATGGTGACGGAAGCTGTGAATGCTACTCTGCGTACACTGGCCCCAACTGTGACAAGCGTAAGTCCTGCCAGCTTCCTTAATGCCCTGCCAGACCAGATAGGCACAGATGGATGCCTTTCAACTTTGTGTTCACATACCGGGGCTCTGCGTGGGTGAGGCACCACTGAATGTTTTCCTGGGAGAAAATCAAAAATTAAAAAGGGAGGAAAAGGAAAGGAAAAGATGGGAAGGAAGGAGAGGGGAGGGAAGCAGATGGAAGGGGAGGAAAGGGAAGGGTAGAGATGGTATAGAAGAAGAAGTTATGGGAGATTTGGGAGTGATGTACTGACATAGCTATGACTTAAGAAGGTCAAGCTGGCAGCAGTGCGAAGGACTGAATAAAGAAAGCTGGAAAACCTGCTGAGGCCATGGCAATAAGTCAGCCGTGCAATAAGGGAGACAACCATGTTCTCAAGTTCATGTCTCAAATACAGAACACACGCACAGGAAATGAAGGTTCACTAAGTCTAAGTGAGTCACCATAGGTCACAAAACTACCAAATAGAAGACTGGGACTCAAATCATTTGAAATTCTTTAAATGCTCTATCCCACAGGGCCCAAGCATGAGATAGGGACCACAGAGTGATTGAAACAAGGAAAGCTTAATAGAAAGAATTAGTAAGCTATGACAGGAGAGTGGCTATAAAAGCACAAAGTGAATTCTAGGGCTGCTGGAGTGTAACAGAGGAAATTTGGAAAGGGGTGGTTATCCCCCAGGCTGAGTTCAAACCTTGTTGGAGAAGGTATGGTGTCAGGCCACTGGGTAGAGGAGAATTTTGCTGGTTTGCCCAAGCCAGCATGGGACCACACTCATCTGGCGGGCAGGCAAAAAGGCTCCAGGACACAGATGAGCCCAGGCTGGTGAGCAAACACACAGAGGAAGCCAGAGTGCTGGGGTGCCAAACTCAGAGTGTGCGACGTCTGTGTGTGAAAAGGGCTGTGGGAAGGTGGCCACTGGGTCCCAGCTGAGGATGCAAGGTGACCAATAGACCATGCACTCTGAATGATGGCTGAAGCAGTGTCTTTACACACCCACACTACTGACAGACTATATGGCAGTGGCAAGCACACACAGCAGAAACAGAACCCTGACAAAGGAAGCAAAGAGAGGAGCCCCTTTTTCCTGCAGTGTCCGCTAGAATCCCCCTACCAGCCAAGCTTCGTATATCACTGTAAAGGAGAAATAGAATCCAGTCCATTATCAAAGAGCGGGTAATGAAGGGTGAATTTGGAGCCAGCCATTAAGAAACTGTGCATAAACAATGAATCTTGGAACACTGAAAAAATTAAATTTATTTTTTTTTAAAAAACTGGACATTCTTCCTGTGACACTAGCCTCACTCAACTTATCCTCTGGATTTTACTCTTCTGATCTGTAAAATGAAGGGACTGGACAAGATTCAGATGCAACAAATTCAAACTCATTTCATAGAAAGTCACTATGGGGCTATGCACAGTAAGGAAGATGAATAAATCACAGCCTTTGTCCTATGGAGGAGACAAACATGCAAGTGAGTGATTCAAATCAACAGCCAAATGAGACTCAGGGGGATAGAATAACCCCTTCTGGAGACTTCAGTCAGCCACCTTTCCTGGCCACTCCCATCATTGCCCAGGGGACTCATGAGCAAAGACCTTTTTAATAAGACAGTAAACCCAGCCCAGAAACCACCCTAGTGGAGAACACAGGTAAATTTGCCTCCTAATGACAAAATAATTCTGCTGAGTCAAGAGAGAAACAATAGACTGGTATGAAATACTTGCAACCCACATGGCAGGGAAATTGTCATAATAATATGAACCCAATTTTAAAATTTGCCAAAGAGCTGCTACTTCTCAGGAGGAGAAATGAAAACTAGGCAACAAGCATAGAAAAGGTGCATGACCCATGCAGAAATCCCAATGAATCACAGATAAATTTAAAACCATAACAAAGTGATATTTTAAGAGGTTTGGAGGTTTGGTTGTGGTTTGGTTTGGTTTGGTTTGGTTTGGGGTTTGTTTTTGCTCACTATGTTACACAGATTGCAAAGAAAGATAATATCTACCTGTGGGTAGGAGAAAAGTTACAGTACAGTCAATGGGGAGATGAAGTGCTACAACCTCTGAGGGAAATTTACCTATTAAATTTTTTGAAGTACACTTACAGTTTGTTGCCATAGCCCCAATTCTAGGAATTTACCTGGAGAAAAAGAGAGGCAGGCACTGGTAGGTAAAAATAAATGTACAAAGAAATCCATGTATTGTTTGTAAGAATAACACGAGCTAGAACAACTTGAATGTCCATCCACTGGAAATCGTTGCATGAACTGTGGTACCTCCTACTCTAGTTAGGATAACGCTAGCTGCTGCAAGAAGCAAATACAAAAATCCAATGGCTTAACACCATTGTACCAAGACATCCCAAGCTACCACATCAAACTCACAGGACTGTTATGGGATATTTTAAACTTTTGAGGAAGACAGTGATGCATCTAGCTTGAGTTAGCTTGAGTTGCTAGCTTGAGTTAGTTCACGATTTCAACATTAGGTAGCACTAGATCCCTTCTAATGATACCATCTTTACAAAACTGTATTTTCAGTGCTTGCTAAGATAAAAAGCAAGTATCATGCAAAAAATCTTTCAGAATGGAATGAGGGTGGTAGTCTCCAATCTGATTCCAAGGTTGGAGAAGTTGGGCCGTGTCCAAAAAACTCACATATTCCACTTATTAGTAAATGTGGTTATTTAAAAATGAAATAAAAATATTTCTCTTATTATTATTATTAATACTAACCACATTACTTTTTCAAATGGTTACTGAGGTCTCATGAGACACTTACTGAATTCTTCGGTTCTAACAACTGAATAAATGGACCTGGTCGATATTTCTTTTAGACTGGGATACCATGAAAACATTAAGACACTAAACCCATGACCCGAGAATTTGGGGAACCTCCAGCTTAATATAACAGAGTTGTAATTCTTACTCATGTATAGTCCTGTGTGGGTGTTTGTGGCTGACACCAGCTTCCCACCACATGGTGATTAGGGATCCAGATCTTTCTATTTTGTGCCTCTGCCATTCCATAGCAGCTCAGACTGTTGTTTTGAGTCATGGAAGGAAGAAGAGAGGTTGGAGAAGCCCCTGCTTATGAAATCCGGAATGACAATCCAACTTCCTCTCAATATCCCACCAATGAAAAGTAGTCATGTGACCCCACCTAGATGCAAAGATGGTTTGGAATGTAATCCTTGAAAGGGCAGCCACTTTCTGGAAAGAGTTGTGGGGGGATATTCTCTACAAATGTTTGGTTCAACTGGCCACTGTTGGGGAAAATTCTCCTTGAGTATCTCGTATTTGAACACCTCTTGAGGGCAGCTCACTGACTGCTCTTTGTTCCAACATCTTTTCAGGGATGTTTGTATTGCAAATAGCCTTGGAAGGCTTGGGAACAAAGTGTAGGCATGCATACTGCCTGCTCGAGGTATCAATGGATTACCTTTCAGCTCAAAATTCATCCTTTTTGTCTGCTCTGTGAAAAATGGAGGGGAATTTTTAAATACATCTCATTTGCCAGCCCAGGAGGTAAAAGATGATGCATAGAGGGTGCTGGAGGGACACTGAGGAAGGAAGGGTTTTCTCTTCCTGTTTCTGCTATCGCTCATTCATGAGGGCCCCCACAGAACTTGGGTTTTCTCCACTGTTCAGCCCTCCAGTTTTTCCAGTGCTAGGTCCCTGCAGGACTCGGCTTCCTCCAGTGTTTGTCTACCATGTACCTTGACTAATGCTTGAGTCAGGTGGCGGTGGCAGGGCCAGGAGCCCCGGACAGCACAGGCCTGTGCCCCACCACACAGAGGTGCGCTTGCTCTTTGGTATGCCTTCTCTTCAGGGCCATGTGTGCCAAGGGCCCTGCAAGGCTGACCATCTGGAGAGCCAGCCACATCCCCTCTCTCCCACATGGCCGGCCCCTGAAGCCGCCCTGGTCCCAGCCACATGCAGAAGTATGCTGCCTTTCCAAGGGAGTAGCTTCTCAGCTTCTGGCTCTGGCAGCACTCAGTGGCAAGCAGCTTCCCCAGGCACCAAATGAACCCTGAGGCTTGGCACCTGCTTGTGGATGACCTTCCTTGGAGCCCTAAGGGGAAGATTTCCAGCAAGTCTCACCAGCACGGCACCTCAGCGCTTTCTCCACCACTTAGTGACCAAGCCTTGCCCTTGTCCAGTGACACCTGGGTCTCAGTCCTGGAGAGGCTCTACCTTGGGTGCTTATTTCAACCCTGGTGGAATGGTTACTTTGTATATATCCACTATTGCTTCATTCTTTAGAACTCTTTCTAACTCTCTTGAATTTTCTGCTGGTAATTCTTTACATGAAAACATTCCCTACTCAAATAATTGTGTGGTATTGTCTCTTGCCTGGCCCTAAATAATATATTACCTATTATTTAAAAAAAAAAAAAAAAAAACTTAGGTTCCCTAAAATTGGGGCTCCTCCCCTGTAATGCAATCCAGTGCAGCCTCTCTCTGCATTGTCCCAGTGTACTTGGGGCTTGGAAGAACTGGTGCAAAAATGCCACCACTCTGGCTACTACTCTTGATGTGAGTAATAAATTGTCCTTCACCTCTGACCCAGGAGTCTCATAGCTTCTACCAGCATCCGTGGAACTGTATTAGCCTAACTTCTTAGCTTTGCACATTGGATAACATGTCAATTTCCTTGTTGTTGACAACCATCTGTGCCGCCCAGATGATGAAGTACTATGTAGTTATTAGAGATTAAAATGGATCTTTAAAAAACCTCCATAATATATTGTTAAATTAAAAATCAAGTTGCTAAATATCATCACAGGATTCTATTTTGGTTTAAAAAAATCACCTAAATAAATTTGTACATGAATGTAGTAGATTGGCTGTTGATATTGTTTACTTTGAGAGTGAAATGGAAGAATGAGAATGAGAAAACAGTTAATTTTTACTTTATAGATTCTGTGTTTTTCAAATTGTCACAGTGAGTCTTTTTTAATTATTTTTTTAATTACAAAGAACACTGCATTGGTTGAATTTTTTGGAATCAGTTATTCTACTAATGTGGGTATCTCAAAAATCTTCCTTTGCAGCCATCCCTGAATGTGCAGCCTTACTCTGCCCTGAAAATTCGAGATGCTCACCTTCCAGCCAAGATGAAAGGAAACTGGAATGCAAATGCCTTCCCAATTACCGAGGCGATGGCCACTACTGCGAGCGTGAGTCGAATTTAGATCCTGCTAGCTCATTAATTGAGATGTTTAAGTTACTCAACGGAAAAAAAAAAAAAAAAACAACCCTCACAACCTCTCTAATATTAACACAATGGCACTTCTATTTTTCTCTATGTTAAGTTGAATGAAATATATAACAAGTGCTGAGCACATGCTCATCCATGATAGCTTTTCAATAAATGGCAATCTCTCCTTTTATCATCAAAGCACATAAATAGATTTTTACACATAGTTTTATATCAACTGTACTGATGTTAGGACAAAATACAGTCTGTCTTTCTCTCCTTTCCTTTCCTTTCTTTTTTTTAACTTAAATTCCATTAACCAAGGAATAGCACATCATTAGTTTTTGACATAATGTTCAGTGATTCGTTGGTTGAATTAAAGAGGGCACGTGGTATGATGAGCACTGGCTTTTATATTTTCTTTCCTTTCCATGCTCATTTGCTTTGTGAGAGATTGTGTTGTGTATTGACGTGAACTCTGGAGGTAGACTGCCAGCATTCAAATCCCAGATCATCTTATTACTAAATATAAGACCTTGGACAAGTTCTTTAACTTGCTTGTGCCTCCATTTTCCTATCTATCAAATGGGGCTAATAACGGCTCCTACCTTACAGAGTTGTTGTAAGGATTAACTGAGTTAATATATGGCAAATGCTTAGACAAGGCCAGTACCTATTACAAATACCACAAGCATTAGTGCTTTCTTTCATGCTATTTTATATTTAAATCCACACAAATGTGTGGATTTATATCTATCAACATAATATTTATAGCTATAATCTCTGACAGCCATATATAAACCTGTTCAACAAGTGAGGGGCATCAGATGTGGTAAGATGAACTGTATCTTACTCTCTCTCTTAAAACTATCCAACTGCCTGTGCAACTTTGATGAGCTCATACCCTGTCATTCCCTTTCAAGCCATCAATCCATGTTTACAAGCAATCTGCCATCCCCATGCTCATTGCACGTACCTGGGACCAAATCGGCACAGTTGCACATGCCAAGAAGGCTACCACGGAGATGGCCAAGTGTGCTTACCAGTAGACCCCTGCCAGACTCACTATGGAAATTGCCCTACAGAGTCTACAGTGTGCATATATGACGGGCCCGGACAGGTGAGAACATGAGGCATGGGACTAGGGTGTCTAGAAGTAGGACAGCCCACCAAAGGTAAAACCATGCCATGGGTATCACTTGTCTGCTAGGTTCTCCCACTTTTCCCTTTCAATGCTCAGCTTGGGGTTCCTCTCCCATTAGACCTCCCTGTGCTCAGGGCTAACCTCAATGTGTCCCCTCCCCAGTCCATCCTCTGAACTCACACTTTCCCAGCACCCCCAGGGAAAACTAACTGTCCTACATTCTCTTATATCCTGCTCCTCAATGGCAATTGACAAAATATATACACAACTCAAATCAGATTAACAAATTAACTATTAAACACGTCTTGGGTGAATATGTCATCGACTTTCACCTACAATCCTCTATTCTCTCTCATATCCTTTCAAGGTGAGAGAGGACTCTTAGAACCAAAAATATTCTGTCCCAAAGAGAGGAGACCTGATAAAATGTCAGGCAGCCCTGACAGGTAGTAGGGAGCAGTGAGGCTATTCTGGGAGGAGACCCTGTCCCTCTAAATCACATCATGGCCTTGACTGGTGAAAAACAGCCAGGTCTAGAGATCTTTGCTGAAGAATCCAGTTGAAAGAGCCCTTTCACCAATACCTCATTCTTCCACCAACTATTTAGTGGGTGCCCACTGAGTCCATAACTGCACATTAAGCTCAGCAGAGGAAATATCTCTGTACAGTAGGATATTGCTGCCCTGGAAAGACGAAAGGCTACGGGGCCTGGCCCAACTAGCCATGTGTCCCCAGCAATCCAATCTCCCCATGGCAATGCTCCAGGAGTTCCCTGTAGAGAAATGACCCAATCTCATCTTCAGGGGAAAACGTATATTACATGCCATTTCTGCTCTCAATGTCTGAGGAAGGTTTGGAAAGAAATTCAAGGAGCTGAGCCTCCATCCTCAAAATGAGAGCCCTTATGGGAAAAGCCACATTATACTCTGAGCAAGGTCCCAGAACTTTGGGAGTGAGATTAAAAATAAACTTTATCTCTCAAAAATGGGGCCCAAGGCAGATTTTCAAGTCTTAGAAATCCCCGTTATTCACACAGCAGCAGGGCATTCATTATTCCCACTATTCCAGAGTAGGGTTCCTCAACTTTGACATCACCAGCATTTTGGACTAGATAATCCTTTGTTGTGAGAGTTGTCCATGCATTGTAGGATGGTTAGTAGCATCCTTGGCCTCTGGTGACCCTGCCCCCTGTCTCCTGTTGTGAGAATCAGAAATTTCTGGAGACATTGCCCAATGTCAGGTTGAGACTCCTAGTTGAAAACCACTCTTTTGGAGCATTTGAGCATCCTATCTCTCATCTGAGCCTCATCTCTACTCACCTGCAGATATTCTAAAGCCAGAAATTATGGATCTAGAAAGGCCCAGGGTTAGGAAACAAGAAATCTAAAAAGGTAAACTTTACCAACCAAGTGTCATTTCCCAATGGGTGAAATACATAGACATGACTCCCAATTCCAAATACTTTGACAAATTTTTAATTGAAGTCCACACCTTGGACTTACCCCAAGTTAGTTCTTATGGCAGAATACAGATAGACTAAAGAAGGATGTCAGCTTCTGTGACTAACGAGAACCCTTTGTTTTTCTCTCCCTATCTTCTGAAGTCTCACTGTGAGTGTAAAGAACATTACCACAATTATGTCCCTGGAGTGGGGTGCAGCATAATCAATGTCTGTGAGTCTAACAACCCCTGTCACAGGAATGCTAACTGCACTACCATCGCACCAGGCCAACCCAAGTAAGTCTGTTCAGTTCTACCACCTTCTTTCCAAGTAGTGGCTAGTCAATGATGTAAGCTCCTCAAAGGGCAGGAAATGTGTCTTGCTCAGTCTTGTACCCACCATACCCCCATCTAGCTGGATGTGAGATACCCAATACATCTTTCTTTAATCACTGAATCATTCAACAATTGTTTCCTTTGTAATGACCATTAGAATACGTTGAGATACTGACGTGGACTGATAACTGGGTAGTAAGTGGTCAGAGCGTGGGAGAAGGAAACCACTGTAGCTGGGAAAACAAAGGTCTGCTGTGATGACAGGCATTTGACCTCTAATGTATATACCTGTTTCCTCATTCATGAAATATTGCTTGCTAGTGGTGCCAAACAAGACTGGGGAAGGTGAATAAACACCAGTGGTGTTTCCTGGACTCCAGGTTTTAAGAGAAGGGACTTACCGAGAGTAAAAATATTTGTGTGAAAACTCCTGAGGCAAAGGCAGCTTGTGTGGTGGTATTTAGAGGTGAAGGACCTGGATCTGAGTCTCAGTACTGGTATCTACCAGCTGAATGACCTTGGCAAAATGACCCCATATCCCTGGTCTTAGTTTCTCCATGTATGAAATGAGCACAGTGATGTCCAGTCATTATGTTGTGAACATTCCATGAGAGAATGTTCTAGAAACTACTATACAGCTGTATTATGTTTTCATTAGTGGGTGAACTGAGGCTAGAACCCCAGTCTTTGACTCCCAGACCAAGGCTTCTACCCTCTGCATCACTTCCTGTTTTTATTGTCATCAGCATCTGTGAAGGACTCACTACCACTATGAGCTCAAAGCCATAGTAGACATTGAACCATGTAATAACTAACCAGTTTCTATGTTTGCAGAGCTCCTTTTCATCTGCTTCAAAGTTTATTTTTATAGTTGGGTCTCGAATGTGTGGATATGCCCCAATAGGTTTTAGGATTGTCATGTTTTATTGTTAAATAAGTAAATATGTATTCCCTGTGGGTAGTCAAGAGAGCTTGGACATCAGAACACCTGGGTTCAAGTCCCAGCTCTGCCATTTACCTTCACCTCTCTGAATTACATTTTCTCTGTCGTAAAAGGAGAGTTGTACCTCCCACCAGACTTGTGATGAGGAGTACATGAGTATGTACTCATCAGTCTCAGAGCAGAACCTGGCATATAGAAATCACTCCACACGTGTGCATGCACACACCAACACACCACAGTTGTGCATCTAGGCGCATCCGCACCCAACACACATGTGTGTACAGGTTACACACTTTTTGCCATCCTCTCAGAAAGTCTGAGTACAATTCTTTAAACACTTTCTCTCCTTTGTATTTGAGAAGATAAAATAAAAAATGAAATGGAGGAATATCAGAATCATGTAAGTGGTATTAAAGCTTGTGTTTAGAATATCAGTGGGGCTACCACTTGATCCCCTTAATCACCCTCCCCCAAAAATGGACTGTCTGGGAAGGCTGGAAAGAGGATGAAGTTAAAGCCTGGCTATGTTACACTGATGAAATGCGGGGCCATCACTAACTTAGTGCAGATAATTTAGTTTACCTTGGGTAAGATTTATTTTGTTTACACCTCTTCAATACAGCAAGGAGCTTATGCAGAATATTCAAAAGTCATATTATGTTAGTCCCAGAGGTCCACCCAATAAAGAAGAATGGGCTCAAACGTGGGTTCTCTCACTCACCACTGCAGTGACATTGGACAGGCCATGTAAGTTTTCCTTCACCCGACAAGTCCACCAGAGACCAATAGCATCTCCTTAGGAAGAAGAGCGTTGACCCTTATAAGCATCATTTTAAACTATCAGCTCCATGTTAATTATTACTAAGAAGAAAAAACAGCTTCCTGCCCTGCCCTGGACATTACACTTAGAGCATCCCATTCTGGCCCTCCATCATCTACACCAGGGCAAGCAGTCGGAGAAATAAGGGGACAGGCTCTCCCAGGGCCTGAGCCCCCCTCATAGACCATACTCATGTAGCTCTGCCTAAATGCCTCCAGACCAGCTTCCAGGACCTGTGCAAGCTCTTCCTGGTATGATTCTCCCCAGGGCATGGCCAAGAGTTGTTTGCAGAGGGTATGGACGAGCAACATGGTTTCCACCACTCTCATGACCATCCTCTTGGCTCTGGTTCCACCTTCCTACTCTTCTTGAAACATGTCATGACGTTCCCAGCTCTATACACTTGTTCATGCTATTCTCCCGCTTAGACATCACTCCCTCCTCACCTCCTCCAAGTCAGGCTAGCATACTGATCCTTCACTGTTCATTGCCTCTCAGCCTTTTGGCTAAGATCAAGTGATCTTTCACTGTTCCGGTCAAGTGTCCCCACCTCTAGGATCTCTTCCCTGTCCTCTCAGCCCAGTCAGCATCCCCCAGGCTCCCTTGAATGCTTCTGTATGTAGTACATGCGTAGTTCAGTGGTGATGAGCACAAACACTGTGACCTACAGGTTGGGTGGTCTTGAAAAATATACTTAATCTATCTGTCCCACTGTTTCCTCATCTAAAATGGGGCTAAAACCAGAAGCCACCTCACAGGATTGTAGTACTAAAAAAGATACCACAGTAAGGCCCCTACCAAGGTAACTGGAATAGCAGCTATTAATAGATATTAGCTATTAGTGTTACTGATCTCAATTCCCAATTAGAATGTAAGATTCTGGGGGTCCATGTCTTAGTCATCTTTATTGCAACAACTCCTGTCACCCATTACAACAATGACTTGAGTGACACTTTGGAGGAACAAATGAATCAATAAAGGACTGAAATGAACAAGTGAACAAGCGAAGGAAGCAACTGTAGTAAGTAACCCTATAATTTCACTAAATCTCATCCAGTGCTCTATGTAATTAATTCCATCCCATAACTTATAAAATGTGAATGGCTGAGGGGTGTTTTTAGAGCAGTAAGACAGCAGGAGACCTTCACTCCTAATAAAGAAGCAATTTACAAAAGGGGGCCCTGCTGTGAATGTGCCATGGCCAGGTGAAAGCCTTTAAGTCAAAAAACCGTCTCATGAGATCTCAGACTCCAGACCAAGATTTTAAACAACAATTAAAAGTATTTATATCCCACACATTCCATTCAGCAGTGTCACCATTAAAATGTGATTCTGCCATCCTGAGGCAAGATAAGTCAAGTCACTTTATACAAAACAGACTATTGGCCTCCTAACAACTTAGGGAAATTTTAGAAACATACTTAGCAGTTTGTACAGGTTACTTATTTTGCTATTATCAGCTGCCTACAAATGAAATGTACATAATTAAGATCAAGGACTGTAGTATCACTCTAAGAGTTACCAATCGTCCCTGGCCCGCACCCGGTGCTTCTCAAACTCACTGTCTTGGAGCACAAGTCTAGTGGAGGAAGTTGATGTTTGAGGAGGAAGCTGTTATTTGACTGTATCAAGTAGACTACTGATTCACTGTTCGATCTACCTGAGTGATTCCTCATAACAAGGTTTCTCAAGCTCAGCACTACTGACCTTTGGGGCTGGAGAACACTTTGCTGTGGAGGCTGTCCCCTGTATTGTAGGGTGTTCATCAACATCCTTGGCCCCCACCCACTAGTTGCCAGGGGGACCTTCACTTCTGTTCTTACAACCAAAAATATCTCCAGACATTCTCATATGTCCTCAGGGAACTCTGGTTGCTCTATGAAAAATTCCAAAACTTCAGTTAGTAAATGATCTGCCAATCATCCATCTGGCCGGGAAACTCATATGCATCCTAGAATTCTCTTCAGTGGTACTTTGTCTGAGAACCTGTCCCTTATTTCTCCAGGCACAATTAGTCACATCCTTCTCCATGCCCCAGAGCATCCTATTCAAGCCTCCATCATGGCTCTTTCCAGAACTTCAGCTGTGTGGTTATGGACTTTCTCTACTCTATCCCAGCTCCCCACACCCCCCCAGGACTGGCACTATTACCATCATCTCCACCATCACCATCACCATCACCATCATCATTGTCATCGTCATCATCATCATCATCATCTACCAAGAACCGAGCTTTTCCTATGTGTCTGTCACTGTGCCAGCCCTTGTGCATCATCTCTTCCACTGGCAACCCTAAAGGTATTAGTAAACCCATTTCATGGATGAGGAAGCTGAGACTTTAGGAGGTCAAGTGGCTTTATCATGTTGCTCAAAATTGTTTGATTTCAGGCCCATCTTCAGCATGTGAGACAATAAAAGGGCAAGATGTCCATTATCATCACCTTTATAGCCTTCCTCCTTGGCAAGCTTCCTAGAATTAAGTAGATACTTGGTAAATAATCAGTTCTACAATTAGGCATCATCCCAAGTGCTGGCATATAATGAGGAAGGAGTGGGAGGCAGGAGCTTTCCATCCAGCAGAGGAGACAACACCTTAGGAGCTCATTTTGGTGGAGAGGGTTGTGACGGATAAGGTACCCACAGGCTGTCAGGGCGAGTCAGGAGGCCAGGTAAGACTCCTTAGAGCAGGTCATGCTGAGCCAAGAGGTGAGGCCAGGAGACCATTCCTGGAAGGGCACATGGCCTGAGAAGGGCATCCCAGTCTCTAAAAAAAGAAGGCAATTTGGAATTGCTGGAATTTGCAGCATGCAGCAGAAAGGAGACATAAGCAAATTCCCCTTTTGGGGGTCTTCCAGGCCATGCTAAGCACTTTGAACTTCTTCTGTATGGAGTCCATGTCATTTTAAGCACAAAGGTGCCGGATTTCCCTTCTGGAGAGACCACTCAGAGGGTGGTGTGAAGGACCGATTTGAGGGGAAAGAAAGTAAGAGCAGAAAGGCCAATTAGGAAGTCACCACATCAGTGCAGGCAGAGGTAATAAAACTCTGAAATGTTTGTTCAGCAAACTTGTTGAAAATGTCTATTTGCCATGGGGCCATATTTGGAAACACAACTGGACTCATGAGTGTATAACTGGCCTTTGGAAGCCTCTCATCAACGTGAGTCATGTCTGTGGTATGAATGGCTGCAGCCTCCCTTCAGCTCTCATCTCTGCAGTGCCCCTCCCCTACCTGGTGTTTGGTTCTCCACTTATCCCAGGATCCTGTGCAGTGTTGCCTTCCCAGGCACCTTGCCAGCTTCAGCCGGCTGTCAGCTCACCTTTGCTAGGTAGCAGTGGTGTGCTACAGCCAGGGCTTCCCGAGTTGCAAAAGCTGATGGTTAAATTTTCAGGATTTCAGGATTCAGTCTCCCCCTCCAATTTCCCCCAACTCACTTCTCCTCTCCTTTAGTCTTTTATGAAACTATTGTATAAAATTTCTGTAAATTTCATTATCTATGTATTTATTCCAAATCAATTACCCCTTATCATTCAACTGTTAATTATATACCTGCTCTGAACCGAGCCCTGCGCTAGATCATGACATTAACACGGGGCATAAATAAGCACATGACCCTTGCCCTTACTCTGCTCTCAAGTGAGGGAGTTGGACTGTAGGATCTCAATGCTCAATGGCTCTAAGACCCTGAGAATGTGTTTCCACCCTCCCTGTAGATGCACTTGCCAGAAAGGTTATGTGGGTGATGGCTCAACATGTTATGGAAACATCATGGAGCGACTCAGAGAATTAAACACTGAACCTAGAGGAAAATGGCAAGGAAAGCTGACCTCTTTCATCTCACTCCTGGGTATGTAGCTATGGGTGCAGGTTTCTGCATAAAGGGCAACCATCTGTCAGGCAAGGCATCTGCAAGACACAATCATCCAGAAAGGGGTAGGCAGGGGAGGAATCTATTGGAATTGGCCTTCCTACGGAGACATCATGCAGGTGAAAAAGAAAGAACAGGCTGCTGTTTCCAAGGAGATAAGGAGTTAGTGCCAAGAGGTCCAGCAGTGCCACAGTTAGTAGGCAGAATGCTGACGACAGGGTCCTGGGCTCACTATAGATTACCAAGTAGAGAACAATGAGACAGAGTAGCTATTAATACGAAGATGGAGACCATCCTCTTTCCCTTGACCTTGTGGGTCCTCCAGGTGTGAAGCAAGGTTGGCAGATAATACTGGGAACAGAGAGTGACTAAAACCTGGGAGTGTATCCATGTTCCACAGTGCTATGAGTTTTGAGAATAGTTGGTGAGACCTTCTCACACACTGCTGGATGTTCAGCATTGTTGCCCTTCCCCCTCTCCAACCACTAACTCTCTGCATTGACACCTATTCTCCCAGCCTCTCAGTCAGGGTGACAATCTAAAATGCCCTCATCATTTCCAATTACCCTCTAGGGTCATTACTCAATACCCCCTTGACAATGAATTATTACAGCTGATTACAGCATTGGGCAAGACTTTCAATAAGATAAAAATTTGACCAATCAACAGAAAGTAAAACACAAATTTGACCAATCAACAGAAGCCTTAAAATATCAGTATCAAGAATTTGCCAGTCACCAAAAAATGATCTCGCAGAAAGAGCACTGATAGAGAATGGATCAATGCGACGTTGTTGGCATAAATATATAGTTAATGCATTAGGTTAACATTAGAATTAACATATGTTCTTAACATACAGTCTGCACAAATGACCTCTTTCCAAGGCAAGGCATCCTACAGGGAGTCATTTGTGGCATGCTTCTGGCTTCTTATAACTCTCCTCTAAGAACTCAGACTATCAAATAACAGACAGGGGTGACAGAGTGTCCTTTGCAGACTCTGCTCTCAAACATTTTCCTGGACAAAATCCCGTCGACCTTCCACACATTTATGAAATGCCGGTCCACATTGTCTGCTATGTGACAGCCCAGAGCCCTCCCTGATGTCTCAGGTTCTCCAGGAGAATGAAAACAGGACCAGCTACATAACTTGCAGGACACCATGCAAAATGACAATATGGAGTCCTTGGCTCAAAAATTAATGAACATTTCAAGGTGGCCACAGCAGAGTATTAAATCAACCATGAGGCTCTTCTGAGTTGGCCTTGGATAGAACAAAGCTGTGTCTTTGCTCACTGTGATGGCAAACAGCTCAGAAATTCAGGCACTGGGTCAGGGACATGCTGGGATTTACTGAGGATTTTGTCACATGACCCTCATAGAAGGTCTTATCCCAGGCTCTCCTTGAAGTCACACTGTGGCTGCAAGAAAAACCACACAGTTATGTAGATGCTTCTGGGGCCATGGCGTCATGGTGCCTTGCTTTCTTAGAGCTTCCCAGTTTCCCAAGGGCCACACATATTAATTAGAAGAGAAGAGCTCTTAAGTCAAAGGACCTAAATGGACCGCAAGGACCATTGCTTGATTTTACTCTTCACGTACCACTGATTCATTTGGTGTTTTCTTTGTTTATGTATTTCTATTCCTAAGACAAAGCCTATGCCTGGCCACTAAGTAAACTGGGACCATTCACTGTGCTTTTGCCCACAGATGAGGGACTGAAAGGATTCAATGTAAGTATTTAAAATAAAGTGGGAAGCCCCTATTAAAATTAAATCTACTGTGATTAGAATGGTGATTTAGAGGGGGGCAGCAAACTTTAAGTGAAATATCACACCCTTACAGAAAGTATACAGATTGTACGTGCACAATTCAATGCAGTGTCACAGAGTGAATGTACTTGTGTATCCAGCAAGACCATTACCAGCTCCCTAGAGGGCCCACCAATGCCTCCTTCCAATCATGACCCATTCAAGGGTAATGACTGAGGGAACTTAAAGGTAGTCATTTGATAAATAGGATTTGCATAATGCAAAACTGCTTAATTCCTGTGAGAAGAACTGACCTAATATATTAACTATATTTGCTTCTTTAAAATCATCATAAGTGATGGGGTGCCTGGCTGGCTCAGTCGATGAGGCATCTGACTCTTGATCTCAGCTCAGGTCTTGATCTTAGGGTCGTGAGTTCGAGCCCCATGTCGGGCTCAATGCTGGGTATGGAGCCTACTTTAAAAAAAAAAAAAAACATAAATGATAAAAGTGGTAGAGGAAAGTAGGAGAACACAGTAGTCTTCCCTGTGAGCAGCTGTTGTCTGAAGTGATATCATGCAGTGGGAATAAAACTCAGGGTGCCTGGTGGAGGCATCCTGTCATGACAGTGTTAATGAAATTGTTATATTTGGTTGAATGGAGATAATGGACATATTGATGTGTATTAAAGTGGTTTCTCTTAATCCAAGATATTTTGTGATAATAATTTTTGCTGCATTGAATAAAAACCCAGGAAGTTCCAGACCCCCCTCACCCTAATATGCTACCACCATTGGACAATCTGAGGTGAATCAACCATTAAATTTCAGATATAGCCTCACATCCTCCTACAGTGGGGGAGAACTCACAAATATTGAATGTCTCTGCATGAGGTACTTTGCATGAAGTCTCTCATTTACTATGTAGATTATTTAACACAAAGTTAATTAAAAGAATCTGTTGATTGGTTGCTGATGATGTATAATACTGACAAAATGTAGATTTGATCCAGTAGATTTCAAAAATCCTAATTTTCCTGTTCAAAAGCTCCATGGATCTAGTCTGCACTTTCTTTTCACATAACTTCTTGTTTCATCCACATCTGCTCCCTGGGTTCAAGTTGATTCCTGGATGCCTGCACCTTCCTCACTCTTGGTGGTTTGAGAGGACACTGAGCACCACCTCCTACCCTCTAGATTGTGCTCCCCGCCAAAGTCACCTGTGTCTGAAAGAGCCCAGCCCTGAGTTATGGTGCCTTTGCATTGATGTTTTTGATTGACTAATGCATCCCTCACAACCTCATTTTGTCCTTCAAACACCAGTGGAAATTGAAAGAACTGGCTCTCTTTCCTCAGATCAAAGAGCTCTTGATGGATAAGGAGGCTGCTCAGTACTTCGTGAAACTCCACATAATTGCTGGGCAGATGAACACCCAGCGTATGAATAACACAGACACTTTCTACACCTTGACTGGAAAGTCAGGAGAAATCTTCAATGGTGATAATGTAAGGCTTTCTCTGATTTTCACTTCCAGAACAAAAGTGTCCCCTGAGCTAGTGCCCATAGCCAACCCTATCCGTGGTTGGGTTCATGAAGGTTATGAAGAACTTCCTTCCTTATTCCTTGTTTGCCAAAGCACTTCCCTGTGAGGGAAGAAGCGGAGAGCCACACCGGAAGGATCGGGCAGGTGGGATCTGTTTTGGAAAGGGGGATATAAACTGTTGGATTTTGCTCTGGTCTGAATTCATCCCCAACAGAACATCATTCAGGTGCCAGCAAGAAGCAGCTTTGTAGTAAACGTCTTTCCTGGAAGCACCAGCACAAAGCCAGATCCGCATCCCCCTTGCGAAAGGAAATGGATTGTTTGTTTTAGGTTGCTGGGGTTTATCCATCCTCAGCACACCTAGCATTCCATCTCTCCTAATGCTGTTAGTTCTGTTCCGTTGTTTAAGTAAAAGTACCTTCCTCCCCTCTCACAAATAACCCTTTCTCTGACTTCACTGAGCCAGAGGGGACATGATCAATAGACAAAACATGATGTATGGTTTATGGCCTATATTGTTGCATTTCACCAAATGTCAGTAGTTGTTAGATTATTGAGTACTTACTCTATACGAAGGACTGAGATGAACTTTTATTTATGTTACATAAGACTTGTAAAATTCAGTAAAGATGATTTCTCAAGTGGGAAAACTGAGAGATCAAAAGTAAGGGCCAAAGCCAGGATTCAAATGCAGATCTCCTTGACTCCAAGACCTGAGTCATTAACCAGTATGTTGTACTGTGTGTGTGAGGATTAAAGAATGGATGGATGGGTGGTTGGATGGATAGGTGGACGGATGGATGTATGAATGGATGGACAATTGATAGATATCAGACAGATGGATGAAAATGTATCTTCTTTTCTCACAAAGACATTCTTTCACCAATTCATTCATTCATTCACTCATTCACTCACTCATTCGTTTACTCATTCAACATGTATTTATTATCTATAGCTTTTAAGAGCCACATGAAAGGAAGAGGGAATTAGCTTCAGTCATTTATACAACAAAAAATTTTTATTTTGTGCCTTGTCCACACAACACACTAAAGTAGGTGATAAGTTTACAGTAAATTGAATCACTTTGCCCTTTCTGACCTTGCAGTCTATTTGGGGAGACTTATGATTCCATTCACATTTAGCAATCCCTACTAGCCATCAGTGATTTCACACATTATCTCATTTGATCTTAATGAATGAAAGACCTATGAAGTCAAGCAAGCAAATGACACCTTTCCCATTTTAGGTTAAATGACTTATTGAAAATCATATAGCCAATAAATGACAGAACCCAAAGACTCAGTACTTCTAATCCAACATTTCTTCAAGGATACCTTGTTAATTTTATTTTTTTCTTGGTGATTTAGGACAATCAACTAAAGCTTAAACTCTATGGAGGCAAAAATAATGTAAAAATTATACAGGGGGACATAGTTGCTTCCAATGGGCTCCTGCACATCCTCGACAGAGCCATGGACAAGATGGCACCCACATTTGAGAGCAACACTGAGGTGAGCATTTCAGGTAAAAGTTAGGTCAACCCAAATCTATCTTTCTTTGTTCCCTGGAGAGTCATATCAAAGAAGAAAATGCATGTCCACACTATGTGCTTGTCCTTCATCTTTACTAGGACCCTAACCATGGAGAAAAAGGGATAATTTCTGTCTTCAATAGAATTCTGCCAACAGAAAGAAAAACATACGTTGCATTGGGTGTTGGAAAAGATCTCCATTTTATTACCTCTTTTATGGCCACATATGAAGATTCAGTCCAATGACCAGTTGTCATGAACAGTTACCCTTTATGGAGCATGGCAGTCCTCACTGTGATAAAATTTTATTTCTTTTTACTCATTTGATAATGCCCAAACATGCAGAACATGCAGATCTGAACCACTAATTCCATGATAATAGGAAACATTTCTATTTTGAGTTGCAGTTGACCAGGATCTTTCCTATCAACATTTATACATAAACTCTGTCATGAACCTTTTAATGTTGGAGTGTCTATATCCTAACCCACCTATTTCTTGTCATGATTTTTAGCAAACTATAATGACAATGCTACAGCCAAGATACAGCAAGTTCAGATCTTTATTAGAGGTATGTACTTTTCATGATTTCTGGAAAATGATTTTATGTCCATTCTTTTGTATAATGAGCAGAGATGTTATTTATAAATATTTGCTAAGGAATGACATCAAGTATTTGTCAGAGATAGGTTGCAGATATAAAATTTCATTCCTCAAATGCAGGAAACCAATGTGGGACATGCCTTAGATGAAGATGGGACTGGTGGACCATACACCATTTTTGTTCCAAGTAATGAAGCGTTAAACAATATGAAGGATGGCACTCTTGATTACCTCCTTTCTCCAGAGGTATGACACCCTACTTATTCTGATGACATCATGTCAGCCCATACAGACTTTTTCCAAACTAGCGATGTGCAACAAGTGACACATGAATCACCATCTATCCTCCTAGGCCCCAGCAAGACAGACATCATTAATCAATCACAGTCCTCAGGAGTACTTACTTACTTACTATGGATGTGGCTCCTATCTCCTAAGCAGAGATCCAAGTAGCCAGCCAGACTGAGCACAGGAAATGAAATCTATTTGCAACTCCAGGTTTAAATAATTGGTTTGATTTTTCCTGGCTCTTCTAATATTTCTCAGTAGCAAAATCAATATTTTGAGTTCCCTTCAATTTCTAAAACCACCTAGTAAATTAACTCTAAACTAGGCCATTCTAGGCCAGGTCTAGGCTAAATTTAAAAGGAATAAATGTCAGTTAAGTGTCTGACTCTTGATCTCAGTTCAGGTCTTAATCTTAGTGTCGTGAGTTCAAGCCCCATGTTGGGCTCCATGCTAGACATGGAGAATTCTTTTTTTTTTTTTAAGAAAAAGGAATAAATGTTATTTTTAGATGCCCCAGGCATTCCTTTCTATTGCTTTCATTTTTCTTCATAATAACCCTCTCCTTAAATACCATAAAGTCCTTCAGTTCTTTCACATTCTCTCTAGAAAAGAGATTTTTTTACTCCTTCACATAAGAGTATAAGTGACTGAAACCATTTAATGTTTCCTCTACCAGAAATAACAGGCTTAAACCAAAGGGAAGAGTACCTAATTATGGACTTTTACTCATTAGAATGTCAAATGATGGAATTATAGGAAGGGCCACAAGCTTTCCTCCAGTGCCCTGAAATCAAGCTGCCATTTTGGCAATGAGGCAAGACTATCCATGACGTCAGGTGGATTGGTTCATTATACAGAATGGAAGATCCAAATCTTTTAGGGTAGTGATTTCTAAACTTCAGTATACTTAGGAATCACCCTTAGAGTTTCTTAAGTAGGCAGCTTCACAATCCATTCCCCAAGCATTTTGATTTAGTGACACTTCCATGAGGTCTAGAATTAGACATTTGTGGAAGAACCAACTTTCTAACCCAGGCCACACTGTTTTGGATCCCTGAATCTTTTTGCATGTATGATTTAAAGAAGCACATGGATATACACCTTTCTAGAATACTTTCAGATATCTACAAGGATATCTTGCCTTTGAGTTAAAACTTTGAGTTAAAAATATATGGGTCAAAAAATATATGTAATATCTTACACTGAAAACAAATATTCACCATATTAAAGGATTTGCTACAGGTTTCTACTTAAAATGTAGATTTCCCAGTGTCTTCAAGGATGTTATTTTAAAAATACAATTCACGTACAAGCTTTCTGAAACCTAGCTATTGCAGAAAGTTGGTTATAGCTCTCTTTGGCACTCACCCTAATACTTAATTTTAAAAAGCTAAAAAGTAATGTGGCTCCCCTGGGAAATTATTAAAATCCTGAGATTATATGCCTTTGTTGAGTACAGAGCTTCTAATTTGATACCAGTTTTTAAAAATAATATTAAAGAAGTTCTCAGACACCTAACCAGCTACACTTAAAATTAAAACAAAACCCTTTAATTAGAAGAGAAAAATATCAACCTCCCTGCTTTCCTGTCAAGCACTTTTCTTCATAACTCCTAATTGTGGCTGGAGCTGGCTGGCTTGCTTGGACTTTCAAGAGTGGATTGTGTAGGGGTGCCTGGTTGGTTCAGTGGGTTAAAGCCTCTGCCTTCGGCTCAGGTCATGATCCCAGGGTGCTGGGATCAAGCCCTGCATCAGGCTCTCAGGGAGCCTGCTTCCCTTCCTCTCTCTGCTCTCTGCCTGCATCTCTGCCTACTTGTGATCTCTGTCAAATGAATAAATAAATAATTTTTTTTTTAAAGTGTGGATGGTGTACCTCTTCCCAGCTTCGTTCAGTGAAGATTGCCTTGTAACTCAAAATTAGCCTATGGTGGGAATATTTTTTTTCCTTTCCTCCTTAAACTTTATTTATTTTTTTATTATGTTATGTTGGTCACCATACAGCACATCATTAATTTTTGATGTAGTGTTCCAGGATTCTTTCTTTGTATATAACACCCAACCTCAAAAATTGGCCAACTCTGTAGATCTGGGCTCCTTTGTTTCCCCACAGATCTGATTTACCAGCACACCACTTCTCCTGGCTCTCTGTCTCTTTGCTCTCAGACACAGTATCTTTCTACCTGCAGAGGATATAAACACTTCAAGTCTCTTCATTCCGAGTCAAAACAGTTCTCCCGTTTAATTTCTAAACGAGGAATAGAATGATCATTTCTCAGCCCTAGAACCTGTTTAGTTAAAACTTCTCAACCTATAGGAACGTCCTTCTCTCCAAAAATTTTAATAACATCCTTCAGCTTTATTTCAGGGAAGAATCCCAGCTGGAGACAGAAAAGTCCCCAGTGGCTATGCCCAGGAGATGGAAAATAAACTGATTTCATTAGAGGAATGGCTTCTAATTCCGATTTTAGAGTGCCATGTTTCCTTTCCAGTGTATGTTTCTGCTGAAGCAAAACTTCAGTCTGGTAACAATCCTAGCCACACAGAGGCCACAGCTACTGAGGACGAGCCCCAGTTTATGACTTCCTCGCTGAACTCGGTGAAATGCAAGCACAGGGAACCAGAGAGACTGACCCTTGCCAATTCACAAATACCTTGCAAGTAACATGGGACAAAGGGAGGTGAAACTGCAGAGTTTGGGGTCATGTTAACAATTTGGTAGAAAAACTCTCTTTCTGCCCTGGCATCAAAGGGCTGGGTTTTTGTTATTTTTACTTAAAACAGCAGGGAGGAAGCAAATGTCTTCATAAGGGAAAGGATGCATTAACTACATGGAAAGGCTCTGCTACAAACAGCAGCACCTGGACATGCATCCTGTCGATTTGAGCCACATTAGACTCAATTCTAACTGAGCGATGGCCCTCATGGCTCCCAGCCAGACAAGGCGACAGGCACACACACAATGGCAGGAATGATACCAATCAATTCCCTTGTTGCTTTCATTCTCCTGCTTCTTGTAAAAAAGGATCGAACACCAATTAATTCTTAGACCTTTAGAAGTGAACAATCCAGTTGATAACGTCCTCCCTACACAATCAGAGGGATGAAAGGGGTCCACACCACTCTCTTTATTTTGCAGGCAAAACCGAGCCTAGAGGAGCTACGTGGCTTGCTCAAGGTCACATCAATCCTGATTGATTGCTTCAATCAGGATTAGAACTCAGGACACCAAGGTCCAGTTCAGTGCTCTTCCCAGGACCCCCTTCCCCCTTTTAACTTACTGGCACAAATGTTGATGCGGGGCCCACTGTGTGGCCTGGCGATTCTGATTAATAAGCCAGACAGACCTAGTCCCTGCCTTCCAGGAGCTTGCGATCCAGTTTGGGCTGACATTTCCCAGGGGACCCCAATTTCGCTCACCCCTTCCACCACTAAGCATCCAAATTTGGAATCGCATTGCTTCTGCCTGCAAGTCCTCACTTGTGGGTACCAGAAAGCAGCTGCAAGGAGAAGGTAAGAGCCAGAGTCTGAGGCTGAAGTCACAAAGTAACAGAGCCAAGGCTACAGAAACATTGATGCTGGGGCTGCTACCTGGGGTTCAACTCCAACATTTTTATGGGTAACCCTGACCTCCACATACTACTTTTGGCTTCTCGATAGGATGGTCATACAAGGTATCATCCACACCAGGATACTTGAGAGTGAATGGGGATGCCCACATGCAAGGTGGACAGTAGAGTTGTACCAGAAGAGCCAGGATAGGGGATCACTCTATTTACAGGAAACTCCCCCAGCCTCAGGACTTAGAACAAGTGCAGAGGGGAGTCTGGGCACATGGGACCAAGATTCAGCAGGGCTCTCTTTCAACCTGGGACTCCTCACTGTTAGGACATGTCCCTAGAATGTCAGCTTCTGAGAGGTGACTATGATCTGAATTTGTGATCCTCTCCTTGTCCAAGCCAGAGTGACCACGGCTGTGCCACTTATGAAGCAGAACTCAAGGGTTATGTAGCTTGTAACTCCCAGAACTGTAATCTCCCAGCGAGATTGCAGATTCCCACGGCTGCTGGTCCCCAGAGAGCGGTTCCCTGAGCTCCTCACCTCTATTCGCTCTCCCTAGCGCACCCTACGGGGATTGCTTACTCTGCTGATAGTCCCAAGACTCTTTTTTCTCCACCGCTCCAATGTTTCTGAAGCATGAGAAAGAGTGGAAAGGGTTTTGAAGGAGAAATGAACATGGACCATGGTGGCTCAGAAGGAGGGAGTGTCCTGCCCAGATAGTCCTAAGAAGGATTGTGTATTCCCAACTAACCAGCACGTGGCCTGACAAGCAGACATCTATTTACAGAGAAAATGAAACAGAATCATCAACTGAGGCTGTCTTAGACATTCCAGAATGTAGCTTTAGCCATTCAGAGAGGTAATGGAACAGAGTGACTGAGAACTTCTTAGTCTTATTATCCTAAGTTAGCTGTGTGACCTCTGTCATGTCTTTAAAACTCAGTGTTATCACACATAAAATGAGTCAATAGCGGTCCCTCCCTCACAAGGCTTTTACGAAAATTATATGAAATGTGCCTATAATGCTTTCAGAACAGGTCCTGCCACAAAGGAGGAATTTGGTGAATGTCAGCCCTTTGGAGATGGGGTTTTTCTCATCCTGCACTTCCCAGTGAAGAGATTATGGGGCATTGACTTTCCTTGATTATACATCTGAAGTCATTGGGGAAAATTCCCACAAAAGAGGGAAAGTTGTATTTTCTGCAATGACTAAAGAAGTATTTTAATTCTGTTGCAGGGATCTCGGAAGCTTCTGGAACTCGTCAGATACCACATTGTCCCATTTACTCAGGTTGGTTCCACTTTCCTGCCCTATTTTTTCCTGCTTTCCACATATCTGACCTTGACTTAAATTCCATTATTACAGCGCTGGAAAACACTGAAAACAGTTGTTCTTTATCTGTAGCTCTAGGCGTGCCTTTAGCAATGCATAATGAACCCCTTATCAAAGAAACCCTCAAAGCCACACAACTGATGACATTATTTACTTCCTAGAATTCCAGGCTATTTTTTCCAGTGAAAACTTTACAAAAGCAAGGCTCTATGCATTGCTCATAATGTCTGTGCTGTTCTCTTCTCTTTACAGCTTGAAGTGGCTACTCTCATTGTGACCCCACACATTAGGACCCTGGCCAACCAGATCATACATTTCAACACCACCAGCAACGTAGGTGAAAAAATTCAACCGCTGCTATCATGACTCACATGCATTTTTGCTCTGCTTATGATTGTTCACCAGGTTATCCCACCTCTACCCTAACTCCCAAGCTTATGATCTTGATTACTTCACTTGTTTGTTATTTCTTATATTTCATGATTTCCTTTATTTGCTGAGCAACTGCGGATGTGAGACTCTGAACTAGATGTCCATGATAACGCAATGAAGAAGACAAGCTTACGGTCTAGCAAGGAAAACCAACTTTGAGCAACTAATTAATGACCAGCTCATTAATTAATTACAATTATATTAAGTGCCGTTATAATTACAATGAGAGTTTACAGTAAGAGGAGGCTGTGTGTCTAGAACCCCTCAGTGAAGAAGCAATGCTTCAGCCAGGCTTCAAAGAATGAGTACAGAGAACTTGGGCAGGGAAGAGCAGATTAGAGTTCCAGGCAGAAGGGAGAACATGTGTAAAGGCCCTGTGATGGGAGAGAACATGCCTTATTTAAGAAACTCAGCGAAGGTAGCATTATTCAGCTAACTCTCTGGACTAATATCACCAAGAGTTCTGACAGCATACAGATTATGTCTCCTGTTGATTCATCGTTGGTGGTGATGATGATGATGATGCATTTTTTCTGTATCTATTGAGTGCCCGCTATGTGCCAGACACCATTCTGGGTCTTAAATGTAGACCAATGACCAAATAGAGAAGAGTTCCTGGTTTCATGGAAGTTTCAATCTAGTAAATAGGAAGATAAACAATAAATAAATTAAATAAGTAGAACATAGAATATATTAGAAGGTAGTAAGGGCTAAGGCAAACAAACGAAGGGGGACATAAAGCAAGCATGAGGCTGACATTTTAGGTAAAGTGCCCAGCAAATCCTCATGGAGAAGAGAACATCTGAGCAAAGGCTTAAAGGAAATGAAGAAATAAGCAAGCTGTGTGAATATCTGGGAGAAAGAACATTCCAGAGAAAGGAAGCAGAAAAAGGCACAAAGAAGGGAGCATATGCCTGACCTTGTTGAGGAAAAGCAAGGTCATCATGAGTGGAACAGAGGGGATGAAGGAAGAGAGATAGGAGAGATCAAAGCAGTGGGAGGGAGAAGGAGAAATGGGGTCAGTGACACATGGCCTAAGAATTCTTACTTTTTTAATTAATTTATTTATTTTTTTAGATTTTTTTTTTCAGCGTAATAGTATTCATTGTTTTTGCACCACACCCAGTGCTCCATGCAATCCATGCCCTCTCTAATACCCACCACCTGGTTCCCCCAACCTCCCACCCCCCGCCCCTTCAAAACCCTCAGATTGTTTTTCAGAGTCCATAGCCTCTCATGGTTCACCTCCCCTTCCAATTTCCCTCAACTCCCTTCTCCTCTCCATTTCCCCTTGTCCTCCATGCTATTTGTTATGCTCCACAAATAAGTGGAACCATATGATAATTGACTCTCTCTGCTTGACTTATTTCCCTCAGCATAATCTCTTCCAGTCCCGTCCATGTTGCTACAAAAGTTGGGTATTCATCCTTTCTGATGGAGGCATAATACTCCATAGTGTATATGGACCACTTCTTCCTTATCCATTCGTCCGTTGAAGGGCATCTTGGTTCTTTCCACAGTTTGGGACCATGGTCATTGCTGCTACAAACATTGGGGTACAGATGGCCCTTCTTTTCACTACATCTGTATCTTTGGGGTAAATACCCAGTAGTGCAACTGCAGGGTCATAGGGAAGCTCTATTTTTAATTTCTTGAGGAATCTCCACACTGTTTTCCAAAGTGGCTGCACCAACTTGCATTCCCACCAACAGTGTAAGAGAATTCTTACTTTAAATGAGATGAGGAGCCATACGGGATTTCGAGCAATGGAGTGACACGATCAGACATCTATTCGGGGAGGCTAGTTAGAAGCTGACTGCAATAACCCAGAGGAGAATGATGGTGACTCAGACCAGGGTGGTAGCGGGGCTGTGGGAAGAGGTGGTTGTATTCCGAAGGCATTTCAAAGGAAGCCCCAAGAGAATCTGCTGATGAATTAGAGGAAAAATTCTCCTGAGCTTCTGACTGGGGCCACAGGAAGTATGGAGTTGCCTTTAACACCACAGGTGGAGCAGTTCTGAGGGGAAGTGGAGGTCAGTATTCTTTGCCAACCTGTTCAATTTCTACTCCCTCCCCTGCAACATAAGTGGGGACTTGTCTGGATTTTTTACTGATACATATCCCCAGAGCTTAAAGCAGAGCATGATACAGGGTCCATAAATGTATCTGGAATGAATGGATCCCTGCTTCACCAACAAAGAGGTAAAATGGTTAACCCGAGGTCTCTTAGCAAATGTATCATAGGGCTAGAATAGTTACCCCCTTCCTGCCCTGCACCAGCAAGGACCATGTCTACAGAGACATCCTTGCCTGGTGTCAGTCAGGAGTTCATTTAAGATCCATCTTTCCCAGGATGTCTGGGTGGCTCAGTTGGTTAAGCGTCTGCCTTCAGTCCTGGTCATGATCTTGGGGTCCTGGGATGGAGTCCCTCATCAAGCTCCCTGCTCAGCAAGGAGCCTGCTTCCCCTTCTTCCATTCTCCCTGCTTGTGCTCTCTCTGTCTCTGTCTCTGTCTCTCTCTCTGTCTCTCTGTCTCTCTCTCTCTGTCAAATAAATAAGTAAATAAAATCATTAAAAAAACATCCATCTTTCCTGGGCACCTGGGTGGCTCAATCAGTTAAGCATCTCCCTTTGGCTAAAGTTAGATCCCAAGGTCCTGGGATTGAACCCTGCATTAAGTTCCCTGCTTAGTGGAGAGCCTGCTTCTCCCTCTCCCTCTGCTGCTCCCCCTGCTTGTGTTTGCTGTCTCTCTCTTTCTCTCAAGTAAGTAAATAAAATCTTTACAAAGAAAAATCCATCTTTCCCTGGGGCACCTGATTGGCTCAGTCAATTAAGCAACCAACTCTTGGTTTTGGCTCAGGCCATAATCTCAGGGTCTGGAGATCAAGCCCTAGGTGCTCCCCATGGAGCACGAAGCCTACTTGGGATTCTCTCTCTCCCTCTGCCCCCCCACACCCACTTGCTCACCATCTCCCCCTCTCTCTAAAATAAATAAATCAACATTTGTTTTAAAAAGACCCATCTTTCCCTGTCAGCCAGGCCCCTCTCATAGCAACCCTCTGAGAGGTCACCAGCACCCAGCTCTGCCTGGGGACAGCTGGTGTCCAGCAGGACAGAACGAAATATGTCACTGCTTCTTTCCAGGGACAGATTCTGGCAAATGATGTGGCCATCGAAGAGACAGAGGTCATTGCCAAAAACGGCCGAATCTACACCCTGACCGGCGTCCTCATTCCTCCCTCCATCATGCCAATTCTGCCCCACCGATGTGATGAAAGCAAGAGAGAGATGAAATTGGTAAGGAAGCTAGGAAAATAGTAAAGAGGAGCTCCCGAACAGCCCCACAGGGCAGACAGCGTCCTTCTCTCTCACACTTCTGAGGAAGCTGACAAGGAGGATCTCACCCCAGGAGCCTCATTCCACACAGGTTTCTGTCCCCACAAAAAGGGAGGTGGGCCTGAGGTCCTAGTTCATAAACTGTGAACCGAGGCTTCTTGTGGGAATGTTCCACCGTGACCAACGCCTCCCAGCTCTAGTGGCTCCTTAGAGCTGCCGTAACAAATGACCACAAATGAAGAAGCTCAGAACAACAGAAATGTATTCTCTCACCGTTCTGGAGGCCAGGGGTCTGAAATCGAGGTATTAGCAGGGCCGTGCTCCCTCAGAAGGCTCTGGGAGGGAGGATCCGTCCTCGTCTCTTCCAGCTTCTGATGCCTCCCGGTAATCCTTGGCGTTCCTCATCTTGTAGCTGCGTTATTCCAACCTCTGCCCCTGTGCGGGTCACTGTGTGTGTACTCCTCGCTTCTGTTGTGACACCAGTCATTAGATTCAGAACTTGCCCCCCAATCTAGTATGACCTCATCTTAACTAATTACATTTGCAAAGACTTAATCAAGGGAACACAAATTTGGTGAGGAACACTATTCAGCTGGCTACACCAGAAGTGGGATCAGTCCTTACCTGTGTCACCTGGGACCACCTTGCTCCAAGCCCATAGCTTTACTCCAAGAAATGTAAGAAAGAATTTCTTCTCAGATGAGTGCTCTGGACCTCGCCAATCAACCGTCTTTCTGTATTTCTTTTCCAATACCAAACTTTCTGTTTGCCTGTGAGCTTGTGTACCCTCTAGTGACTTTTCCCGTTTCCATGGCAACCAACTTGGGTGAGCTGGTTTTATTCAGAGCACCCCAAATGTCAACACTGCTATACATGGGATCTTTCAGTTCCCATGGAAACCATACCCCTGAAGTTGCCACAATAATAGGTCTGGGTCTTTCTTTTCAGAACACTGCAATAATACTTCAATGATTGTTCTCAAAATATCCTTGGAACATGGACGTTGAACGATGAATAATGGCCTCATTTTATAGGTTTTATTTACCGATCCCTCTTCTTATCATGAAGGCTGGAAATAGCTGTTTGGTCACCTGGTAGAGGATTGTGGCTGGTTCCCCTGATATGTTTTAGGATATTGTATGGGTACCCGTCCTCCACGCCAGTCATATACCAACTAGGGGATCTGATTCCATTCTGGGCATCCCTTTTTAAGAGAGGCAGAAACTCAGTCACTTTCCTAGCCAGTCCCTGCCAGTGACTAATATTTGGTTCATTCTTTGAAAAAAGTAGTTTTGGCAGATACATCTCCTGGCTTGGGCCAGGGTGAAGATGAGAACAGGCCAGATAAGAATAGTCTCATCTTTTATCCCACAGGCAAAAGATTTTGGAAAACAGGGCCTCTGCCGAAAAGATTCAGGAAGAGTCTAATTATTGACTTTAGAGCTTCCCCATCCCAAGCAGCTGCCATTCAAGTTCAAGGAAAAAAGTCTATGCAGGGATAAGGGTATCCCCAACTGCCTGCCTCGTGGCAACATTGCTCTGTTCTAGGTTGCTTAAAAGCTTGTTCTCCAAATTCCCAAAAGAAAGAATCTAGATGTGGGTTTGAGCCACAACCCAAAGGATCTGGGTTTAATAGAGAAAAAAGCTTCCCAATACCCCATATCTTAGGATAGAATCTTCTTTTACTATTTTCTCTGGGTTTAAAGTCAGATATATCTGCTCTACATGATTTAGGATGGTTTTGATTAGATCTGTTAAGAGTCCAAAGCTGGGACACCTGGATGGCTCAGTCGGTTAAATATCTGCCTTTGGCTCAGGTTATGATCTCAGGGTCCTGGGATCGAGCTCTGCGTTGGGCTCCCTGCTCATCCGGGAGCCTTTTTCTCCCTCTCCCCCTCCCCACCATTTGTGCTCTCCCTTGCTCTGTCTCACCCTCTCAAATAAATAAACAAATACATAAAATCTTTTTTAAAAAACTGCAAATGCATTTTCTGCAAAGTATTTGGGGTAAGCACAGGGTAGGAGCAGCTGGCACTCACTGTCTAGGAGTCTCAGTTTTCACCAGCCTGAGCCCATAGCTGGTTTTAGTCTTGTATGTTTGGATTTTAAAGGTTTAATTACTAATTCTCTGTACTAGTTAGGGTCCCTGCAGGAAACAGAAGTTACCCCAATGGTTCAAATGAAGAGACTTTAATGAAGATGCTACTAGAGGGGGGTGGGCAGGGCTAAGGAGACAAACCAGTTATGCAGGAACATCAAGGAGAAGCAATGGAAACCATTACCACCCCGAGAGGTGAGGAGGGGAGAGCTAGGAGGTACCTGAACCCAGTGAGAGCTGGAAGAGTGGAGGAAGGTGACATCAAGAAGGAGCTATAGTGAAGGTGCCCAAGCAGAGAGGTAGGGAAGAAATACCTCTATCTTGCCCTCCTCCTACCCACTAGCATCCTGCTGCCTCTCGCACTGGCCAAGACCATGAAAATGCTAGGCAGGGGAGGCAAGAGAACATTCTTTCAGGTCTACCTGCTGGAGCACAGAGCCCAAAGGAGAAGATCAGAAAATCAATTTGGAGAGATTTGGAGGCACTCATCCCTTTCCATCCTCCTGAATTCAAGTGAAGCAAGAAGCTCAGGGAGACCAAAAGGCAGAGATTCAATGCTCAGCTTCACTGCTGCTAATTGGAGTACAAGGCTATCATGTGTGACCAGCGCTAACGCTTCATCTCTGGCACAGGTGGACAACTGCAATGCTTCCTCAGGGACAGGTGCCTCTGCACAGTGGAGAGTCAATCAGAAACCTCAGGCTGGTGGACAGTCGATCAGATCTGACCGATCTGACCTTGAAAGAGGGAGAGGAGGAGGCTGCTCTGAGTGAGATCGTTTCCAGCTCCCAAACCCTCTGGCACAGGCACTGACTTCCCTCTTTCTCTCCAGGGAGGTGCCAGTAGGGAGTAGAGAGGGAGGCCAGGAATGGTCCCCTGGAAGAAGGAAGCATGAGGTCAGGTAGGGTGGTCCCCTGCTCCCTCTTACAGGGATGCATATACTGATCCTTGTCTTTCCTTCCAGGGCACCTGTGTGAGCTGCTCTCTGGTGTATTGGAGCAAATGTCCTGCTAATTCTGAGCCCACGGTGAGTGTGACAGCTTTGAGAAACCACACATCACCCAAACAACCCTACTGGTGTTGCTTCTCATCTTTCTACCTTTCTTCTAAAAGATATAAATACCAACTGGGGTAACCTCAGATTGGCTCTCAGCCTAACAAAGGGGAGAGGGTAGAAAGCCCACTGTATGGGGGAGGGTAGACAGAACTGCATTTGAATCCTTGCTCATTAACACTGGGTGCATTGTTGAACCTTCTTAAACTAAGTTTTTTTTTTTCTGTAAGTAATAATAATAATAACAAGGGAATTAGCAGAGATAAAAACCCACGTACAATACCTAAATCAAGTGGCTATTCAGTAAAGGTTCATTCCTTCTCTACTTCACCCTCTTAAGTCTGTGTGGGGGAGTCAAAGCTTTGCCTTCACCATCTTGAGTTATCCGGCTGGGCCTGAGAATTTGATTAACAAGAGAAAAGTTCACAGATTTTATGTGTACATGGGAGTGCCCATAAGAAAGCAAAGACCCAAAGAAATGGCAAAACTCAAATGTTTATGTGGATGTGGTAGATCAAATCAAGGGAGGAAATTGTGGGAAAGTCACTGAAATGTACAGGGAGGCTAGAGGAAATTTGGAGTTATTTTAACAAGGTCCATTTGTGCAGCTTTTTCCTTGCATCAGCTTCTTGTCTCTGTGACAAGAGGTCTCTTTTGTCCTGGCACAAGGAGGACATCTTCTACAGGGGAGCTTTATCTCCTGTTCTCTGAAAGGAAAGGCGGGGGAATCAGAGTGTCCCTTTTCTATCTGCGGTTTTTCAAGTATGCCTTGAGCTCAAAACGATCCTTATGCCAAAGAGGCCAATTTGGGCTGGCATAGTCCGCCACACATTACTCCTGTTTGCTCTTCCCAAACATTTTTCCGGATAGAAACACAAGGACTATCAAGAGAATGACATTAGGACCATCAAGCCCTTTTCAAGTTTGACTGAATTCTGCATACGTCTATTGAGAGCTGATTCCCAGGGCATAAAGATGAATGAGATGTAGTTTTGCTTTGTTTTTGTTTTTGTGTTGAAAAGATGTAGTCTAACAAGGAAAACCAGAGAGGTAATCCAGAATTCATATGCCAAGTGCTCTACTGGTGACAAAAGCGAAATGCTCCAAGGTAAAAATTGATGATCGAAATCTCTGCCTATAATTTTGTCCTGAAAAAGAGCATCCCAGTGAGAAGTATCATTCAACACTAGACTAGGTCACTAAGGAAGGAGATGAACTCTTTAACACAATCCTACTGAGAAGCATTTAATAAAGCAAAACATGAACATTAAATGGCACAGGTGTGCCTATAGTTATTTTTCTCAGTCAAGCCATCACCCCTAAGTCCAACAGGATGCTGTCAACCGGGGAAAATGGAGAGGGAGGAGAAGAGAGGAAATCATGTTGACTAACATGAGAGTGACTGCTGTGTGCCAGGCATTGTTCTAAATGCTTTATATAGCAAACGTCCAAGGTAGGTATATTATCATCATAGCCCTCGTGTGATCTGGGAATGAGCATAAGGAAACATAAAACACTTTGTACAAGGTCACACAGTTAGTACATGGCCAAACCATGATCCTACATCACCACAGCCCAAGTAAGGAAGAGAAGGAGAGAAAGAAGGTAGAATTAGATACACGGGTTAGAACCAAAAAAGCCCCAAATCTTCCCTTCCCAGCCTCCCATGATCTATACTTACTTAATTATCCTGAGAGCCTACAAGAGGACTGAATAGTCTTTCCTCAATGATCTCAGAATTCCTTTACATAGCTCAGATTTTAGGATTTTACAGCCCATGAAGTTCTCAACACTACCTTCTTGAGCTGGAGCCTAAGAAGACAGGGTGTCTCCACATCATTTACCTAACATAAAACTTGAACCAGAGACAGAATGCTTAGGATAAAACCTGAGATCAACATTATCGTCCCATTCCCCAGATGAGGCATCCAAGGCCGACAGAGACTACATGACTTGCCTGTGATATCCTAAAGTAAGGTCGCAGTAAGACCCATTCTCTGGACCTGCCCCTTACTAATGGGGCTCTTTAGCAAAAATATTTACCTGTCGGGGCCTCAGTTCCCTCATCTGCAAAAGAGGGATGAAAAACAGCCACAAGGAGTTGAAGATTGATGATCTTATATGTACAGTGTCTCTGCCCCTAGTGGGTTCTTGATAAACGGCAGCTCTAGATAATTACAATCAGGCACCAGGTGTTAGAGAATGGAAGTTGCATTTAAGACTTTCCCACATACACCTACGCATCACTCCTAAGAGAAAAACTCAGACCATCCCTATTTCCTTTAGTGGATTTTTCTACAAATTAGAGAGGGACTCTCTACTGGCTCCACAATTTCTATGTAGAAGGAGCTTGGGGATGGCTGTTGATTGGAAGAGTGTGGCTGAGACCCACTCAGGATGAACAGCAAAGTGTTCTCGGCTCAACTGGCAATGTCTGCCCTGGTGGGAGGGAGGGTCAAGATAAATGTGCCCAGATTTATGCCAGTCCTGGCCTGTGTTCTACCAACAAGGAAACAGAGGCCTCAAGAAGGGGACTAAGCTCTGGCGGGGAAACATGAGCTGGAGAGCTCTGGTGATCTTGCCTGATGTCGAGGGGAAACGGAAGCAGGCTGTCAGGGTATGAAGCCAAGCGATGCCCAGAGGACCTCAAAATGCAGACTCAGTGCTTTTTTCCCCATTGGCTTTCTTCCAGACACTCTTCACACACAGATGTGTCTACACTGGCAGAGTAAGGAGCCTGAAGAGTGGCTGTGCCCGGTACTGCAATGCCACAGTGCAGGTGAGGCCTTCAGGGCCACATTCCTGGGCCTCAGCATCTGTGAGGCAACATGGTGCCCATGGCCTTGGCAATGTCTTCCCGCAGGGGAACGGTAGGGGGGACTCTCTCCACGGGGTCCAGGTCACCCCCTTCCCTGCACCCATCCCTCCTGTGCTTCCCTCTCGCTCTTAACAAAGAGCCCACACTCTTGAAACTCCCCCCATGGACCGGCCACTGCCTCATGTCTGACCTGTCTCTGATCTTCCTTCCGACCCCAGAGTGTGCACACTTGCCACTCCCTCCCTCAGAGTATTTTCCAGATTTTCCTGGGACTGATTCATTGTTCAAGGGTTTAACTCTCACTCCCTCTGTCACCACCTGATCCATAGTGGCCTCCCCAGGCTCCCCCCACCTTTTCCCCCACCTGCCACCACTTCGTTACAGTATTTTGTCTTCCCAGCACATACAGGTCTCTTTTTTAAAATTGATGGTCTCTTCCTGATGATATAGAGGATGGGCTCCATGAGCACAAGCCTTCACATCTTGTTTTCACGGTGCCAGAGCCGGCTTGGCACTCAAGGTCAGCCCTCAGTACACGTGTGGTGAGCACATGGTTGAACACCAGCCATGCCATCATCTGCAGAAGAAGTGGAGCTAATGTTGTTTATTACAATAATGGAAATTAAAATGTATTTCCTTTGAGGAACTGGCACTCTGCTTGCGCTTTTAAAAGGCAACATGTGTTTTGTTTCTCAGATACCAAAGTGCTGCAAAGGTTTCTACGGGCCTGACTGCAACCAGTGTCCTGGAGGCTTCTCAAATCCATGCTTGGGCAATGGCCAGGTGAAATAAACTGTTTCATGGGTGCTGAGCTTGACCTGAGCTAAGTCAAGTGGAAGAGTAATTTTTAAAACCACTAGACCGAGAAGTGCTACAGTGCCAATCACTGTTCGCAGAAAGTAAAAGATACAGATCAGTTGCTCAAAGAACAGAAGGTATCTGTAGCAGAAGAAATTTGGGCCAGGGATGGATGGTGGCAGGGGTAGAGAGTGGGAAGTCTGGAAGTGTTCCAATCTCTGCGGTCCTGCTGCTGAGCACTTGACCTTGGATAACTCAATGAGGCTCCCTCTAACCCACTTTCCTCTTATGGAAAGAGAGCACAGTCTCCTGCATTGATCTCCAAGATTTCTTTCAGGATGAAAATTCTGTGATACTTAAAAAAAAAAAAAGAAGAAGAAGAAGAAGACACTGACCAGTGATTGCTTTTTATTAACCCACCTCCAAAATCTAGTAAAATATAAAGGCCCAAACTTATCTCCTCTAGCTTAGAGACCAGAGCTAAACAAACAAAAGTAAAAGTAGCTGTGGTTCACATGGGAAATTACAAATCTGTGCATTTAAGAAACCACATCTAAAATATGCCCCCATCCAGGGGAAGGAATAACTGCAACCATGGGTTGAGGTGAGGCAAGAACAAGGCAAAGCAGTCACCAATTAACTACCACAGCCCATGGCAGGAAGTCACCGGTGCCCAACTCTGGTACACAGTGATCCTTGCAAAGCCAACCTTGAAATAGCTGAAATGGGGAGGTGGAGGGTGAAAAGTCTTATACTGAAGGGGTAAAGTCATAAAGTCATAAAGCTGAGCAAGCCAGGCTCTGGAAAGAATGGCCAACCTTCCTTCTGAAGGCCGGTGGCTGGTCACACCATCCCTCAAGCATTGTTTGTAGGTTCCAAGTTCACCATGGTGACACCCTTCCTCCTTGGATGACTTACCTTCAAGTTTGAAATCCTGACTCAGGACCCCAAACTTGTCCCTGTTTTAGCATCTTAGCTGATATCAACATGACTCTACTTTCCACGAGTTGTCCCAGAGGGCCATGTCTAGCTCTGATAGAGATGTCAGGTAGAATCTGACATCAGAGAAGTTAGGCAATGACACAAAGACATCTGGGACTTCTTTACAGTGGAGCATTGTCCTAACACCCTCATGGCCTGCCTTTGCTTGCAGTGTGTTGACGGCCTCAATGGCAATGGGACGTGTGTTTGCCAAGATGGTTTCCAAGGCTCCCAGTGTCAGTTCTGCTCTGATCCCAATAAATATGGACCTCGGTGTGACAAAAGTAAGTGGCACTTCTGGAACTTACTCCTGCTCCTCAGCTGGATTCCCTTTGGCACTGCAGCAAAGCAATAATGCAGGACAGGTGCTGTGTGTCCCTTTGCTTGGTGTATACCCTCATCCTAGACCATTTCTCAAGCACATGGTTCTCAATCTGTAGCGCATGCCAGACTGTGGGGTCCCACTGCAGAATTTCTGAGGCAGCAGGCCTGGAGTAGTATTGGAGAACTTGCAATTGTAACCAGTTTCCTGGGAGTGTAGCCAAAAGACCACTCTTCAAAAACCAGTCCCTTAAGTTTTCCCCACAAACCTGAAGTGACCATGGGCTCAGTAGCAAAACAGAGACTCACACTCTACCTTTCCAACAATCCCCTTCTATCAGCTTCCCCCCCTTGCAAAATGTGTGACTTTGTGCAAGTCACCTCCCCTCTCTAGACCTCAGTTTCCTCATCTATAAAATGGGAATAATAATAGTAATTACCTCATAACGTTAGTGCAAGTTATAAATAGAAAATACTTGCCTTGGGACAATGCCTAGCACCTAGAATGCAATACAAATACACTAACTCTTATTATTAATCTGTGAGTGTTGTTACTGTTGCTGTTATTCTAAGTTCAGTGACATAAATATCAGGAAGCTCGGAGACCAAGAAGAAAGTTCCACAACAGAAGGCATTAAAAAAAAGATGCAGTTATTTGATCTTAGAAAATGCATTATGCCTTTAAAATTGCAACATTGTGTATATTTAAGTAGATAGATACATAAATATACAGAAATAAATATAGATATATATTTCCACACTAAGATTAGAACTTGAAAGAAAAACAATGAATAGATGTGTTGGCCATGGAATCAAGCCAGCCCAAAGTTAAATCCCCACTCTGCAACTGACAGGTTGTATGACCTTAGAAGAAGTCTCATTGAGTCTTAATTTCCCCATCTATAAAATGAAGATAATAACAGTACCCATGTCATGGGTTTTTGATGAAGTTAGACCATAATCTAGGGCCATAACACAGAGCTTGCCCCAGCAAGAAATCAGTAGATGAAGCCGTTCTAATTACTGTCACTACTAACTCCATTCGCTGGTTACAGAGCACACAGCCCTTCCCCTCTCTCACCTGGTCTGATCTTCACAACCACCTCTCAAGATGGGCAGGAAACCAGAGCACAGCAGGATCATGGCTGCTGATCCTAATCCACTGTTCTTTGTGTCAAAAAAGGTTTCTGAGAAACAAAAATAAGGTTTTATTCCAAAGCCTGTCAATGTTGGTGTCTTTATGGGGCCAAGCGAGCAGGATGCTGAGGCCAGGGGAAGCCGTGGAGGTCTCCACACCAATACCTCCCATTCAGGTCTGTGGTTACCCAGCAGCCCAAGCAAAAGAGCCACCTCTTCCTTCTGGGCCCTTGTCCCTTGCGGATAAAGTCCTGACTTGCTTAAAAGTTTATGAAAAGTCTTTTGTTTTAAATCCAGTCATGCTTTTCTAGCCCACTCACTATGTCTCTCTTTTCTGTCCTGGTTGTTGGCTACAAGCACCCACACAAACTCCTCTCCTAAAGCCCTCCTGGGGCAAAATCACAGAAGCCTTCCTTTCTGATCATAGCCAAGCCCCCAAACCCTTGCCACCTGACTCGAAGGAATTTTGCATCCTTCTTTTCAACTCCTGCATGCATAGGAGCCTGAGTTGGAAGCGCACATTGCAATTTTTTTAAACACATCATCGAAAGCAAAGTAAACCACAAAAGTTTAAAATGATCACAGGCAAACAGAAATACCAGCTAATATCCTGAATTATGATGTTTGCACATAGGCAATCTTAGCAGCAAGTCAGGCAATGTGCGTCACCTCTCTGGGCCTCAGTTTGCTCATCTGGAAATGGGGATGATAAGAGTATCTACCTTCTGAGGCTGGTGACTGTTAATGAGATGGTACTGTTAAAGGCTGGCCCAATGCCTAGAACAAGGTCCGTGTACAAATATTGGCCATCAGGTAGCACTGGTTTGCTGTGATAGAGAGTAAAGAACAAGTATGTAAGCTGCACATATGTCAGAGGCCACACCAGCATGAGAAACTGCTTCTACTGATTCCAGAAAGGTGAGAAATTTCCAGACTGAGCTCTCCAACCATAAAGTAAATGAAGATTGAGTTCCTTGGCATCTTTCACACACACACACACACACACACACACACGCTACACACACACACCTACATACAATACACACAAAGCACTTCTGGGACCGAGTTCTTCCCATCCTTGATGGGACAGTCAAGCTCACCACACACTGACTCAGGCCCATAGAGAGACACTTGAGAAGCTAAGATATAGCCTCCAGAGCCTCCCGCAGCTCAGCCCCAGGTTCTGCTCTGATGGGCACAAGAAGGGGGTGAGGGGAGGTGGTCTTTCTCCTCCATGACCATGTGCCCCGTTGCTGTGCTTGTCTCCCGACCCCCAAATACCCCGCTTCCTTCTCTTCCAGAATGTCTGTGCATTTCCGGAACATGTAACAACAGGATCGACAGTGACGGGGCCTGCCTGGATGGCACGTGCAGAGAAGGCTCTGCTGGGAGGTTCTGCCACAAGCAGACCTCCACCTGCGGGCCCTACATGCAATTCTGCCACATCCATGCCACCTGTGAATACAGCAATGGGACAGCAAGGTAAGGCTGTAGGGTACAACCCTTAAGAGCCCACAGCCTCTGTACCACCTGTACATAGACCCAGCTCCTATCTCAACTCTTTGCAAACAAAGGCCTGTTTCCTCCAGCTGCCAGTGTGGCCTTTGTGGAGAAAACTTCAGACTGAGCTGGGTTCAAACTGCAGCACTCTGTGCTCTGAAACGTACCAACTGCGTGACCTTGAGCAAGTTAGTTAACCTCTCTGAGCTTCACTTTTCTTCATCAGGACAATAAGGATGATGTTGCCTATGTAGTAGGGCACTTGTGGAGGTTATAAAAACTGGATGTAAAAGCACCCAGCACCAGGGGCAGCTGGGTGGCTCAGGTGGTTAAGTGACCGACTCTTGATTTTGGCTCAGGTCATGACCTCAGGGTCTTGGGATGGAGCCCCGAGTTGGGCTCCATGCTCAGCAGGGAGTCTGCCTGAGACTCCCTCTCCCTCTCCCTCTGCCTGTTCCCTCATTCAAGCTCTCCACCTCTCTCAAATAAATTAAACCTTAAAAAAAAAAAAAAAGGCACCCAGCACCAGAGCCAGCCCATCATAGGTGTTCAGTCATGGAAATTATGATTATTATCATTATTCATGTGAGGAAATGAAAATATTTCCACCAATGTCCAACCCTTTAAAAAAAGCCTTTACTTCCTAGAGCCATTAATAATAACTCCCCCATTCAAGGCATCTTAGAGGAAATCAGGTCTTGGTCATCAGTTCACCATTTGTTTCCCTAATAGTGTCTAATGTATGCCCCGGGGCTTGGAGATGGGGGAGATGGAATGTCAGAGGAAATTTTCCTCTCTGGGACCATCTCTGGTTCAAAGGCAGTAACCACCTCAAAAAAATCCTGGGAAACACAGAGAAAGTCTGATAATCTTGGCCTCATTTTTACAGCACTTTTCTTAATTTGTAATTTGCATAGTTTCTTACTTCCCTGTTTATGACCTGTCTCCCCCACTAGACATTAGGGTACTGCCTACTAGGTTAGGCAGCTTGGGCCCAGAGACTGTCCTTTCTCCTCCACGGTAGCACGACAGAAATGCATCTGCCTCGGGAGTGAGGATCTACATCTGTGCATAAGGCAAAAATCACATGTTATCCAAACTGTCCTTAAAACCTCTGAAACCACTCACAAAAGGCTATTGACACGGGTCTGTATTTACTACATACACTTAGGTAAATCGAACACTGTTGGAACAGATTAATCTATCTTTTCATCTGGGGACCAGATAAAGCGTTTTGTTCCTCATGGAGCCTTGATACATGAAAAATAATTCTATTTAAGTTCTTGTGAAGCACCTGTGACTGAATTTGAGGCAAACCATGTGGGCTCTGGTGGAACCACAGGGGACACAGCACCTCTTACGAGAGTCTTAATAACTATTGGTGGGCCAGACGGATGAATGAACGGCCCATTTGATAGTTAAAGTATCATGGTGGGATATTTTGAGAGGAGCGTCTCAAAGGGTGAGGAGACAGTCAACTATGTGAGCTCATGGAATCAGGCACTTTGAGAGGGTGGTATTCCAAAAAAAGGAAGTCTGAGGGACCAGAGAAGGGGGTGTCTCACCTGACCAATTTTTTTTTCATTTTTCATGTATCATTTATGAATTGAATGCCAGCTTATCTATAGTCATTATATAGGGTTTTTTTTTTTTCCTACAAATCTAACCATTATTTTTCAATACTTTACAAACTGACTCATAGAAGAGGGGCGCCTGGGTGGCTCAGTTGGTTAGGTGTCTGACTCTTGGTTTCGGCTCAGGTCACGATCTCAGGGTTATGAGATCAAACCCCACATCAGCTCCACAGTCAGTAGGGAGTCTCCTTGAGAGTCTCTCTCTCTCTCTCCCTCTGCCCCTCCCCTCTGAGCTCTCTCTCAAATCAGTAAAAAAAATAAAAAAAATAAAAAAAAAAAAAACTGTCTCGTCGAAGAGATGGTATTTGTTCTCTGCGGAACCACAGATAATAACTAGAGGCAGAATCCCACCCCATCAAAGCAGTGACGCTGCCAGATATCAGACCTCTCAAGGGGCAAGTGCATACAGGCGTCCTGCTAAATACTCCCCATGCTTTATCTCACTCCCTTAATCATCACAACTTTGTGAGGGAGGTTTTAGACTCATTTTCCAGACGAAGAAACAAAGTCCCCCAGAGGTTAATGGACTCAGCCAGGGTCACACAATGCTAAGAGGTGGGGCCTGAATTCCCTCTCGGGCATGTCTGACTGCAGACCATCCCACCCCCAGTGCCTGTGCCACCTTTACATCGGCTCTGCCCACAAGGGCAATGGGTCAGATGTCTGGCCAGGAACTGTTCACCCCCTGGCTGTCCGGCCTTTTCCTGGGTGGTGGCTGCTTACATTTCTGGGGCTGATTTTGTGCACGTGCTCTTCATTGCAGCTGTGTTTGCAAACCAGGATACAAAGGGGATGGAATCCTCTGTTCAGAAATGGACCCTTGTGCAGAAATCACGAGGGGGGGATGCAGCCGAAATGTGAGTGTTGCTCTTTATTTCCAAGCTACCTGGTTTCTTAGGAAATCCTGAGGGAAGGCCTTGAAAAAAAGTGATATCTGAAGGCTTTTCATTGCATGAAGCATATTTGCCAGAACCTTGAGTTTTAAAGACGATGCCAGTGCCTTCTGTGAGCTCCCACTTCCTAAATGCACATGTGTAGGGGATGTCCCAGGATCACAGGAGTTGGGGTCTTTGGGCTCTTAAAAACACAGCCTGAGAATCAGATATTGGAGGTTATTAGTAATAAACCAGTGATTCAGTGTTACAACTTACAAACAATGTGAATGTCTATGATCTCATTTCTTATTTCCCCACCCCAAGCCAATAATGTTCTTACCCCATTGTACTGATAAAGAAACTCAGGCTTGGGGACACTAAATGACTTCCCCTAAGTTCTATTATTAGGGAAAGCCCAGTCACATAGCCCAAACCCACAGCTGCTTTTGAATATCCCTGCTACCCCCAGGACCTTGTCACCTCCATTCCCTATGCAGTTTGCTACCTGGTCTCCCCACTGCTTAGCTGGCCCACCTGTGCGTTCATTGCGCATCCATAGCCAGAGTGACGTGAAGCAGATCGGGTCATGTTTCTCCCATGCTGAAACCCCTTCAGGAGCTAGTGTGGCTTAGAAGGTGAAATCAGATGGGAATGCCTTGCCCCACCCCACCAGATCCCCCTGGTGCTGGTCCCACCCTCTCCACAATGAACCTGGCACCTCCTTCCTCTCCCACTGTCCTTCAGCCTCCTAGGGTGCTCGGGCTGAGAGGCCTGGAGTTGCTACAGCCGTTAGGAGCTTGAACCTCAGCATTCTGGAGACAGGGTTGCTGAAGTTTCATGCTGTGTGACCTTAGGGAAGTTACTTATTCCTCTCAGCCTAGCTTACTTATCTGTAAAGTAGATAGTAACGGAACCTTCCTCAAGATCATGGGTTATACCAGTGAAACACTAAGAACGGTCCCCCAGCTCCATAAATGACAGCAATGTGCCTGAGGCCAGACATTAGCTGGCCCACAACAAGCAACACTGTTCTCTAAATTGTCTCCTGTTTTCCATGGATCTCGGTGCAAAAGTGCATTTTAATCATTTCTATCGCACTCCATGCAAACAAGCATTTCTAAGGGGTACCTTCTTTTTTTGCTTTTGGAATCATGTGGCTGGACTGAGTTTTAGAGATTCGCTGCTGCTTTCCACCCCACAGGCAGAGTGCGTCAGAACCGGCATGGGGACCCACACATGCGTGTGCCAGCAGGGATGGACCGGGGACGGCAGAGACTGCTCAGAGATCAACCACTGCCGGCTGCCAGGTGCTGGTGGCTGCCACGCCAATGCAACCTGTTTGTATGTCGGCCCCGGACAGGTAGGTGTGCCGAGGCAGAGAGCAAAGGGGAGCAGGTCTCCTCTGGTGGCTTTTACCCGCTGGACACAGCAGTACTTTGTCTAGAACTTACTGCAGCTTTTTAATCATTTGTAGTAGTGAGAATGGGTTATCATAACTAACCTGTGACATAGGTACTATTTTTTTTTCACCTTTTGACATTCTCCACTCATTTAGCCCACCCCCACCTCACCCCAGCCTCTGGCAACCACCAATCTGTGCTCTTTATCTGTGTGTTTGGTTTCAGGTTTTGGGGTTTGGGTTGGTTTTTTTAAGGTTCCCTATATAAATGAGATCATATGGTATTTGTCTTTCTTTGTCTGATTTATTGCACTTAGCATAATGCCCTCCAGATCCATCTATGCTGTCGCAAACGGCAAAAGCTCATTCTTTTTCATGGCTGAGTAATATTCCATCGTGTGTGTGTGTGTGTGTGTGTGTGTGTGTGTGTGTGTGTGTGTTTGTGTGTGTGTGTGTGTGTGTGTGTGTATGGTGGATATGATATACATATCACCTCTTCTTTATCCATTCATCTATCCATGGACACCTGGTTTTTCTTCCACACCTTGGCTATTGTAAATAATGCTGCAGGGAGCATGGGAGTGCAGATATCTTTTCAAATGTAGATAAATATTCAGAAATGAAATTGCTTGAAGGTATGGTAGTTCTATTTTTAAAAATAGTTCTATGTTTAATTTTTTGAGGAATCGCCATACTCTTGCACAGTGGCTGCGCCAGTTTACATTCTTACAACAATGCATGAGTTTCCTTTTCTCCACTTCTTCGCCATCACTTACTTTTTGTGTTGTTGATAACAGGCATCCTATCAGGTGTGAGAATTCATTCTGGTTTCGATTTGCATTTCCTTGGTGCCAAGTGATGTCTAGCATCTCTTCATGTATCTGTTGGCCATCTGTGTGTCTTCTTTGGAAAAATGTCCATTCAGATCTTCTGCTCATTTTTCAAAAGGATTGTTTATTGTTTTGTTATTACATTGCCTGTGTTCTTTGTATATTTTGGATGTTAACCATTTCTTAGATATATAATTTGCAAGTATTTTCTCCCATTCAGTAGGTTCCCTTTTCATTTTGTTGATGGGTTCTTTTGCTGTACAGAAGCTTTTTAGTTAGATGTGGCCCTGTGTGTTTATTTTTGCTTTTGTTGCCACATAGCATTAGTCCCATCTTACAGAAGAGAAAACAGGCACAGAGAAGCTAAGTAATTTACTAAATCATGCTATAAGATTCACATGCAGACAGTTTGACCTCAGAGCCCCCTCTTAAGCACCTGACCACACTTTATAATTCTGTAGCACTCTACAGTCTGTGATCACTTTCACTTAACCTCCTGAAAGGGAGACTGAGGCAGAGAAAGCTGCTGCTCAGGAACCAGTCTGCACTTGGGAGGTAATGACAACTGTACTGTGACCATGGATGTGGAAAAGTCCTATTCATGAAAGAGCTTACTGTGGTCTTATGTCTCACCACACATTTGGCAAACAAGTGTATTCATTTTTTGCCTCACCTAAATTGCCCGATTGCATTTGAGAAACACAAAATATATCCTGGTCTCTGTAATAGTTTGCTAAGGCTTCTGTAACAAAGTGTCACTAACTAGGTGGCATAAAACAACAAAAAGGTATTGTTTAACAGTTTGGGAAGCTATAGCTCCAAGATCAAGGTGTGGGCAGGCTTGGCTCCTTCAAAGGGCTTGAGGAAGAATCTGTTCCATGCCTCTCTCCAAGTACTGGGTGGTTTGCAGGCAGTCTCTGACATTCCTCAACTTCTCCATGCATCATCCTGGTCTCTGCCTTCATCATCACAGGGAGTTCTCCCTGGGTGCATGTCTGTGCCCAAATCCCCCCTTTTCATGAGGACACTGCTCATATTGGATTGGGACACGCCCCATTCCAGTGTGACCACATCTTAACTAATTACATAATAATAATCCTACTTCTAAGTAAGGTTACATTCTGAGGTCCTGGCGTCAAGATTTCAACATGTGAATTGGGACTGGTCATTTCAACCCATAATACTATCTATCCCCCTCTCTCTGCTCTTTCTTTCTGTGGATAAAGGCATCCTAATATGGGAGATGGAGGAAGAGAAAGGTTTTTTTATAGTGCCATATAAGAAGTAAAATACACTATCTCTAGGATTGCCCTAGAGTTACCAGTAGTTAACTGCCAGTAGTTACCAGTTGGCTTGAGAACTTTTAAATATTCCAAATAGGCAGAAATCCTAATTACCATGAATACTTATATAAAAAGACAAACCACGTTTGGCTCAATATGTTAAGGTTGGGGGATACAGGGAGGTGCTACCCTGATACCAAGTGGAGAGGATTAAACACCCATGTTTATAGGGTCTTGCCCTGCCACATAAAGATGTATACGGTGCTTCTGTACACATATACTTTCATCTCAGAAACAAACATTTACCAGCACCTGGGTGGCTCAGTTGGTTAAGCTTCTGCCTTTAGCTCAGGTCATGACCCTGGGATCCCCTCCTCCCTGCTCGTGCTCGCTCACACTCTCTCTCTCTCTCTCTCTGTCCTGCTCTCAAATAAATAAATAAGATCTTTTTAAATAAAGAAACACACATTTACTTTATAAAACACACATAATGAATGATACATTGTTAAAGATAAAAATTCATAAATAGAAATTCTATTCCTTTCTTCCCACAACTTCCTGGGTTGTCTTGTCTCATGTATGGCGCTTCTGGGATAATGAATTCAAAAAGAAATACCAGGGAACTCTCAGATGAAATGTAACAAAGAATATGCAGATCAACAACTCTGGAATCTGAAGTACAACAAACAAAACACATCGACTCAGGGGGCCAAACAGCTATGAAAAACAAGCTACGTGGCTTGTTTTTCAGGCCATGTAATGACAAGGCATGAAAGATACTTGTTTTCTTTTTTTTTTTCTTTTTTTTTTATTTCTTTTCAGCGTAACAGTATTCATTGTTTGTTTTCAATCATCTCTTTTGTTCTTGGAATTATAGAATGAGTGTGAGTGCAAGCAAGGATTTCGAGGAAATGGGATTGATTGTGAAGCAGTCACTTCATGCTGGGAACAAACTGGGAAATGTCACCCACTGGTAAGTTACTTCCTTTCTTTCATCCTTTAAAAAAAAAAAAAAAAAAGGTTACTTGAGAAAGAAAGAAGTCTAGTTAATTTCTTATCTAGAACCTACTATCAAACAAAATCTTTCCTCCTCCCAAAGAGAGTCCCCAGGCAGAATGTGAGTAGTTCTTACAAATGTCACTCCAATCCAAAGCTTGGATGAACAAACGTACAATTGCCAGATAAAAGACAGCCTTCCCAGCTAAGTCAGAATGTCAAATAAATAACAATCCTTCAGCACCAATATGTTCCAAAGATTACATAGGGCAAATTTATACTAAAAATTATCCAGAACCTCTCTGAAATTCATATTTAACTTGATATTTTTTATTTGCTAAACCTGGCAATTCTTAATTGACTGGATGACTGGACTACCATTTTGAATGTCAGAACCTAACAAATTACTGGTGAAAATGCCCATCCAACGGTAGCTTGTGCCTCGTGTCTACGTTATGGAAGAGCAGGCAAAGATATTAGAGCTGATCATGTTCATGTTTTCAAAAGAACATCATTAAGCACCCAACATCAGAACCAAGGAAGACAACCCTTAGTCACAGTTCTTTTGGGTGCCAGTAACAGAATCCACATGAATCAACTTAAGCAAAAAAGGAATTTGCAGGGAGTCCTCCCAGGGTAGCTCCAAGGGCAGGAAATACAAGTAGACCTCCCAAGGATCCAGAATCAAGACCCAAAGACATCAAGATCAAGGCAGCCTTTTCCTCCAAACCTCTGAGACTATGTGATCGCTCATGTTGCTTTTCTCTGTGCACCGCTTTCTCTTTGTCTCTCACTCTCTCCCAACTTTAAATGTTCCCTTTGTATCTTGGGGTACAGCTCCCTTTTCTTAGATCAACATCACCCTCCACCCCCAGTGATGCCCACTAACTTACTGGCAATTTATGTCCCAATTCCAAATCATAGGAGAAAGGAGCTGGCCATCCAGGGGTCCAGGGATCCAGGGGTCCACATATGAGCCAGTCATTTATGGCCAGGGAATGTGGTGACATATTAGGAACATGGTTGCCAGAGCCCACTGCTATGTGGGGGAGGGTAGTTTTTAAAGAAAAATAGGGGAGATGCCCCCACAGTATCCATTTCTCGAGAATCATGAGAGCACTTCATAAATCTAAAGGAGACCCAACACTTTTGCTTCATTTAAGACCAATCAAGCCCTGATGTTCTAATGGTGAGAAGGTACTGCAACTGTCTCTTCATTCCAAAGCACAGAAGAACCAACATAGAGTCGCCAGATAAAATAAGTATGGGACACCCAGTAAATTTACGTTTCAGATTGACAACGAATCCTTCTTCAGCATCAGTAGGCCCCAAATGTTACATGGGACATGCTTGTACTAAAACTTGCATGTTTTTCTGAAATTCAAATTAACTATATGTCCTGTACTTTTATATGCTAAATCTGTGAGGGATGAAAAGAAAGAATTTAATTGTGATTAAGCAGGAGCTGCACCAAACATACAAACAGGAGACTTTCCTTGCAACAGGGCTAGGTCTGTGGGTCCCTCCTAGCATCTTTCAACCCCAAAGTTGCAATTCTCACCTTTGATGGAGCCTGAGGGCTGGAGGATGTAACTGGGAGCTAACTATTTGTTAGGATGCCAAATGGTTTCTTTTATCTTTGTTTTATCAGGCAACCTGTCAGCTTACTCCTTCTGGCCTCTGGAGTTGTGTTTGCCAGGAGGGCTATGAAGGAGACGGCCTTCTGTGCTACGGAAATGCAGCCATGGTAAGTTATCCAAGATGAACTCGTGTGCAGAATAATAAAGACAAAACTCTTAAAAAAAAAAAAAAAAAAGCTCTTGGCTAGGATGCCTTTAAGTATTCTACCAGTCTGTGCTCCAGAAGATCATACAGGAAGTAAGCTACTCACTCATTTTGCAAACAACTTAGCCTCACAGCTCCCATTGCCAGCTCGGCTCCCCATCCCAGGGACCCAGCCTCCCGGCTTTCTGCCATCAGCTCGGGTCCCATCTACACTGTCCTCTCCCTTGGAGCAGCCCCTTCCAGGGATTACTCACACATCTCAGCTCTTGTACCTGCCAGTTTACTTGCTGACTATGTGACAGGTATTTACTAATTCATCTGATAACCTCAACTACTTTCAAAAAGGAATTGAGACAACTCTGAGATTTATTGCCTCAGTGTAAATTTGTATATGATAACTATTGCCATTCTCATGGTGTTTGATAATTTTAAAATGCTTTCCCTTACAAGAATGTTCATAACCCCAGCAGCCAGGCATCCTCATATTCATTTTTCAGGTAAGACTTGAGTTCTCAGAGATGTTAAGTGACTTACTCAAGATCACACAGGTAGTGGTAGATGGCAGATTTAGGAAATGAACCCAGTCTTTTGGAACTCAAGGTCTAGTGCATCCTTTAGCACTCCTGCATACATGACTGAGGTATTGGTGCTGTGGGAATCTTTTCAAGTCTTAACTTCCCCCAAACAAGTGTAAGTTATGTGAGAGCAGAAGTCGTCTTTTCCCTTTTGTATGCCTTCCCTTCATTCCAATCTGGTGCCTACAGACACGGTTCAATGTATATGTTCATGAACATAGTCCACTGTGGAAAGTTGAAAAAGAAGAGTGGCTAAGACGTCCTGAGCATGTCCCGCATGCCAGCCTCCATTCTAAGCACTTTAAAACATTAACTTCTCCAAATTTCACACTGACCTATCAGTTGGAGCTTTTATTATCCCCATCTCACAGGCAAGAACATCGAACCCAGAGAGACCAAGTAACTTGCCTAAGGCATTAGGCAATGGCCAGACCAGAATGAAAACCAAGGTGGTCTGGCTCCACATTCCACGCCACTACTCAATGTTGGCTCAGAAAGGGGGATGTCATTGAGCTCTGTGACCCTCCCTGGGGGTGGGGCATCATGCCCTTAAAAACTAAATTCTGGAAGAGCTTCAAGTGGTGGTTCCATCTGAAGTTTCTGGAATTACTTCTTTATCTTGAGTAGAGAGGCTAAGGGAGCTCCTAAGCATGAAAGAACTGTGCAGCTCTGGCACAGGGAAATTCAACTAGCGGGCTGCTATTCCTATTGGTGTGGAAAATGAGCTGAGCCCAGCCCCAGGAAGGCTAAGTGCATGCTGTTCCACGGTTCACTGTGATCATGCTCATTCATTATTCCTTCTCTCCTGTTCTCTCTGATCTCTCTCTCCCTCCCCTGCACGACACGAATAGGAATTGTCATTCCTCTCCGCAGCAGCTATATTTAACCAGTGGATAAATGTGAGTACCTTCGTTGGAACTTCGGAAATGTATACGATTTTAGAAATTTGGAATGCATGTAACAGAAAACTGAAAACTCAGCTGGTAGGAAGGAGGGAAGGCAATTGTGTAGAGCAGTGGTCCTCCACCCTGACCACAATTTAGAATCACATGGAATGTCCTATTTAAATAGCCATGCCTCGGCTCCCACCACAGACACCCTGACTTGACTGATCAGAGGGGCAACCTGGTCATCAGGGCATTTTCAAAGCTCCCCAGGTTGGGGTGCCTGCGTGGTTCAGTGGGTTAAGCCTCTGCCTTTGGCTCAGGTCATGATCTCAGAGTCCTGGGATCGAGCCCTACATCGGGCTCCCTGCAGGGATCCTGCTTCCCCCTTTCTCTCTGGCTACTTGTGATCTCTCTCTCTCTCTCTCTCTCTCTCTCAAATAAATAAATACTTTAAAATCTTCCCAGGTGATTCTAACATACAAGCAGGGCTAAAGAGTTCTGGTCTGGGTTAAGCTAGAGGGGTCAACTTTTCAGCCAATTCAAATATATATGTATCACTTCACTCATCAAGAGATCTTTTTAAAAAAGTCAATGTAATTCATTACTGCCATTCACCGAGTTGGATTTGGGGTTTATAGTTGTAATCTGGGATAATCCATGGGTGTTTAGCTCTTCGCCCAACATGCTCCAAGGAGCTTCTTCCTCTCCCCTGGAAAGTTCTATGATGAAGAATCCAATCCCCACTATACCCAGTTGTGGGCGTCTCTGTCATCTTTGCATGAGTGGGCCAAAGTGCCATCACAACTGCTGATATATCCCCTCTGAGAAGACACATGCCAAGATATGGAGTGCCTGGTCAGCACCAAACTGGGACAGCTCCCGACTGCTTCTGTGTGGAGCCTCTCCAGCCCCGCCACGTGAAAGAACAGGGACTCAGAGTCCGGCTGCACATGCTGACTTCCATATAGGCCAAGCCCACATGCATAAGCTTGCCCAGTGGCATAGTGGACCCAGCTCATCCCAACGCACGAGAGCATATCTTCCCCAAACTCACCTTCAGTGCTCTCACACAGGTAGCTTGAAATCAGCCATGGTGGGAGGATATACACCACAGAAATCAGGGGATGTTACAAACCAGGGCTTTTTGCTTGTTTTTCTTGGGATCAGTTATTAAACATAAGTGTACCACTTCAACCCAGAATTAGCTCTAGGTCTGATTTCAGGCCTCCAGCCTGTCCCCCATGCTGAAACATTTCCTGTAATCTTCCCACACCCTTATTCCTAGGGCATCCAAGGGTTCTTTTTTTTTTTTTAAGATTTTTTAAATTTATTTTTCAGAGAGAGAGAGAAAGAGGGAGAGCATGAGCAGGCAGAGTGGCAGGCAGAGGCAGAGAGAGAAGCAAGCTCCCTGCTGAGGAAGGAGCCCGATGCAGGACTTGATCCCAGGATTCCAAGGGCTCTTAAGGCTCACACACCCACACACAGGATCATCAAGACTATTCTCTGGTTCTTTGTTTAGAGACCTGGAAAGTTTGCCTTATGACAAAGCTCACACATTTAAATAAAAAGAATGTGTCTCAGAGAATATGAGGTACCAGTCAGTGGGTGGGATGGATTTGGGACAAGGGTCCCTAGGACCTTTCCAGTGTCCCTGAAATTACTTCCCTGGGAAGTCGTCATCTCTGCCAAGCATTCAGTCCACTCTGTCTGTCCTCTAACGTGAGCCAGGCTGACTTTCTTTCCCTCCTGTGATTCAGAATGCTTCTCTACAACCCATGCTGTCAGCTGCCTCAAACCTCACTGTCTTCGTGCCTTCCCAGCAAGCTATTGAGGACATGGATCAAGATGAAAAAACCTTTTGGTTGTCCAAGAGCAATATTCCAGTCCTAATAAAGTAGGTATTATGTATTTTATTCTTCATGATATCTTACCGGCATCCATGTGAACAAAGTTCAGTAGAGGGAAGCCACATGGTCCTTGAGAACCACAGAAACCAGCATGTTCTAGAACACTCCTCACCTCCTTCCCCCAGGATGGTAACAGTTAACATTATGGACAGCCAACTCTGTGCTAACTACTTCACGTATAACTCAGTTCATCTCTCAACAACCCTAGGAGACAGGCACTAAAATTACACCTATTATACAGATGGGTAAACTGAGGTATGGGGTGATTCCATAACTAACCCAGGGCTCCATGGCTGATAAGGGGAAAAGTTTGAATCTGGCCATCTGGCTCCAGAACCTATTTTCTTAACTATTCAATGATACTCCTTCATGCATTGATATTTCATGATAGCCCTTCTGGACTGTTGTTGTTTTAGGTACCATATGCTGCTGGGCACATACAGAGTGGCAGATCTGCAGGCTCTGTCATCTTCAGACATGCTGGCAACGTCTCTGCCTGGCAACTTCCTTCACCTGGCGAAGGCAGATGGGGTAAGAGAGTTCTGTAACCTGTCTGCTAAGTGGAAACGTGTCATCTATGTTTGTGCTGCCTGCTTTGAAGGTCTGTGTTATGAAAATCTCCAAACATGAGCAAAAATAGCCCAAGAATAGAATGTCCATGTGGGCATCACCCAGCCTCAACAACTGTCAACATATATGGATACACACACACACACACACACTCACACGTTACCCTCTAGTAGAGATGCTCTAAAATGTGACCCTCCACCCACAGCTTGGCCACAAGGCTCTTCTTGACAGACCACAGACTGATCCTGTGAAAGAATCCTGGGTGAAAGGATCCTGTGAAAGGATCCTTTCCATGATTCTGGGTAAAGGTTTCCCAATTTCACAACTGTGGCTATTCGTATGCGATTAACTAAAAGCTGTTACCAGTAACCAATTCATTGAGTGACTACAGGTTACAAAAATTTGATTTCAGGTTAGAGTCAGTCAACCAACCTTTACTGAGTACCTATGAGACACCAGGGGCTCAGTGCTGATGTCAGAGCAACACACAAGGAAGAGCCACCACCCCATGGAGGCTCAGCCTCTGGAACTTACCGCCGTGTGTCCGGACTTGGAGTCAGCCTTGCGTTGGGAAGTTTGGCTGCCTTGAGGCCTATGCCAGTGTCTGACAGCTCTGGCTATGAATTTCACAAGGTGAAAATGAAGATTTTACTGGGAAGTGAGAACTGCTGCATCAGTGGACCATGAACCACCATCTAAAATGTTCTGGGATTACTGCTCTAAAACATTTTTACCTTCGTACTCATCAGTGACAGAGATGATGTCAGAGAAGATGACAGAGTGCTGTGAAAAGGGTCTATGGCTAGCATTGCTGGAATGTATGTGCCTCATCAGATCATTCTTTGTTGAAAGCAGGAAAGAGTTGCATACAGTTCCATGGACTCTTGGCATATTATTGTTCTAATTCTAGTACATTACATACCTGTATCAGACAATGGGGTTGTGCTCCATCGGTGTTTTAAATCATTGTTTCTCCTAACAAGCATGAGCTGAACACCTACCCTGGGCAGGCTTATCCTGGGTTCTCTGCGTTCAGAGACAAATCAATGGGACCCTTGACCTGGAGGAGTTAACCACCAAAGACACATTTTAATGAGTTCCTGGGTCTGATACAAATGTCTCCCTTTAACCAAAAGAGATGTGCAAGGCAGTCAGGAGTGTTTTCTCCAGGGCCTTCACTGAGTGACTTGGGGGCTATCAGGGTAAGACAAGTCCCCTTCTGCACTTAGGTTCCCAAGAGGGATTTCAAATAAAGGATAAGGGCGGGGGAAGAAAGGAAAGTAGAGAGAGTGGAGCCCAGCTGTGCTGTGGCTGGTTGGTGGCTGGGTGAGTGTGTAGGTTGGGTAATAAATCTTCTTGAAAAGTAACTGGGTTCATTTGGATCAAGAAAGTCAGGGGCTGTCCATATGAGTTTGCTAAGGCTGTTATAACAGCGTACCACAAAGGGAGTGGTTCAAACAGCAGAACATTTTGTCTCATGGTTCTAGAGACCAAAGGTCCAAAATCAAGGGGTGAACAAGTTTGGCTCCTGAGGGCTGTTGGAAGGGGCCATTCCAGCCTCTCTCCTTGGCTTGTTGATGGCCTTCTTCACGCTCACACAGCATTCTCCTCGGACCATGGTCTGTGTCCAATTTCCTCTTCTTAGAAGAACACCAGCCCTGTTGGAGCAGGGCTGACTACAATGATCTCATTGTAATGAGATTACCTCTGTAAATACCCTATTTCCAAATAAGGTCCCATTCTGAAGTACTGGGGGTTAGGAACCCAACATACGAATACTGAGGACACAGTGCAACCCACACCACCATCTACAGGGTTTTTCAGACTATAGGTTCACTTTGGTGACCCTCAACCAGCAGTCTTTGAATGAAGTATAAAAGAACAGAATTGGTATTCAGGGGCCTCCCCAAAAGTAGAGGAAAGTATCATTCCATTTTAAGTTGTGAGTGTGTGTGTGTGTGCATGAGAGAGAGAGAGAGAGAGAGATACCTAGTGTGTCACAATTTAAAGATATTTCTAACTTCAGGTCATAGTAAAAAATGTGATAGTCACTACTGCTTGAGAAGTATAAAACCCAGAAATAGTTTCAATCCCTGAATTTCCTACCCTATGGAGATTCACCTTCCCACTGTGCTTTACATTTACAGACTGTCACGATTGAAGGAGCATCTGTCATTGACGGTGACAACGCAGCCACAAACGGTGTGATACACATCATCAACAAGGTACACGCTTGCCACCTGCCATGCAGACAGCATCTCCTCTGACTTCACTTATTACTTCTGCACAGGATGCTTGGTAGGGGATGTGGGGGTGGAAATACGTTCCTCTAATGGAAAAGTAACCTGTGTTGTGCTCCATGACATTAATGTTCAAACTGCTTAGAGGTTCTCTTCATCTAGTCAGACTCTGTTCTTACTTATTCAGCCTATATTTGGCAATGGCCCCTACATCAAGTGTGACCAAATATGTTATATTTTTTATTTATGTGAATATCTTAATCAAGAACTGGAGGACAGGCAAATGGTTATGCATTATTTTCCCTCTCCCCTTTCTCCATGATTTCACCCAAAAAAGATGGGGTAAGGAAGCCCTAGAAAAATATGGCAAAGGGTAGATAAAGTATTTTGAAATTTTCATTTTCTTCTAAGACACAATGCAACAGTATTCAAAGGTACAAAATAAAACAAAAAAGTATAGCGGGAAACACGATTTTAAGTTATCCTGTAATTTTCTGTTACTATATTAGGATTTTCATTGAAAATTAAGGTTAGAATTTAAGGTATATTGGGAACTTTCAAAAGGTGGAAAATTGGAAAAGACAATTAACTAATAGCACTTTAACTAAAATTATCCTCACTTGGCATTTCTATACTCACTTTTGATTTTAATTTACAGAAAAGGTCAACTATTTCTGTGCAGGAAAGAAGCTATTTGTAAGATGCCTGGGTGCATTATTTTGCAAAAACCTTGCAATTCCCTTGTATTACCAAGAAACATTAAGAAAAACATTTCTGAGCAACTGATCACTTGTAGGGAACTATGCTCAGTTTATGACATCTTATGATGCAAATGAACATTACTTATCAAGGGTATTTTTCTTCTCCAATCCTGGCTTTCCTATTAAAAACCTTTAAAAAAACATGAAATTACCTCTCGTTATTTACATTTCTGATGGCCATACCTTATTAGTACAACAGCCCCTGAACCCATCTCCCATCCTGATCGATATTATCATGAGGCCAATTCAAGTCTCAGCTCCTCCCTGAAGCCTTTCTGATCCTGCCACCCATATCATCAAGAATGGCATACAGAATCTGGGGACTACTCATAGCAAGCTATGTGAACTTGGGCAAGGGACATAACCTCTCTGAGCTTCATCTTTCTTCCCCAGGAAGAACAAAACAACACCTTCTCTTTCTCAATGCCTACTGCCTAGCCGACCTTCCCTCAATAAATGTTGATTTTACTCCTTCCTCCCTCCTCCGCAATTCCATAGGATTTAGGAGTATAGAACTCATTTGGTACACTGTGCCCTCCTGTACTGATAGTTCTTCCTCACGGTATAGTCCCAGACCCCCAAGTGATGGCATGTCCTGGGGATGGGGGACCTGTGTTTCTGTGTCCCTCATCAGCACCAGCCTCTACCCTTGTACATGGTAATAACTGGAATGATTGACAGCATAGTAGGTAACAGGCCTTGTACAATATATCACGTCCCATCATCTCCTGTGATTTTTACTGCAACCCCAAGACAGTAAATGCAACTGTCCTCAATTCACAAGGGAGACAAGTAAGGCTCCTCAGGGTTAAGTAACTGGACTGAGGAAGAAGTGATGTGACCACAAAAGAATCCTGGATGCCTGTCCTCTTGTTCAAGTTCTCTGGTTAGCCTCTGGGTTGCACTGGCTCCCTAAGGACCTCCTCCACCTGCCCTTGGACACCGTGGGCACCTTTGCCAAGGCCACCATGAACACGTGTGCAGAGCATGCTCTGCATATCAGCACCTGACCTCAGGGTAGCGTGAGGCTCACCCCCAGCCCACTTCACTCCCAGACTGTGCACCCTCATTGGGTATTGCCAACCATCAGAGGAAAAGGTGTCCTTCGTTAAATTTGCAGAACTGCTTTGTGGACTAGCAGGGGTCCTTATCATTGCATCTCGTCGTGTGACATGACCCTACCTACCATAGGGCAGCAAGCCCTATGGACACATGCTAACAGATTCTGGGGGCTTCCTTTCCCAGGTTTTGGTTCCCCAAAGAAGCCTAACAGTCTCCTTGCCAAACCTGCTCACCCGGCTGGACCAGATGCCCAACTATTCCATCTTCCGGGGCTACATCATTGTAAGTACCACGTTCTCTGCACAGCCCGCTCGCTCAGGGTATCTGCGCAGGGATATCCCTCACATCTTCTTGTCTCTCGCCATCACAGCAATATAACCTGGCCAGTGCGATCGAGGCAGCCAGCACTTATACTGTGTTTGCTCCAAACAATGACGCCATTGAGAATTACATCCGGGAGAAAAAGGTCACAACTCTAGTAAGTACTGGGAACGATAACCAGGACAATTATTTTCTGAACATTCAAAGTCAACATTTTTCAATCCATTAATCATGGACCATTCCACTCTCTCATCAAAATTTCCTTGTCCATGTCCAGATACTTAAGGCAAATTTCTGCCCATGTGTCTCATTCACACTCCCGGAAGTTCACACTCAGGCCCCAGTACAAGGATGCAGGTGTCTCAGGAATCTGGAAGCATCCTCCTGGTCTCCCACCACTTCCCCACCCTGGCCTCTCTGGTCCCAGGCAACTGAGATGTCAGGGGCAGGGATAAGGAGGAAGTGGGTCAACTCTGTCTTCCTCTTCCTCTTCTCCCCACCTCCATCTTCCCTGATTCCTAACGTCTGGGGCTACACAGCCCAAATCTGTCAAAAGATTTTGTCAAAGAATATCAGGCTCCAGTCATGCCACTCTGTGCCTGAAAAGCCTTGGGTGGATCCCCATTTCTTACAGGACGGCGTTCAGACCACCGGCCCAGGTACCTGAGACCTCTGTCAACTGCCACCATTCATCTTTCATTCAGTGGTTGCTCCAGAATTTTCACTTAGGAGTCGGGGTTGCCCTGCCCCCAGCCCCCACCCCATGATGGGAGGACATGTTGGAAGCTATATTTGTACAAAAAGCACACTGTTTTCCCTTATATCTTCAGATAAGGTGGCTGAGACAGAGACCCTAGGGAAATATGGATGGACATCTGAAGTTCCTCTAAGCTGTCCTAGGGCCCACCTATTCTCTGCAGAATCACCCTGGTCTAACCAGAGTGACAGTCTCAGAGACCCCAAACAAGCCATAAGCGTGTTCGGTACCTTTGTTCATATCTACCCATACACGCAGACACACATGCACACATGTGCACATGCACACACTGCCCCCCTCAATCAGGAAGACTCCCCTTTGGTCTTCACCTCCAGAATCACCCCCACCCATTCCTCAAGTCCAGTCTGACCTCCTCAGGGAAGCTGACTCACCACCTGAGCCAACCGAAAATCTCTCCTGCCTCTGAGTTCAGACCATTTGCTCGCCCTTCAGCATCTGTATGGTGTGACGAGTTGTCCTTTCAAGCGATAGGGCCTTAGCTCCCCAAGGAGCTTATAAAGTCTGTGAGGGCAGGAATGGTATCCTACACTTTTATGACTGACATGATGAACAAGTAGGGTTCTTGGGAGGGGTCAGAAATCACCTTTACTTTGTCTCCCCTTCCCTGCTCTAGTCCCTGTGAACCTATTCAGTGGGAAATATTCTTTTCCTGCCTTGGCATGAAACTTCAGGTAATCCCATGACCTTTCTGTTTCCCCCAAGAGTCCTAAGATCATTTGAAGTCATAAACAGAGTCTCCATTAAGTTAAGAAAAAAAATTCCAGCCCCTCTAATAATCAATACCTTGAGCTGGATTTTAAAATCACATCTTCTCTCATGGTTCCCTGCTGGGGCTTTGTCCAGGCAGGAAGCTGGAGGAGGGGCTTGTTGTTCAATCAACCAGGATCCATCAGGAGACTGAAACCATACCAGAGGGAGTTTAATATTATGAATTGATTATTGGGTACAAAGCTGTGTAAGTATAACTGAAAGGTTAAAAGGAGAGAGAGAGAGAAATCACAAAGGTAGCGACTGCAGGAAGCATCTAGACCCCAAAGGCTAGGAGAACAAATGAAAGAGGTTAGAATCACCAAAACTTAGAAATATGGAGGAAGGGCCCCGCAGAGCTGTAGCTCAGACCTCAGTGGAGGGGATGCTGGTCATCTGGTGTCGCTGACCCTGGAGGACGGTCCCTCGGGGTTCCATGACCCAGACTCAAGCAGAAGGTGTTGCCCAGCAGGTGCTGATGTCTGAGAAACTGCCCTCCAGATTCAGCTACCACTTCCAGGGTGCAGAGTGGGGCTGGGGTGATGCCCATAGGAACAGGAAGCAAACAGGATGAGGGAATTCCTTCTCCTTCCTTCTGCTCTAATAGGCCTCACAGTCTCTTTCTAGTGCTTTCCAGTGGGAGAGCCTTACAGGAGCCCTGTCAAAGGAAAAATGTGGACCAGAGTCCTGGCCCCAGGATCACAAAGCAGAATGTAGAGCGTGGGTTTGGAGCTGAAAGTCAATCGACTTAAGTAACCTCCTATTCCCTTCCCTGAGCTCATTAAATTCAGTGTGGATTGCATCGGGTCTGAAGTTGAAGGTCTGAAAGTCTTGGTGGTCAAGAGGAGAACTTAAAAGGGTGGGAAGGTTCTTAATTTAACTGTCACTGTCTTGAGATGCCATTGTTCTTCCTAGGCCGGGCCAGTGTTTCAAAGCACTCATTCATGCTGTCTCTGTCTCATTCTCTCTCTCTTTCTCTCTCTTTCTCTCTCCCTCCTTCTTTCTTTCCTTTTTTCTGTGAATCCATAAAATACTTATTAAGTGTGGAGAAAGAAAATTCTCCAAAGATCATGTTGATTAATGTCTTATAGGGACTTTTCTCTCTCTTTCTCTATCTCCTCCCTCCCTCCTTTCTCCTTCCCTCCTTCCTTCTGATGCTCTGGTGGTTCTTTGGAGACCCCAAACATAATTGGTGGTCTCTGACTGTTGTCCCCTTGACCTGAGTGTATGCACCCTAGTCCTGTAGTCATTGATCTCCTCGTTGGACCCTAAGCATCCAGAACCTGCCTCCAGCTTTTCTCCTGGGGAAGCCTGTCGGCCCCCTAGGCCACCATCAAAGATAGGACCTAAGGCCCCAATTCTCTCTGACCCTGCCACACCTCTGGCCCACAGGACACACATCCTCTCTTGTCCCAAGCCAGCACTGGGAGTCGTGGGCCTGTCCCAGTGCTGGGACACCTCTCGGCCCTCCACAGTGGATCAACCTGCCAGCCATCCGTGGCATGAGATTGCTCAGGTCTGAGTACAACCCCAGTCCCACAGGCCACCGTATCTGTAGGGGACACAGATCATATTCTTCAAAGCATCCCAGCGAGTCTCCTCTCATGGCCCTTGGGGTGAAAGGCAGGCTGGGGACTCTCTCTTCAAAGAAATCATCTTTAAAATCCTCCCTTGAGCTTCATGCCTTCAGTCCAGGTTTTAGGGTGACAGCAGGAGTTCTGGACCATCCCATGTGGAAGACCGTCACGTGCGAGGTGATGTGTCTCAGCTTTACTATTTCATACCTACTGCCTTGGTCAGACCTTGCCGTTCAACAAGTTATTGCTCTAGTAATTCCCACAGGGCCAGGCATGCTGGGGCAGCCCACTAAGTGACTGGGGACTATCTGACCTACGGGTTGACTTTCAGTCCTGAGTGTTTTGCAGGAGGAGGACGTAATCAGGTATCACGTGATCTTGGAGGAGAAACTCCTGAAGAATGACCTGCACCAAGGCATGCATCGGGAGACCATGCTGGGCTTTTCCTACCTCCTCGGCTTCTTTCTCCACGATGACCAGGTGCAACCCTTTTACTTAAAACCCAGGAGTGAGTGTCTTAGCTCCTATCATCCGTCATCACTTCCATGTTGGAATAATCTCACCAGTACCTTCTAAGCCTTATCCACAAAAGACAGTTGTCTGTCTTTCACCATAAAGAGCAGAGAGACTGCCCAGCTCCCCACTCACCCTCCCTGTCACCAGCCTTTGCATAATCATTGTGGGCTTTACTAATCATGGTATTTGAATTCCAACAGTCACAAGTGCCCTCTGACCCTGATTCCTAACGAACCCAACAGATAGTCCGCAAGCAGTCTCTAAGATAGAAGAACTGACAGCAAAACCCAACACTCAGGATGTGGCACTGACTCCACAGGGCCAAGTGACATGTGGAATCCAGCAGCCAAATGAATAATGTCACAATTCCTTGATCATACACACCCTGGTCCCAGGACAGGCTGAACCCCATACCAGGACTCCAATATTTATCTCATACAACCACTAAATATTTCAGTGTTCAGAATTCATGAAAAAGAATTGATGAAACTAAATAAGTTAAGTATTTCAATTATAATTCTAATGACATATTTCAAACATCAAGGAAGAATATTCATTTATGAAAATTCAACAAGAAACTCACAGTGTAACTCTAGGATAAATTCTCATAAGAAAAAGTAATAAAAACAAATTATTGTTTAAGATAAACGAGGCATGATATTAAGAGGAAGAAAGTTTAATCATGGACTTTTTTAGCATTACTAGTAGTTGGTCCTTTTAAAAAGTGCAATGTTAAAACAATGTTCTCAGTAGTATCATCACTGAATCACAAGTGATTCAGTGGGAAATTATAATCACAAGTGATTCACTAGGAAATTATATTTCCTAGTAAGGCAACTTTTTATTGGTAAAGAACTTAGATTTTTTTTTATCTGATCATTTCTTACTTCATCACATAGAGATGAATTCTTTTTTTTTTAATTTATTTTCAGCATAACAGTATTCATTGTTTTTGCACCACACCCAGTGCTCCATGCATTTCTAATGCAGTTAGTTGAATCCATTTCAACTCTGTCATGGTTATTTTCCATTTGTTTGGAAATTCTTTGATCTAGAGCAATTTTACATGAGAGGCTTTAACTTAAAATAAATAGTTCTATCTCACAGTAGAGGTTTTGCTCTTATTGGTAACTCATTTACTTTCTCTTAGGACAATAGAGTTGCAGGAAAAATCTCTCTAACCCAGAAAACTTGTGTTCCAGTAAAAATTTTAATGCAGCACATAATTCTCTGGGGACATCTCACAATGAAAATGACTCAGACGTTTTGAAGGCCAAATCAACCATATGATAGCATCAGAAGTTCTGTCATTTTGATATTTTTTAAATATTTCAGTTTCTCAGAATTCTGGAAGTTCATGCTTCAACCACCATTTGACAGCACCTGTACGGTTCCTTGCTAGTTTTCCAAATCTACACAAATGCTAGAAGACCTCTGTGGAGCTCGGCCATGATTTATCTCAACACCCAATGGAAAGTCACCTGACTCCAAGTAAATCATAAGGGGCTTTAACATTCCACAAGAGTTCAAATTTTAGCAATTGAAAGAGTCATTTTAATAGTGCTGCTGTGGGGAGTTTGGAGATGTTCTTAATCATTTTTAAACCCTTATTGGATACAAACTTAACATTTTCTTAGTACAATAAAGACTCCCCCTTCTTCCAACTCACACCTACTCAAACACACACACACACACACACACTCTCCAATTCTTGAAAAAACCCTTTTCCCCACTTATATTAGTTATATTAATGAATGAATAGATGGATTCACTCATTTTGCGTTATTCAATCATTAAGGTAGCCTCCTCCTCTTAAAAAAATCAAAACAAAACACTTTGCAACTCAAAGTTGAAGTTGAATTAGCAACATATAATGCAGAACATCTGAGCACTTGCCACACACTGGGAAATGAGAGTATCTGGTGGAACACTTTTCACAAACAAAACCACTTTAAAAAATGCTAATTATTTTTATTCTTAAATACCTGTCACTTGGCCTTTCTAAGGGTTGCTCACAAGCTAACCATAGAGATGTACGGAAAGCCCAATGAGTTTCATTCTCCATGCCTTGGTTTTAGAATGCATTCAGACCTCCAAGACCACCAGTCCACAGCACAGGGAGGCATGCCCAGGGAGCCATTTTGCCGATGGGACTCGTGTAACAATCATGATTCAGAATTCTTCAAACGCCATAAACCAACTAATGGGAGGGGTAGATAGAAACCTGAGAGATGATCTAGAACAGCCTTTTCCTTTTACAAAAAAGGAAATTGAGATTCAGAGAGGAAAAGCAACTGGCCTAAAGTCACACAACCAGATGGTACCAGATGCGGGACCATTACTGAGACTTTCTTCCCCAGGAGAGATCTTTCCTCTACAGAGTGCTACCTTCCAGGTGAACACTGGACTATCTCCGAGACTGCTATGATATTGATAGCCTCTGATCCTTATTGTTGCTATTTCCCTTGAAATCACTATAATCAAATTCACGTTCAACCCTCTTATTTACAGCTCTATGTAAATGAGGCTCCGATAAACTACACCAATGCGGCCACTGACAAGGGAGTGATCCATGGCTTGGGGAAAGTTCTAGAAATTCAGAAGAATAGATGTGATAATAACGACACTACTATTGTACGAGTAAGTTATACCCAAGGCCAACGATGCACCTGTTGGCTTCATTTTTTATTGTTTAAGCATAAGGTTTGTCTATCAAGGTATCTCAATTCAGTTCAAAAACACACTGAGTGAGCATCTCTGATGTACGAAGAGGTAGAATCAATTTGACTCTATGAAGATAAATAAGACATGATCCCTGCCCTCAGTGGGTTCACAATCCAGCGCAATGAATTGTACCTCGGTGCCTGGGAACTTTCCTGGAGGGTTGTACTGAGCGGGATTCTCAAGCCATGGTCTTCGTCAGACAGAAACATGCCACACCTAGCATAGGCGCAGAGAGGAGGGGGGTGATGGTCCACCTATGGCAGGTGTTGCCCAAGCCTGGTCTCCTGGGACAGAAAATATAGAGTTGCATTATTTCAGTATAACAGAGGATGCGGTAATGGAGACTTTTCATTCCAGTCCATGGGATGGTGTAGGATCTTTCCATAATAGTAATGACTGCTGACATTAAGGGGCACTTATGTGCTAGTCACTGCACATATTTTATGCTGCTATAATGGTTTTATATGGGTTCATACACATGTTACATGTATGAAGCCATCCTCACCACACCCTACAAAATAGGTACTATTATTATCCCCATTCTACAGATGGGGAAAATGAGCCAAAAGAGGTTAAGCAATGTACCTAGGTTCACAGAACTAACAAGTGGTGGGCTGCCTGGGTGGCTCAGTGGGTTAAAGCCTCTGCCTTTGGCTCAGGTCATGATCTCAGAGTCCTGGGATCAAGCCCCGCAACAGGCTTTCTGCTTGGCAGGGAGCCTGCTTGCCTCTCTCTCTCTCTCTGCCTACTTGTGATCTCTGTCTGTCAAATAAATAAATAAAATCTTAAAAAAAAGAGAGAGAACTAATAAGTGGCAAATAAGGAGTTCAAATCCAGGCAGTCTGGCCCCAGAGCCAGAACCGTGAACAACCACATTATCCTGTCTGGTGGGGGCCAAGTTAAGAACTAGTCACATTAGCCTCCTCCTGTTGTAGGACTGGATCACATTTAAAAATGTCTGTCATTCTCAACTTGTGCTCTTTGTTTTATAATAGTGTATATTATCTCCACCCTGAGCCCTTAGCTCCCAGGTGCTCCCAAGTGTTGCCCAGATGAACTTCCCTAATGTCTTTCTGGGTTTAAGTTCTACATCCTAAAACTTTCAGCTCCAAGGTCTGGAAAATACTTGCAGCCTCACTTTGCACTAAAAGTAAGAATGGTAAAATGTTCACCTTGCCTTTTTGTGTTTTACCAAGGGAAAATGTGGAAAGTGTCTCCAGCAACCGGTCTGCCCATTTGGAACTAAACAACTAGTAAGTATTTTGTTTGCTTTAATTAAGTAGTTTCCAGATCCCAGGAGGTCCAAATTAGAAAATGAACCTCAAAGAAAAAAGAAAAGAAAGAAAGAAAAGAAAAGAAAGAGAGAGAGAGAGAGAAAGAAAGAAAGAAAGAAAGAAAATGAACCTCAAGCATACCTCATTTTCACTGCTCACAATTCCTGTACTTGGTTTTAATTTCATTTTACCTTCATATACACATCTTTCTAAAGTCTTGAATCCATTTGTTTGAACCAAAGCAAAATTTAATTAATACATAAATAGAAGCTGGGGTTCACATCAGTCAATATACAATACAGGAAGCGATTTTTCACTTTCTACATCTTTTAGTCCTGGAAGCTTGTTAAGGATAAGAGCAAGAAATCTTTTCAGAGAAGGGCAGACTCCATATCCAAAACCACATCCGTCTGGATGAGTTTCACCTGCCTGATTTGCTTTTATAATTGAAGTTACAACTTTCTCTAAGAAACAGATGGAAAACTTGGGAGAAGTAAACATATCTTTGAATTAATTACCAATGTTCCTTGTAGCTATTTATTGCAAAAGCAACTTCTGATAAAGTTCCAATCATCATAAAAAAATAGATGCTTAGGCACCTTTCACAGCATGAGAACAAGTATTTCTGATGATACCAACGCTGATTCTCACACTAGAGTTTAATCTTGTTATTACAGAATTATTTTATCTAATGTGCTCTACAATTCTCCCAAACTTGAGTTCATTCTCTAGACAAAAGTTCTTTTTACAGAGTACCACCTTAAGGTATCATAATTTGGATTTTGCCACCTGTTCAGTTCTGGCAGCCGATACTGTGTTTTTGTGTCTTCTTACTTACAAAGCAGCTCCAGGAAGACAACCCCCTCACTTTCCAGAACATTTCAGTGGGAGAAACAGCAATACGTCCCCCACCTACTTGCTCTTAGAGACTGGAACTTCTCCCCCACCCAAAAGCTGATGTAATCATCTCCATTTCACAGGGTGAAGAGATGAGGAGATGTATCTATACCATTTATTTCATGGGCAAGCGATCCCTGTTCATTGGGTGCCAGGCAAAATGTGTGAAAACCATAATTGTGAGTATAACGATTGAATCGCCCTTCCAATGCCTGCAGCAGCATGGGGAAGTTTTATCATATGTCACACTTTTCAGATGGCTTCCTGTGGATTCCTTCTGCCTCTCCTCTTCCTCCTTATCATCCTCATTGTCATTGTCATGCAAGGTAGTGGAGGTAGCAGGAAAACTCTGTGGACAGCCACGTAAGTCAGGAAACTGGGAAAAGCTCCATTATTCAACTGCATGGTAAAGGACTGAGAGCCTAGGAGGACCTCCTCATTGTCACAACAGGGACAGAGGAGATGGCCGACTTCCTAAGGAAAGAGAAGGTGCACCTGCTTGTTTAGAAAATAGGACCCCAGAACTAAGCATGTCTGCACTGCTGGTTTAGAATCTGCTGGAAATTTATCTTTATCTGCTGGAAAATTCTTTATAACTTCCTGTCCTGCCTCTTACCCCTAGAAGACTAGCCATAGCCTCTGCCTATCCTACAGAAGCAAGACGGTTTGGCCTTTAAGCTGCAGAGGTTGGAGCTGCAGAAGAGTCTGTGGGGGTTTGGGGTCTTGTTTTCCAGTATCCAGAAATGTTTTATCGGAACCTAGCCATGCTCACCCATTTATTTCTTACTGAAGTATAATTAACATACGATGGTATATTCGTTTCACACGTACAACACAGTGATTCAGTAATTCTCTATGGGGAACCTAAAAACAAAACAAAGGAACAAAGGAACAAAAAAAAAAACAATGAGGAAAAAACAACAACAAACAAACAAACAAACAAAAAACAGCAGATTCTTAAACACAGAGAACAAACTGGTCATTGCCTGAGGTGGGTGGGGGAATGAGTGAAATCAGTGAAAGAGATTATGGGTACAAACTTCCAGTTACAAAATAAGACAGAGATGAAAAATGCAGCATAGAGAATATAGTCAGTAATCATGTAGCAACGTTGTATGGTGACAGACAGTGTCAGCACTTCCTGAGCTGAGCACTGAGTGAGGCAGACATATGTGTGTTAGTGCCCTCAAGGGTAAAGGCATCTGGGGCACCTGGGTGGCTCAGTAGGTTAAGCTTCTGCCTTCAGCTCAGGTCATGATCCGGGGATTGAGCCCTGTGTTGGGCTCCCTGCTGTGCAGGAAGCCTGCTTCCCCCTCTCCATCTGCCCTGCCCCCCACCATGCAGGCGAATGAGCACTTGAACGAGCACTTGTGCGTGCACTCTCTCTCTCTCAAATAAATTAAATAAATAAGTACTGTTTTTTAAAAAAGAATAAAGCCAGTGATGGGGATTAAGGGGTGCGGTGCACTTACCATGATGAGCACTGGGTACTATATAGAATTGCTGAATCGCTATATGGTGTACCTGCAACTAATATAACGTTTTATGTGAATTCTATTGGAATTAAAATTAAAAATTTAATTAAAATTTAAAAAAAAAAAAAGAGATTTACTTCTAAAATGCCGAAGGCTTCCCCTGATGAGAAACACACCAGGAAGGGGCCGGGCTCCTGGATGGTAACAGCTTCACCCCCTCCTACCCTGCTTGTATCAGCTGCATTGTTCTTTTTTTTTTTTTTTCTAATTTTTTAAAATTTAACTTTATTTTTTCCGTGTTCCAAGATTCATTGTTTATGCACCACACCCAGTGCTCCATGCAGTACATGCCCTCCTTAATACCCACCACCAGGCTCACCCATTCCCCTCACCCCCTTCCCTCCAAAACGCTGTGTTTCTCAGAGTCCACAGTCTCTCATGGTTCGTCTCCCCTTCCAATTTCCCCCAATTCACTTTTCCTTTCCTTCTTCCAATGTCCTCCATGTTATTCCTTACGCTCCACAAGTAGGTGCAACTATATGACAATTGACTTTCTCCACTTGATTTATTTCACTCAGCACAGTCTCCTCCAGTCCCGGCAGCTGCCTCGTTCTTCACTCTGATCCCACTGCCTCCTTTCCCGCTGCTCTTCATCCTTGTCTCTTGCTTGCCTTTATCCTTTCCCTCTTTTCTGCTTCGCCACTGGGTCCTGCCCCTGGCACCCTCCATGCGCTATCCAAGTTTCCGGCACACCCAGCCCCACTGGCAGGATCTCCAGACCGCGACCGGGACAGAACCTGGGGAGATGGAGGTGTGGGGCCTTGTCCGAGCCCAGCCTTGTCCCTTGGTTTCAGAGGAGAGAATGCTGTGCGGGCTTCTTTGGTCCCCAGTGTCAGCCCTGCCCAGGAAGAGCTGAGAACGTCTGCTTTGGAAACGGGATCTGCTTGGACGGAGTGAACGGCACAGGCGTGTGCGAGTGTGGAGACGGCTTCTCAGGCACGGCCTGTGAGACCTGCGTGGAGGGCAAGTACGGCCCCCATTGCGACCAAGGTACGCACCCTCCTCCCTCCCCACCGGGCTGGACCTCTGCACTCACTGAGCGAAGCCCCAGGGCTGGCAGAGAAGTGGGCCCTCAGCGCCCTAGCTCACCCGCCAGGCTGGAATCCCACCTCCCTTAACACGTGAATTTTAAGAATGTGGGTGTTGCGCAATTTGCAAAGAACAAGTGTTTTCCAAATATTTGCAGTCACTAACTGGACCTACCAACCCACCCCCAATCTCCTCCTCCACCTTCCCCAACCAACTCCATGTTTTTGTGTTTGCCTTTGCACACGGATCCTCACAGCCTCTCAAGTTTGGACATTGCTTGATAGTTTGAAATGCCCCTTTGTGCACAGTGTCTGGTTTAACCCACACAGGAACCTTATGTACCCATTTTACAGACTAGTGTATTAAGGCAGAGTGGAATGACTTCCCTTAAGGTCACACCTGGTGGGAGGCAGAACTGAGATTTGAATACGTCTCTTGCTTGGTCCCACATCCTTGCTCTAGAATCATGCAGTCCTTTACCTGAAGACTATTCTATTAATGCACCTTCAGCAAGCCATATGTTTTAAGCTGTTTTCACAAAAATCATCATCCGTTTGCCTTCTCTGACCTTGTGCCCAAGGACACACACACGTGGGAGGAATTGCCTAATCCATGATGAGAAAACAAGGCATTTTTTTCGACCCTGCCCTAAAAACCATACATTGGACCTTTTTTTATCACTGCTTGGTCATCAGCATTCCACACCAGACAAAGCCAATATATAATTGAATCATTACAGTTGGACCATATCGTATATAGTTGCAACTAGAGTGCTGACTCTTTCTGTCATTTGGAAGCATCTTCTGCTTTCACTCGTGCAGGTCTTCCTAACCAGTGATCCATAGATGACCTTCATGGGGTCCAGCAAAGCCCCAAATCTGAATGTTTTTCTTGGAGAAAGGCATCCAAATCTTTCCACCAGCTCTTAGAGGCTCACAGCGCTGCTGCATAACAAAGGAATTGGCTTTTCTATGTTGTTAAAGAAAGCAGTGCCTCTCCAGGTTTATATAAACCTAGTGGACTGGCCTCATGGAACAAACATGGTTCCGTCCCTGGGCGTCACACACAACGCTGGGTCCTCCGCGATGCTTAGCTAAGGACACTCTCACCCTGCTTGGGTTGCGAACCCACAGTGCTACACAGTCCCACAACAGTGGTCTCTATCAAATTATGACGTGATTTGACTCGATCTCCTGTGTCCCTGCCCTTCCCATGATTCCAGCCCTCTGTTAAAGACAGTAGTTCTTTGGAACCAGGTGGGAGAGTAAAGTGCCCGTCATGTGAAGTGGGTCTTCAAGGTAAATGATAATGAGTTCCAGAACGCGGGTCAGAGGGCTAACAATCTGTGGGCACTTTTCCACTTAGGGTGTTCTTGTGTCCATGGGAGATGCAACCAAGGACCCTCGGGCGACGGCTCCTGTGAATGTGATGTTGGCTGGCGGGGAGTGAGTTGCGATACTGGTAAGGGCAAATCTCTCAGTCCTTATGATGTGTTCTTAACCCTGCTTCCAAGCAGCTACATTTCTGTCTTCCTACAATAGAAATGACACTTTTAGGTGGTGCCTGGGTGGCTCAGTCCATTAATTTCTACCTTCAGCTCAGGTCATGATCTTGGGGTTCTGGGATGGAGCCCCATGGTGGGCTCCCTGATCAGTAGGGAGTCTGTCTCTCCCTCTCCCTCTGCCCCCACCCCGTGCTTGTTGTCTCTCTCTCTCAGCTTACTCTCTCATCTCTCTCTCAAATAAAGAAATAAATAAAATCTTTTAAAGAAAAAGAAAAAAAAGAAATAACACCTTTATTACTTCCTTTGGCAACCAAAGTAGCCCTATTTGCCACAAAAAGTTTGTAAAATAAAGAAAAGCAGGGGTGCCTGGGTGGCTCAGTCGGTTGAGCATCCTACTTTGATTTCGGCTCAGGTCATGATCTCGGGGTGGTAAGATCGAGCCATGTGTGGGGCTCTGCACTCAGCAGGGAGTCTGCTTGAGATTCTCTTCCTCTTCCTCTCTCTGCCCCTCCCCCTGCTCAAGCTCACACGCTCTCTCTCTCTCAAATAAATATATCTTTTAAAAAAGAAAAAAAGGGGGGCGCCTGGGTGGCTCAGTGGGTTAAAGCCTCTGCTTTCAGCTCAGGTCATGATCCCAGGGTCCTGGGATCGAGGCCCATATCAGCCTCTCTGCTCGGCAGGGAGCCTGTTTCCCCCTCTCTCTCTGCCTGCCTCTCTGACTGCTTGTGATCTCTGTCTGTCAAATAAATAAATAAAATCTTTAAAATAAATAAATAAATAAATAAGAAAGAAAAAAGAAAAAAAGGAAAGCAAAAGAAAATAAGAAATACATTCCCACAGCAGGAACAAACTATCATTAATATTTTACATTAGGCTTCTATCCTTCTCCTAGGTAATAAACATATGTGGATGAGACCACACTCAGCCTACTTTTTCATTTCACAATATGTCATGGATATCGCTCCATGTGAATAAATATTGATAAATATCATTTTTAATTTTCATATAATATTCCATTATATGACTATACCACTCTCTCTAAAACCAATTTTCTATTGTCATCATAATGCTGCAGTGAATGTCTTGTGCATACATCTTTTGCATTTGTCTAATTAATTCATTCATCAGTATTTCTAGAGATGGGATTTCTGAGTCCCAAGTTAGCACTTTGGGTGAAGGGTTTGCTGCTTTTTGCCAAGTTGTCCCTCAGAGAGTACATCCATTTAATTTCCCACTGACAGGATCTGAATAGGCCCATTTCCCCCAACCCCAACCACACTATACTGATGGGGGTTTTTTTCTTTTTTTAAATATTTATTTATTTGAGAGAGAGAGAGAGAAAATGCAGAGGGAAGGGGCAGAAAGAGAGGGAGAGAGAAACTTAAGCAGACTCCCTGCTGAGCTCAGAGCCCAACACTGGACTGGCCCCCATGACCTGGAGATCATGACCTGAGACGAAACCAAGAGTCAGACACATAACCAACTACACTAGCTAGGAGCCCCTGCACTGATGTTTCTCAAGGTGCTCCAAGGACGGACCTCCAGGCTCACTCTTCCTGTTTTCCTTACTGGGGAGAAAGACCCAGCCTACCTCCACATGCTCACCCAATCTAGACACCACCCACTTGGCCTTCAGGCCTTCCACACCCGCCCCCTCATCCCTCACTAGCATGTCTACATTATTCTAACCTCCACAATCCTCCTGCTGCTCAGCTCCCAGCAGGAGCCTTGGGATCTGTCCCTCTGCCCTCTGTCCAATCTTCCTCAAGTGCACCCTCCACATGGCTGCCAGAGAGAACTTTCCAAAACATAGATGTCTTAGTTCAGGCTGCTATAACAAATACTAGAGACAAGATAGATTATAAGCAACCAAAATTTCTCCCTCACAGTTCTGGATGCTAGAAGTCTGAGATCAAGTGCCAGCACCATGAGGTTCTGGTGAGAATCCTCTTCTGGGTTGCAGCCATCTAATCTCTCCTGTCCTCACAGAGCAGAAGAGGCCAGGGTGCTCTCTGGGCTCTCTTTTATAAAGGCACCCATCCCATTCGTGAGCACTCCACCTTTATGACCTGACCATCTCCAAAGGCCCAACCCCCAATAACATCCCCCTGGAGATTAGACTTCAAGACATGGATTGGCGGGAGAAAGGGGACACAAATATTCAGTCCATAGCCATAGGTCAGATTCTACTTCCCACCCCCTCCCCAGACTTGACAACCTGCTATGGTTCTTCATTGCCTCCAGGAGAAAGTTCATTGCCTGCAAGAGAAACCGCTTGGCAGGGAGGAGGACAAGGCTCTTCACCAATTGGCCCTCACCCAGTTTTCCAGGCTGGTCTCTGTGCACACCCTGCACAAGGAGTTTCCAGCCTAGAAGTAGAAGTAAATGTTCAATAGTGTTCGAAAACTAATGGCATGAGAGCACAGAGGAAAGAGCCTGTAGACTAGAGCGAGGAAGAGAACTCCTTTGTCGGGTGCAAACGCCCCACTCCCGAGCTCATGGCAGACATCACTGAGGCCACACAAGGGCACCTCATCCCACCCAAAAGGGCACAGCATGTCGCCACTACCTGCTCACTGACATTCTCAAAGATTTAGAGCACCTTTCAGAGAGGAGGACCTAAAAGATGATGGGGAGTTCAGCCAACAGAGAATGGCAAGATAAGGGATTTCCAGGCTCAAGGAAGAGCAAACATAAAGGCACAAAATCTCATTGCACACATTCCAGCCCACTGAAGCCTCTCACTGTTCCCTCTGACGCAAAACAGGCCACTCTGACAGTCAAGTCTCTCTTTCCAGACCTTCTATGTGACTCGACATGCTTTAATGAGATTCTATCCCAAAGGCTCTTAACACAAGCATTTTCCCCAAAAGATACTCTCTCTTCATCTCTAATGATTTCTTTCTGGATCATCTCCTGCTGGGAAATCTGTTAGGGGGGCATCCAAGGGCAAGAGCCTATGCTGTTCCAGGAAATTTAGGAATGAATTGAGCTAATAGGTAATAGGCACCTGCTGTGTGCCTGCCTGGCCCTGGGTTATTTTTGCATATGCAATAGAAATAAAATAACATTTTAATATTCATTATAATTAGGTTTTGCTTGTTTATATCACCCCATAGTAAAATGATTAAAAACTAGACAGAAAAGGAACATAGGAAATATAAACGAAAGTAAAAAATCAGGCCCCAGGGAGGAACACGCATCGACAGCCAGAGCCTGAAGGAAGATACTGTGTTTTACTGTCCTTGCAGCCTCACTGTGTGGCACAGGGCCTGGCACACAGTAGGCAACTCCATCAGGATATCTGACCTTCTGATTGGGCTCTGAGCTTCCTGGCAGTCCATGCAAAAAAGGATTTACCAGGTCACAGAATTTTACATGGTTCACATGATGCATAAAATTACTTTTGAGGAATTAAGTCTTTTGTTAGCACCAAGTACTCAAAGAACGTTTTTGAGGTAGGTTTAGTATGAAAGGACTGACCCAACAACTGGTTCTCTTTTTCAGAGATCACAAAAGATGACTGCAATGGGATATGCCACACGAGTGCCAAGTACGTACCTTGGAACTTTCTTTGGGGGTGATGCAAAGGGGATCCTCTCCAAGAAGTGTCCTCCTCAGGGTAACCATTTCCTGAGACGTTTTCTGAAGTTAGGATAAAATCAAGTATGAAATGAAAATTCCCTCTGAAAAGGCCACCAGATTGCCAGATGCAGCCTTTTAAACAAGCTGCCCCCTGAGTTACCTGGCCTATTGGCAAGAATGCCAGCTATTACCCCCCAGTTCAGGCCACAGGGACCCTTTCATAGAAGCCAAGTGCACCTGACCTTCATCCAACCTTGCTCCCGCTTCACCGCCAAGACTTACTTGTTCAGACTTTCGGCTTCATACTCCTAACTCCCAGAAGGGCTTCGACCTGAATTCAAATCAGCCTCTGTCCTTTTCATGTCTGCATGACCTTGAGTCAATTACTTTATGCTTCTAAGCCTCAGTTTCTCCATCTATAAAATAGGACTAATAATATCTGCTTATTAGAGCTATTCGATATTGTGTATGTTCTACAAAGTAATGTGCAAAGCACAGCTCCAAGGACATAAGTGGCTCTCTAAAGATGGGTAGCTATCCTCCCTATCCCTGGGCCGATGCCTCCATGTGCACACCCTGCAGTTTTAGCTGCCCCGGGGTGGGTGGGGGGGGGGGCATGCTACAAATGACCTCTCTTTCCAAAGCTTAGGCAAGACCTTGAAGAGCCACGTGGGAGCGTGAGCTGAGATGCTGTCAATGAAGGGAGCAGTGTTGTTTTTTGTTTGTTCGCTTATTTGTTTGTTTTCCACAAATAGCCCTTGCCCTTTCTCATTGCAGCTGCCTTCTCAATCCAGACGGTACAGCCTCTTGCAAATGCACAGCAGGATTCCAAGGGAATGGAACAGTTTGCACAGGCAAGTGAGGAAAGGGTCTGCTGGGGGTACACAAGGCTAGTGCAAGTTGTTGAGAGGTCTGTGTTCCTGCAGACTGGATGGGCAGCTGCTACCAGCTGCTGATGGTTACCTGAATGGAACAGGGCCACTGATGGGGCCCCACGGCAAGAAAACTACTATTTACAGACAGGGCATGTGTTGGCTTAGGAATGGGTGGGTCAGTTGCACCTGTTGTCTTCCCCAAACAGTGGTGCACGACCTTGACCATGATTGAAATCACCTGGAGAACTTTAAAAACACTGGTTTGATTGACCCAAGGTGTGGCCTAGGCTTGGGGACTCTGGAATGGGACAAGGGCTTGAATCCCGGTTCTTCCTCCTACTACCCATGTGGCTTTGGGTGGGTCTCTTACCTGCTCTGAGCCGCCTTAGTTCACTTACAAAGTAAATAAAACTGTCTACCCTGCTGAGTGGTTTGGGCATGAAATGACCTCTCTGTACAGTGGCAGAATGAGACAGCAGCTTAAAGTAGCCCTAGCATCAGACCTTCCTGGGTCTGAGTCTAAGTTTTTATCATTTGTGCTATCTTGGGAAATTTGCTTGACTGATCTTTGCATCATTTTTTTTTTTAAATCTGCAAGTTGTGGATAATAAGAGAATCTCCCTCACTGGACTGTTGGGTGATAACCTGGATTAATCCCTGTGAAGTACTTAGAACAGTCTTGGCACAGAGCATACTCAATAAATGAGAGCCAATATTCTTATGGGGCCCACCACGTATTTGGTGCTAGAAAAGTGGAAACACTTAGCATCATCTTCCTCTTACGCAGCTTGTCCTGGCAGGCTTCAGTCCAAATGATAGTGGAGCTGGACAGTGAACCTACCAGCCTGCTTTCTAGACCATCTCCCCCTGGGGATTGCCCCAGCGTGCAGGCCCCCTGACCCAGGGCCCAGATGCTTCCTACAGCAGGGATGTGCTCAGTATGCCAGGGAAAACAGCTAGTAAGGGACAACAAGTGGAACGTTTTTCTTGCCCTCTGCTTTTGGAAAAACAGCAAAAGAAGAAGACACAAGTTAATAGGAGAACAGCCAACATTTGTGTAACACCTTCACATACATGATCAGATGGGAGTCTCTAAACTTGTAAGCAAAACTCGATGGGAGGACCCCAAGGTTCATATTAACTAAGCGGCTTGTCCAAGGTCACAGTGTGGGATTCCAAGTCGATCTGGGTCTTTGATCTACTTTGAATTAATTTGAGTACATGTTGTGAGGCCGGGGTCCAAGTTCATTCTTTTGTATGGGAAGACCCAATTGTCTCAGTATCATTTATTGAAAAAATTATTCTTTCCCCCACTGAAATGTTTTGGCATCTTTGTGGAAAATCAGTTGACCTTAGGTATATGGGTTTATTTCTGGACTCTCAGTTATATTCCATATATAGACATCCTTTATCAGGTTAAGAGGAAGTTTCCTTTTATTCCTTGCCTGTTGAGTTTTTTTATTAAAGGCATGAAATTTTATCAAATGCTTTTGTTCCTTCTATTGAGATGACAATGTCAGTTTGTCTTCTATAATTCTATTGATATGCTGTAGCACGTTAATTGATTTTTAAATGTTGAGCCACCTTTCATTCCTGCAAAATTCCCAGTCGGTGATGGTGTTTAATTCTTTTTATATATTGCCAAATTTGATTTACAAGTATTTTCTTGAGGATCTTTGTGTTTATATTCGCAAGGGATATTGGTCTGTAATTTTCTTGTGCCAACTCTGTCAGGCTTTGGTCCCAGGGTGATACCGACCTCATAAAATGAATTGGGAAGTTCTCTCCCCTCTTCCAGTTTTGGAAGAGTTTGTGAAAATTGGCTCTTTATCCTCCTTTAAATGTTTGGTAGGATTCCCCAAGGAAGACATCTGGTGATTTGTGTTCTTTTGAACTCTTCATATTTAATCCAGTTCCTGACATTCTGAGGTATCCTCCATCTCACTCGAGTCAAAAGGCATCACCGGGTTTTTTTTTTTTTCCCCTCCATCTCCTTCTCTGCTCGGCATCCCATCTCTCTCCGACAGCCATCAATGCCTGTGAGACCAGCAACGGAGGTTGCTCTACCAAGGCTGACTGCAGGAGAACCACCCCTGGAAGTCGGCGGTGTGTGTGCCAGGCAGGCTACACAGGCGATGGCATCGTGTGCCTCGGTAGGTACCATCCCTCACTGTCCGGTGGCCAAGTTTCAAGAATCAGAGATCTGGGCACCAGTCCTGTTATTAGGACCTGCCACTTCTGGAATCATCTTTAAGTGTATCTGGGCAGGAATGTGTGAGGGTGTGAAAATGTGACCGCAACGGGATGAAGGTATGTGATGGCCAAAAATCACCTGGGAAGGAGAAAAAGAAGAGACTTGTTCCAGTTAAACGCTATGGTGGTGACTGAATTTTTTAACATTTATTAGTTCTTTTTTTTTTTAACACAATAGCACATTCTTGCTGTAGAAAAATCAGAGAATGCATATGTGCTGGGAGAGAATATTCTGGAAATAACCACCCTCCCTATTGTCAGATCACTCCAGTTTGCTATGAGACACATACTTCTTTGAATGAAAATTCTGTTATGATCCATAGTATTTATTAGGCTTAGCAGTATGAAAGAACAACTCTCCCTGAAAATAAGTGTACCCCCAAATCACTATCTTCATGGCTACACATGGCTATACTCTAAAGGTATGCAGTAGTAAGTTGTCTGACTTTTGACGTTTTAGTTGTTAAAAAAAAAAAAATTGGCATACAAGCGTTGTGAGAATAATACAAAAGCAGTCCCATTTGCTTTTTACCTGGATTCAGTATTGTTAATGTATTTCTCCATTTGCTTTATCATTTGCTCTGTGTCTGTATATATTTTTCCTAAACCATTTGAGAGTAAACTATATATATCATATTCCCTTTACCCTTAAATACCTGGGCATATTTGAGAATAAGGGTAAATTCTTGTATACTCACAGCAGCTACCAACCAGCTTCAGTCAATTTACTACTGATATAAGATGTTTGTCCAATTACCATTTGTATTCTAATTTTGTCCGTTAACCCCATAACATAATGTCCTGTTTGGGCATTTTTTCCTCTGGTGCAGGACCCAGGTTAGGAATGGACATCATATCGCCTTGAATCGGGAATGGTTCTCCAGCCTTGCTTTGTCTTTTATGACATTGACATTTTGGATGAAGATGGTCCACCACCCCAACTTTCTTGTTCATAGCATGTTCTTCATTTGGGGTTGGTCTGATGTTTGTTTATGATTATACTGAGATAATGCCTTCCAGACCCAGTATCACAGGAGTGATAATGTGTCCTGCTCAGGATATCACACCAGAGGCTCATATTTCCAACTGTCTCTCATCTGCGATATTAATTTTGACCACTCGGTCAAGGTGCTATCTGATTTCTCCATGGGACAGTTGATTTTCCCCATTGCTACTAAGAAGCATTCAGTGGGGAGATATTTGAACACCAAGCAAATATCCTGTTCCTCACCAATGTGTCCTCGTAGATGGAGATTTTATTGATGATTCTTCCCTGAGGCAATTAAATTGTGATAGTTGCAAGTGACTTTCTTAATTCCTAAATTTCTGCTTCATAGCATGTTGAATTATACTCCTAGATTCTATTATTTCAAGTCCTTGGCTGCAAAGTGCTCATATTCACTCAGTAGAGGGACAGATGCAAGCCCACAGACTATGCCTTGCTGGCACAGTCCCAGCCCAGAGGAGCTGACTTTGAGAGATGGTATCTGGGACCTTCCTTGTTGGGTTACTTCTCCCACAGAGTCATTAGAAAACCAAATCACACTTGGACATCTGCTCGCCTTTTTCAGTTAGCCATCCTGACTGTTTCCTCAAGATGTCTTTACTTGAAAATGAGGTTTGAATTTCATGCCACGTATTGGCTTTTTGTTTTAAAGAGATCAACCCATGTTTGGAGAACAATGGTGGCTGTCACAAGAATGCAGAGTGCACGCAGACTGGACCCAACCAGGTGAGCTCCACCCACTGAGGGCCCCCAGTTTTCCTAGGGGCAAATTCCTGGGTCTTCAGACCCAGCCTGAGGGAGAGGGGCTGAGAACAGACCTGTGGACACCAGCAGCGTAAAGCAAACACTGTAGGGGGATATTCTGAATGAATTCCCAAAGAGGCCATTCTGTGGGGATGAAAAATGGTGGGAGTGAGGGGACAAAGGGTTCTTAAGAGAAGGAGCTTCTTGAGTACAGAGATGTAGACGGCTGCCAACACAACATGGTTTCAGAAGCACCTAGAAAGTTTCCAACAATCCTCTCCTTTCTTTCGGCTTTCTGATGTCCAGAATCCCACACCTTTTCTTTGGCTTGAGGCTCTGAAATGCATGTGCCACAGCAGAAGACAGTGTTCTTAGGCCCTCTGTCAGTCGTTTATTCTCTAACACAGTGAACTTTGCAGCTGCAACCAGCGCAACAAGGAAGTCACCTACATCAGAAACTGGATGATGAGGTGAAGTCCCCAGTGAATGTTCTAGGGACCTTGTTGAGTCCCAGACCTCAGTGCCAGGTCTCCCAATGGGCAGAACCAGCGGGTGCCTCAAGTGCTCAAAAATAAGAAAAAACAAAACAAAACACTTATTTTAAAGAATTGTGTGTGTGTGTGTGTGTGTGCATGTGCACGCACACGCACGCGCACATATAGGCTTGGAAAAACCCAGCACATTTAGATAGAGCCAGGGGTTCAGCTCTTGCCACTGAGTTCTTACTTCAAACCACATACAAGGTAAGGGAAACCTAGAAGCGTTGTGCTGCTCAAGGCCTCTACAAGTCCTCCTCTACACCTAAAAGGCTGTGAGAGGGACACAGGGTTGATCCCTAAGACAGGACCTTAGCCCAGAAGCAGTGGCTGAGGGTGTCTTGATAAAGCGTTGGGGCTGAGGTCCAGGTCTGTAATGGAGGAAGAGGCAGAGAAGTGAACACCTGCCATTTGACCCTGGCTGGCCCTGCCAATGAGTTCCAGTTCCAACAAGTAGACATCAGACCACAAAGCTGCCTCTCTAGACACATCAGGAGCATGGCTTGATGACTAGAGTGTAGCTGGGTTTCAGCCCCACTCAGTCCTGAGCAGAGCACCAGGGAAATGAGAGCGAAGTAGACAGTCCCCAGCTTCCTGCAGACAGTGTCCCCTCCCTCAACTTCAAGCCCCCAACCCCCACCTTGGTTAAACCTGCGCCCACCATATGACTCTAAAGCTCTCCTCCCCCAGCTGGTGCCTTGGGCAGAGCCTGGGTGGAGGTGTGCGAGAACCCAGTGGGAGCGGGAGTGGGCCATGGCTTAGCTTCCTTGCCACTGAGCCTTTACCAACCAAGGTGACCAAAGAGGTGAGTGCTGAGAAGGCAAGGGACCAAATAAGGTAACAGTGTTTTTAAAAAAATAAAGTCTCTGGGCAGCAAAGCTAGGCAACATAGGAGATCCCGGTGCTAATGTGAAGTGTATCAAATGTGCTAAAATGTCAGATAACAATTATCATCTTAGGCAAGGTCTTGCCCATATCAAACATAGACTCTTGTGGGATTACCGTTACTATTATAGAATTGGAACATGAGAGCCAGCAGCATCTCTCTGTGAAATCACACATTTCCCTCCCCTCCCGGACAGGCGGTCTGTAACTGTTTGCCCAAATACACAGGAGACGGGAAGGTCTGCACGCTCATCAACACCTGCCTAACCGTGAGTACAGCTCTGGGGCCAATGCCCGCGGCGGCCAGGCCTGGGGTGCCTCCTGCTCCTCTCCTGGGGGGTGGCATACGCAGCTGCTTCTGGGCCGTGAGGCTCATTTCTCCCTCACGTTCCAGCTGAAGTTGGAGAAACTCCATTCTCTGTCTCTTCTTCACATGGCCTTTGCCGCTATATGGGGATCTTCTCTTCTGGTAAGGACTCCTGTGGACTCTACCTGCTTCATCTAGAATGTTCTCATCTCTAGATCTTTAATTATATCTGCAAAGACTCTCTGAACAAGGTCACAGTCACAGACACCAGGATTTAGGACATGGGCAGGCCTTTCGGATATAGAGCAAGCACACAGCACAGTCAGAACTTGAACCCATGTCCGTCTTATTCAGAGGCTGCACCCTGGGTCAGTTTTCATGGTGTTTGTTCCTCTCATGAGGCAGCGAGCCCCAGAGGAGGATTAGTCTCTGCACCTTATTTCCCTTCTTCATATCACCCCACCTCCAGCCGTAGGCATGAGAACAGCGCAGATGCCACACAATTAAAGCCCTTCCTCTCCAAGCTCCATCTGACTGTCCCCTTGTGTTAGTCTTGCAAATGCCTCAGGAGACCATGTCCGCACATGAAATGATGGCAAAAAGCAGAGTGCTAGGATATGGAACTGTTACGACCAGACCCACGGCCAGCTTTATTTCCACAGCAATTCTTCGATGATCCTTTCTGTCTGTCTGTCTGTTTTTTAACGGCCACCTTGTCTTGGCAACTCACACAGTGAACACACATGCGCCTGACACTCAGGTACAAGTCATTAACTTATGTCCGCTGCACCCGTGACTGCCACCACCCACTGGATTCTTTTCAAAAAGAACAGAAGTTTGTTGTCTTGCAAGATGAGTAGAATTGAGGCATGTTTCTCTGCAGATGAGTATGATCCAATAGAGAGAAGGAAACCAATACTGAAGGAGATGGATTGTTACCGGAGGAAGGTACAGGAGTGGATGAGGGGAAAGGAACCCAGAGCCCACAGCTGAGTCTCTGAGAGGAGCAGGGGCAGTGGTAGGTAGACAGGTTGGTTAGTTGGTCAGTCAGGCAGTTAGTCAAGTAGGTCATTAGTCAATCAGTTTGTTAGTCAGTCAGTCAGTTACTGAGTCACTCGGGGCCCTTATTACAAATTAGCTTAAAAATGTCTGTGTCTGATCATTCCAAATAAATTGTGAGTCCCGCGAGGACAGAGACCACTCAAATTTCTACATATCCAGTGGGAAACCTCACACAGGATGACACACATCTGGGTCGATGGGCTTTCCCTACATACCAGGCACCATTTCAGGCACTGGGAGTTCATCTGTGACCAAGCGGCAAAGTCTCTTCCCTTCAAGAGTTTACACTGAGGGGAAGAGATGGGCACTTGGTGTGTAAGCGACTGGTCAGTCAGTTGTCAGTGTATTTGTTAAATAAGGAAAGTAATGTTGGTGAGTAGGCGCAGGCAGGTGGTGAGCGTCAGGGCAGGAGGATGTGTTGGTTATTGGGTTTATTTTCTCCATAAGGCGTGAGGTGAGTTCATCTGCTGAGGTAAGGGCCAGGGATTGAGAGCTTCACAGAGGAGTGAAGGTGTGAAGTGCCTTCTCCAGGGAGAGAGAAGGTAACACACGGAAGGAGTCCGGCAGTGTCGGCACTTGTGTGGTAACTTGGTTGGGAGTCCAGACAGCAATGCCCTGCCCGTCCATCAGGCGTACCGAGCCCTCCTGTGGGCCTCTGGGCTAGGACCAAGCGAGGAGCTAGGGGTGACCAAGCTGAGGTGGGAATGTGGGTGAGAAGGAAATTGGCTCAAAGGAGGCTGGAGCCACAGCGTTAGAAGAGGTGAGTTGAGAAGATAAGGGCTGGTAGTCAGAGACGGCGGGATGCTAACACAGAGCTCTCAGGAGCAGTCCGCTTTAATGTCGGGACAAAGTCAAGGGTGGTCCAGCAGTGGTGGCAGAGGCAGAGTGGGGGCAGGTATGGTGGAGACCATTGACAGGGATGTTGATGCCACTGAGGATGACGACGGGTGTGGAGGGAAAGCCGCTGATCCAGGCACCACTACTAGGACCGAAGAAGGGGCGATCGTAGATTCCGCGTGTCCTCAGAGAGCTGGAAGCCCAACAAGAAAGACTCCCTCCTACCCCCCAGACCATGAAGTGTGGGGTAAGGGAGGAAAAGAGCTTTGCCTGAGGGGTGCAGGGAAACCTGATACCTCTTCCGTAAGAGGCAGAGAGTTTTCTGGAAACAGGTTGGAGACTGTCAGGAGTTTAAAGGTGGTGAGTTTCAGAAGGCACCAGGAAGGGTTTGTGAAGGCAGAAAGGGATGCATGTAGGGTCAGATCATAATTTCTAGAGCAGCGTGGAAGGGAGTGACCGTGATGTAGGAGGGAACCTTGAGCACCCAGACCTTGCCATTGACTGAGATAAACAGCAAAGTGGCAAAGAGGGGATTGGTCTTGGTGGTCTTACAGCAGGCTGGGTATCAGGATGGTAAAATCCTTGGTACCTGGCTGGAAGATCCAGGGCCCCCAGGAGATGGTGATCGGTCTTGCAGAAGGCAGCTTTCTTGGAGAGCTCACGGAACTGTGTCAGCTTGAGGCAGGAATCTGAGACAGTAAGATCCTCCCAGGCCTCCCCGAATATCATGCTTCACAAAGACTTTTGGAGGAAAGGAAGATTTTACAGCTGGCCTTTAAGTCTATTGAGCTCCTTCTTTGTCAAGTCCATCAGGGTTCTTTCTCCTGAGTTCACATTTTTTCCTCACTCAGAAACCTGACTTACACTGCAGAGTCCTTCTCAGTGTTCCCATGGATTTCAGCTTTGAGCTGTACTTTGCTTTGTTTCTATTTTAGGTCTCTGTCCCATCTTCCACGGTTTTTAAGCTCTTTGTGGACAAGGACAGTATGTTGTTTTATACCCACTGCCTTCTAACTGGTGACGGCTACCTTGGCTCTTATGAGATCAGAATTTAAGTCCAAAGCTGGGAATTGTCAGACAAGATTGGTACTTTTGTGGACAATACCCACCCAGGTGCCAAGAAATTCTCCATTTGGCACCTCTGGGCTTGTCTATAGAGGGCTGGAGACCTGGGATACAAGGTTGGGTGAATAAATGGCCCTTGCCACTCTAGGGAGTTCAAAGGTAAGTTCAAGAAAGGGGCAAATCATGCAAACAAGTCAAAGAGTGAATAAAAAAATAAATTTCAGTACAGAATTGCTTGGTAAATATTGGCAGAGCTGGCAAACTGGTCTGACTCCTGTCCCCCGCCCCTCGGAAATTTTACCAGAAAAATGGCGGCTGTAGTGAATTTGCTATCTGCAATCACACTGGGCTGGAAGAAAGGACGTGTACTTGCAAGCCCAACTACATCGGGGATGGGTTTACCTGCCGTGGCAACATCTACCAGGTAAGGAAAGGCATATTTCCATAAAGTAAACCCCACAACCCTCACTGCACCAAGGATCCAGGTTACCCAAGGAAGGTGCAAGAGTTTTGTAACTCGTAAAACTACAAAAATGGGAAAGACTGTTCTTATATAAACTGGCAATGAGAAGGGATTTTATCTACCCAATTCTCAGACTGATGGTTCTAGAGTAAAAAGCACCTGGGTTTGAAATCAACTCTGCCAATTAAAAATGTGACACTGGGCAATAACTTCACTCTCTAAGCATCAGTGTTCTAATCCATAAAAAAAAAAAAAATACTAATGGCACCAAGCCCATCAAGTTGTCAGAGAAATAATGTATGCAACAGGCATGGAGCACAGAGTGACTCCAAGGCATTACCATGATGTGGGTTTCTGTTGGAGCCTATGGGTGTGTCCACGTGCACAAGCAACTCTGCCAGACATAGCGGACAAGGCAGTGTAACACTTGCAGATTTATAAAGTGAATGTTCTGGGGGCTCCTGGGGGCTCAGTGGGTTAAAGCCTCTGCCTTCGGCTCAGGTCATGATGCCAGGGTTCTGGGATTGAGCCCCGCATCGGGCTCTCTGCTCAGAGGGAGCCTGCTTCCCTTCCTCTCTCTGTCTCTGCCAGCCTCTCTGCCTGCCTCTCTGCCTGCTTGTGTTCCCTGTCAAATAAATAAAATCTAAAAAATAAAAATAAAAGAAAATAAAGTGAACGTTCTATTATTTGGTTTAAGGAGGGACTAGAGCATTCTGGCTAATCAAACGTTCCTGTTAATGGGGAAATGAAATCTGCCTTAAACCCATAACTGTGTTGTTGTTTTTTCTTAAAGATTTGAACTTTTAAAAATGTTCCTATAGCTCCACTGCTTCTGGAAATAGCTGGAACTTTCTTTGATAAATCAGACAGTGACTCCAGAGAGATTTTAGAACTCATGGCATGTCCCTGGAGTCGTTCCGAACATCAGTGCAAGCCTATAGATGGGGGCTGAAAAAGGCCCATCAAGGCAAATTTCCAACTGAAAGTATAGTAGAGACTCAACCTTAGAGCAATTGACCTGTGACAACCCGGGATGGTTCTTGCATATAATCCCAGATATGAAGTGGCCCTGCCCTGTCTTTGTTTTCCAGGAGCTTCCCAGGAACCCAAAAACATCCCAGTACTTCTTCCAGTTGCTGGTGAGAACATGTGTGTCTGTCTCTAACTGTAGGATATTGTCTCCAGCCAGATATGGGGAAACTGTAGCTTCTGGAGCTGGTGAAGGGAGAAGAAAGTCTGGGGATGTGGATTTCTGAGATAGGGTCCCTGCTGGTCATTCATGGACTTCTCAGCCCTCAGGTGGGCAGCAGGAGTAGAACCAACACGCCCCTGGCCCAGTCGATACACAAGAATGCAGTGTGTGCAAAAACTGTCATCACACCAGTGGAAGAAGGAAGCATTACTGGGGCAACCGGCAAACTCTTTGGGTGAAAATATTAAATTAGATCTCTATGCACATCATACATCAGAATAAGTTCCAGATATATTGAAAAATGAAAGAAAAATCTAAACAAAGAAAATCATAAAACCCAGAAGAAAATATGAGTAGCCATAAGACCTTAGCATTGGCAAGAAGACAATTAGAAAAGCTAAGTCATTCATCTTATTACTTACATTTGTATTATTATGTAATAATAATAATAATATATTAAGTATAATATAATAAATTATTATAAGTTATTTATATAATAAATTATACTATATATACTATTCATATAATAAATTATACTATATATTTATTTATGTTATATTTATATATATTTATATATTATGTTTATATAAAAATAAAATATATAAACATAATATATAACATTTATATTATTATTTATACTTATATTATTGTTTATATACTAAATTATAAATAGTATAAAAATAATATAATAAAGTAATATATTAATCTAATAATAATAATAAATTATATAAAATATTTGTATATAGAAAGACACAGGAAAAGAATACCTAAAAATAATGGATGACTTCTAGGCAGTGGGAATATGGGTGATTATTTCCTTCTTTATGCTGTATTTTCAAGTCTTTAATACAATAAGCATTTGTTATTTTTATAACCATGTAAAAATAAACATTATTTCAATGATAAAGAATGAGAATGAATTTGGGGTACCTGGCTGGCTCAGTCGGTTAAGCATCTGACTCTTGGTTTCAGCTCAAGTCTCAGGGCTGTGAGATCGAGCCCCACATCAGGCTCTGCCCTCCACGGGGAGTCTGCTTGAGATTTGCTCTCTCCCTTTCACTCTGCCCTTCCCCTCCCCCCTCATATGCTCTTTCTTTCTAAATAAATTAATATTAAAATTTTTTTTTTTAAAAGAATCTGAGTGACTTTGAGAATAAAACACAGATCACCCAATTCGGTTTTCCCTCCGCTCTGCCACCATCAACTCTCTCTGCTATTTGTTTGAAGCACACCCCTCCATATTTATGTTAACTAGGTGACATGTGGTCCTGCCTTCCTTCCCACAGGAGCACTCTGTGCGAGACCTGAGTGGTCCAGGCCCCTTCACCGTCTTTGCACCTTTATCTGCAGCCTTTGATGAGGAACCTCAGGTAAGCATGAAGCTCTCGGCAAGCCCAAGAGGTTTAGGACTGGAACCCAGTCTCTGGGTGTCACCCTGGAACTAACACTGGAGACATTTCTGGGCAGGAGATTTAGGATCAACTAGAGCTGATCAGCAATGGAATGAGTTGCCTCTCATCATACAGACCCCTACAAAGGGACAGAATTTAAGTGGATTTGGGGTACAATGACCAGAGGTCCACTAAAAAACATTCCTGAATAGAGAAGGAGGTTGGAAAAGATCAACAATTCTTAAATGATCCAAACCTTCCATGGACCCTCCCCACCAAAAATAATAATAATAATGCTGGGTGAAAGGAATTTAAATGTCTTTTTTCTTGCAGACCTTATCAGAGACTTTACTGTTCTAACATTCACTAGGACTCTTCATGCTGGATTATCCATTAACATATAAAAATGTAGCAAACATTTATTGAGTGTCCCAGACGCTGTTTCTAGTACATGGCCTAGATTAATCCATTAAGTGTTCACAACAACCGTGTCAGTTGGGTGCTATTACCCCATTTTACAGTCCACAACATTGGCAGAAGTAACTTTCCCAAAGCCATATGACTAGCAAGTAGTGGAGCAAGGACTCAATCATAACTCCAGAGCCTACGTCCTTCACTATGCACACTGCCTCTCTATGCATATATTTTAGACAACAGTAAAGCAGAGGTACAAAAGTACTTTCTGAAAGATGTTGACTTTTGATAATTTTTCTCTAAAAAAGCATCAAAAGAGAGATCATGAAACAATGAGAACCTTGTGGGCCTTTTATTATTTTTTATGCTTTTTATTTAATGGTTAATATTGTTTGTGTTTTGATTTACACATGGAAAACTATCATGATTTTTCCATATTAAAGGTTTAAATTTGGCCCAAGTACCTCTCCAAGGGGGGCAGGTGCTATGAAGCATTTCCCAGCATTTTTCACAAGAAAAGTCTTTTTTCAAGTAGCGTCTCACAGAACTAAGGGTCCCTGCCACATGTGTTGTGAAATGCTGGGCCTGGGGAACTCCAAGCTCCCTTCCACCCTGAGAATCTATGTTGGAAGCAGGAAAGAAATGAGGGCCACTTTCTCCCTCTTGTCTGAACAGACTGTACCCTATAACCCTGACCACCAGCCAGCCCTGACTGCCTCCTTCCTAGTCTGGGTGGGGAGAGTGGCCCCGGGGAGGGCCTGGAGTAGGGGAGAGCAAAGGCTCCTGGCTCTGGCTGGAACGCTCCCATCTTCTATTACAGATTAAAGACTGGGACAAACAAGGTTTCATGCCCCAGGTTCTTCGCTATCATGTGATTGCTTGCCACCAGCTGCTTCTAGAAAACCTGAAGTTGATCCCAAATGCAACTTCTCTCCAAGGGGAGTCCATTGTCATCTCCGTCTCTCAGGTAAGAGAGGCCACCCACCAGGTGGACATCAGGAAGACGCCCATCTTTCTTGGGCCTTCTCTCTTCTCTTCTTTACAGTAATGATAGTAATAACAACTAACACATGTTGAGTGATTTCTATATGCCAGTTTCCCAATTCTATATGCAAATTTCCCAATTTACAAATTAGGAAACCGAACTCAGAGAAGTTAAGTAACCTGTCCAAGGTCACACAGCAAGTAAATATTCGAGCTGGAACTGAAACTCAGAGATTCAAGCAGTCATCCGAACTGCTTTTGGTCAGGAGCAGGACAGGGATGAAAACTCTTGACCAGAGCTGGCCATTCTAGTCCCCTCACTCCCCAGAGAAACAAATGGTGACTGTAGAATCCATTGCCATTGCCGAGAGAAACCAGTGTGTGGTGGAGGCAGGAGGTGGTATAGAGGACCCATGTTAAAAAGGAAGCAATCTCGATCTGCTTGTTATTTCATGTTTGAGAATCACAGTGAAATGACCATTGTGGTTGGTTAGCTGCTATTAGCTTTTGTAGGTGAGATTACAGGGTCGCCTCCGCTTTCTTTTTATAATCATAATGAATAAATGGGTTCAAGGAACATAGACTCTCAGATTTTGCCCACAGCTCTACTTAAACATTCACTTTCACGACGATTTAGCATGTTAATAAAGCTTTCAGAAAGAAATAATTTTGTGTCTGTTTCTCTTTGTGCTCATTTCTTTTTTTCTTTTTTTTAATTTCAGGACACGGTGTATATAAATAATAAGGCTAAGATCATATCCAGTGATATCATCAATACCAATGGAATCATCCACATCATAGACAAATTGCTGTCTCCCCAAAACTTGCTTTTCACCCCCAAAGATGCCTCTGGAAGGATTGTGGTGGGTGAACTCATTGTCACACTCTCAGCACTGGTAACCCATAATAATCGTAATTTATTATCACAATTCTGATTTTAAGGTATCATTTTGAGACGGTTTCATTTTGTTGCTTCAATCTCAAGCTACTATTATTAAAAGCCTAGTGAATATGATTCTAGTAAGAAGTAAATAGGTAAAAGTCTAATTTAAATAGATAAATGGATTTTATGAGTTTTTCTTCAGGTTCCACAAGAACAGCTTGTCTTACATAGACTTGGAAGATGGAGAAATTACATAAATGGATGAGACACTTGATAGGTAGAAAGATAGATAGGTATGGGGCTCCTGGGTGGCTCAGTCAGTCAAGCCTACGACTCTTGATTTCGGCTCAGGTCATGATCTCAGGGTCGTGGGGTCGAGCCAGGGCTCCATCGGGCTCTGTGCTCAGGGTGGCCTCTGCTTAAGGATTCTCTCTCTCTCCCCCTCCCTCTCCCTCTGCTCACATGCACGCTCTCTAAAATAAATCTTTTTTTTGAAAAAGATGATAGATAACACTCAAACCAAACTTGGAGTAAAACTCCTTTTCAATTGAAAGAAAAGACAATTTTGAATTTTATTGTTATTTATTAGTATTGGCCAGGGTTTTTCATTGCAGACAACAGAACCCACTATACCTAGACAAAAAGGAGATCCTTAAGATATTAAGTTCATCACCAAATCCCTAAGAAAGCCAGAGAGCCAGATGCTACACAGCTGGGAGCAAAGCAGCTCAGGGAGACCTACAAAGGGAGGAGCTTTGACTTTACCATGGGGCTGTCCTGACCTGTCTCCAGCCTCAGCACCTGCAACATGCAAGTCCGAGCACAGATGCCTCCACCATCGTGCCAGTCAAAGCCTCCCTCCTAGCAGTCACAACCACCTCGTGTTGTTTCCTTCCACCAATAAGTCTGGTAAAAACCCTTGTGCTTGCTGGGTGTTCTGTAGCCTAGGAGGCTGTAGCTGCGAGGCAGTCTGGGAAAATGAGGTGCATAGCCCCCCTAGCCTCTGTAATGCAGATAGCCACAGTACATCGGAGCTGGAGTGGGTACTGATGAGCCCATCCCCAGTTCCTGCTGCATTATCTTACCCTCATTCTAGTTGCTTGAGCTTTTGTTAAAGTACTTTGTGAACTGTATGAAGAGAAGTGTCATTGCTATTCTTACTATCTTTGCAGCAAAATCTTACAACAGTAGCAACAAACCATGGCTACACCAAATTCAGCAACCTACTACAGGTAAAGACCTAGGGGATAACGTGCCTAAGGAGTTTGGTGTTTTGGAGGTTTTTTTGTTTTATTTTGTTTTGTTTGGGGTTTGTTGTTGTTATTGTTTTATTTTGTCATTTGGTGTTTTATTTGGGGCACTAGCCAACTGTTGTAGGATCTGTGTCGGGAAGTCCTGATTTTCTATAAAGCAAAGTCATAGCATTCCCACTCCATTCCCCAGATAGCGTAGGGTTTGTTCAGGTATACACTGTACATTGGCTGAATTAGAAACTGAAGTATTTGAGGCTGGAGCAAGGGAAAGGAATTAGCATGGGCCGGTCCCTGAACTAGCTGCTTCACATCTGGAATTATGAGATGGGCAAACCATTAAAGAGATGGGCAAACCAAGGTGCAGATATGGAAAATCGATGCTTGTGGCATAAGTAGAAATCGGGCTTAAAACTACATTTTTTTGACTTCACTTTTCCCACCAATGGAACAGAGAAACTTCTTATTCAGATAAAGATTTCAGAGGAGACTCGGGGAGGGGTAGAGTCCTCCAAGGTCCCCTCTCCTCCACCTACCCTGAGAAGTCCCAAGAGTGTTCTGAGAACCCAGCCCCCATCTCACCTTCCCCAACCCTGTGGCACAGTCTACAAACCTCTGCCCAGTCCAGCAATTTCCAAAATTGTCTGGGGCTCATTCTCAAAACTTTTCAGAAATGGAGATTTCTTGGTGCTCAAAATGAGACTCTCCGGGAAGGTTATAAACAGGAATCTTTGCCGGCTCACCCAGCCCCAAAACCCTATAGTCACCCTCACACCTGAGCATTTCACCTGGTTGAACACAGGCTTTGTAGCAAGTTAGCAAACCTCTCTGGGGTTTGATAGAAGGGAATAATAAAGCTACTTCATAGGTCTGTTGGAAAAATTACAAGGACTAATGTATATGATGTACACAGGTTATAGAAGGTTCTCAAAATGATTCCTTTCCATTCATTGGACAATTTCTTTTTTTAGTCCATGAGAGCTAAAAATCTTATAAATACATAGGAGTATCTCAATATTGTATAAGTTTCAGTTTTTTAAGTGAAATATGGGGAAAATGCTAAGGAGGTCTTCCAGAAATTAAAGTATTTGGGCAATATTAACAACAACAACAACAACAAAAATCTTTATTAAAAGTGCTTTTTCTATTCATTAAAGCCCAGAATTTGACTGTTTTGTAATCTAAGAAAAGAAGGGTCAGAATGGTTGAGGTGTGATGGGCCTCTAGTTTCAGGCTGTCACCCCTGAACCAGCTGGAGACCCAACAAGTCGCCAGGGCAGGCATGAAAGGAAAGTCCCCAACCCCCCGCCCCGGGGGCGGGGGGGGGGGGGCTTTGGGTCTTAGAAAGATGCTGTGCCTTGGCCCCGGCTGGGCTTTGCTGTGCACACACCCAACTCCCTGTGTTTCAGGATGTGGGCTTGCTGGGCGTCATCACTGACCCTATCCACACTCCCGTCACTCTCTTCTGGCCCAGCGACCAAGCCTTGCAAGCCCTACCCCCCGAACAACAGGATTTCCTATTTAACCAAGACAACAAGGACAAGCTGAAGGAGTATTTGAAGTTCCACGTGATCCGAGATTCCAAGGTATTTCCTTTGTATACAGATGGGGTCCATTCCAGGAATGGTCAGTGTGTCTCCACCTCTGCAGTGCAAAGGAGACCTGTGCAGCCCCTGCCCCACTCTGTGCTCCGACTAGCCATGGTTAATTGACCCCTGCAGTGTGCCATGCCTGCCCCGTTTCCCTGACCAACCCATATATATATATATATATTTTTTTTTTTTTTTCCTAACATTAACCGGTACCCAGGAGCATCATTCCTCTGCTGCGCTGCAGACTGGCTTTCCTTTTCCCCAGGTCACATGGCAAAAAGGCTGTTGGCAACAGTTCCAAGTGTGTCTAGGTGGGCTCGTTCCCCTCCATTTCCAAAATTTCCAGGCAAAGGGCTGCTTCAGCCAAATGCGTCAGCGGTTCACTACTGAACGGACCTACCGTGAGGGAAGCAAGATCTTACAGGCACATGGCAGCTGTTGCTGAAATCCTGTAACCTTGCATTCTCAGCTAGAAACCGTGTCTCTCCAGGAGTGAGTCTGTCTCGGCCAAGAAGGCCAAGGGCCCTAACTTAGGGTAATTCACAGGACCTGTGTTAGTGTCTCGGAGCTGCATAATAATGCCCACAAACTGGGTGGCTTGAAACAACAGAAATGTATGCCCTCATAGGTCTCGTGGCTGGAAAGTCTGAGATCAAGGTGTTGACAAGGTTGTTCCTTCTGGAGGCTCAGACGGAGAACATGTTCCGTGTTTCTCCCCAACTTCTGGCGGTTGCTGGAAATCCTTGACATTCCTTGGCTTGTCAATGCATCCCTCCAGTCCCTGCCTCTCTTGTGACATGGCTGTCCTCTCCCTGTGCATTTCTCTATCACCACATGTCATTCTCCTTTTCTCTCTTCTTCTACGAACACCAGTCATAGTGGACCAAGGGCCCACCCGACTCCAGGGTGACCTCCATCTTAACTAATTACCTCTGCAATGACCTTACTTCCAAGTAATGTCACATTCAAAGGTAATGGGGGTCAGGACATCAATAAAACTTTTCAGGGGTCACAGCTTAATCCATAACCATGCCCTGCACCCTTTCCCCAAACCACTGATCCTGTCATTGGCTTCATACACCAGCACAGCCTCTGCTGTGGCTGCCCAGCATAGAGTGGGCATGGAGGGGTGATTGGAACTGACCCAGCTGGAGAAGACATTCCCTACAGAAAGAATTTCCTACTTCCTCGAGAGCCTGTGATGAGTCTTCCTTTTGATTACGTCTGCAGCCATTTTAAAGCTGGAAAAACTCCTGTCTGGATTTGGTCTGATGGCAAAGCCCCTCCAGGTGCTTCTGCAGCCCAGATTTGGTGTATTAACGTGCCACCATCGCTCCTACAGATCTTAGCCGTGGATCTCCCCAGGGCCGCCGCCTGGAAGACCCTGCAAGGCTCGGAGCTGGGAGTGACGTGCGGAGCTGGCAGTGACATCGTGAGTATACACAACAGTCCCCAACCACTGTCCCCTCACGGGAAGATTCATTTTTCCCTCCAGTGACAGCAAGCTCTTTTCTCTGGCTGCCTTCGGGGGTATTATGCTCCGAGTGAGTATTTAGATATGAAAAACCTGATAAATCCCGCCCCAGCACAAGCCCTGGTAGAGGGTGTTGGGGAGCCCCCCTGCCTTTACACTTGCCAGGAGCAGCTCTGGGTTGTTTTGTTTGTTTTTGGAGCATTTATTTTGCAGTGTGAGACACTCCGCTGAATCAGGAAAGCGTACTGTCATTCCTTTGCCTTCCTTCCCAGCCCCACTGCAAACTCACCTCTAGCCCCTTGTCGGCAGCCAGAGCCAGCTCTGCGGTGAATCTGTTGAGATCCTCCAACAGAGAGAAAGTTCACAATTTTCACCTTCCCCAGCTAGTTCCCAAACCATATTGCCTCCCTGGAATTCCATACAATGAATGGGTCTGATGGGATAACAGTAGCCACATCCTGTATCCTTCATATCAGAGACAACCCAAAATGACAGTGACTTAAATATACAAGGGCTGTATCTTCTCAAAAGAACTCTGGAGGAAGCCAAGCCAGAGCTAGTATGACGGCTCATTGGGGGAGCGTCTTCTGTTTCCTCTGTAGCACGTTTCCACATTTCCAGCCTCAGAATCACGTCAAGGTTCCAGAAGACTGCTGGAGCATGCAGCTCCAACCACCAGGTCCACTTTCTAGTACAAAGGAGGAAGGTTTCGGGATCAGATCCCAGATGAGTTTTTTCTCTTCAAGGAGTCTTCTTAGAAGTGCCTGATGACATTCTGTTTATTTTTATGACCAGCCAGAATCCCTTTGGTGTTTGCAGTAGAGTTGCATTGAATTTAGAAACTGAATATGAGAAATGTTAGCATCTTTACATTCCAACTTCTAGAAAGTTATTCCAGTGTACTTACACTCTTGAGACTGGCTGTACTATTTCCATAGATCAAACTGGACACCTGTCGAAGAAGTATAATAAAAACGTCCACTGCTCATTCTGGGTGCCAATGTAGCTTCCAGAACACTTGGCAATGTATCATTTAGTCTGAGCTTTATAATAACCCTATGCAATGGAATCATTTGCCCTAGTGACCTGGTGAAAGCAATCAAACCACAGAGAAGTTCAGTAACTTGCTCACAGTCACACAGCATAGAAGTAGAGGTGGAGGATTTAACCGGTTTTCCTGTGTTCTTGCCACTGAATCACCCTGTGCCCCTCCCATCAATAGATGCTGAGATTAACCTTCTTTTTTTCTCTCACAGAACTTTCTTTTTTTAAAAAAAAAATATTTTATTTATTTGACAGACAGAGATCACAAGTAAGCAGAGAGGCAGGCAGAGAGAGGAGGAAGCAGCCTCCTCGTTGAGCAGAGAGCCTGATGCGGGGCTCGATCCCAGGACCCTGGGATCATGACCTGAGCCAAAGGCAGAGGCTTAACCCACTGAGCCACCCATGCACCCTTCTCACAGAATGTTCTAAAAGCATTTTGATTCCTCCAGGGATGGGTGGAGATATATTCAGCAATTTCCTAGCTGGGTGAACCCTAAGGAAGAAAGTTCTAGAACTGTTGCAAACAAAGTGAAATAATGTCTCTAAAGCACGATTTAGACAATGCCTAGTACATGTGAGGTTGTGGCTGACTTAGCTAGGAGCTAGCACTAAGTAAAAAAATATATGTATACATATATTGCACGCCTGCTCAGGAAGTGGCCACATTACCAAAGTGGATCCTGAGCCACAGCCAGGTCAGGCCTGCTCCAGCCCGTCACCCTCACTGCCCCTGCTTCTACTTTGGTGAAGACAGCATGGCCGAGGGGCCGTGGGCATGGCTCAGGGGCTGGAAGCCTGGGTAGGCATGCCTACACCACCGCCCACCGACTGCCTGGCCTGGGGCAAGGTACTGAACCTCTCCTGTCTCTGTCTTCTCATCTGTAAACAGGGACCCTAGTAATAGCTGCTATCCTCTAAGTGTTGTGAGGACTAAAGGAGTTTGCACAGGCCCAGCACACGGCACTACTCAGCACCTACTACACACTGGCTGCTTGCTGTATGTATCTAACATCTATAAGAATATATATATATTATATAATATATATATTATATATTATATATATATATAGTTCTTTTTGAGTCTTGCAGGTAAGGTGTTGCCACCTTCTATGGAAGAAGAAAAGTCTGAGAAAGACTGTTGACTGTTCTCTCTCTCTCTCTCCCTCCTCTCCCTCACAGGGCGAGCTCTTCCTGAATGACCAAACATGCAGAATTGTGCAGCGAGAACTCTTGTTTGACCTAGGTGTGGCCTATGGCATTGACTGCCTCCTGATTGACCCCACCCTCGGGGGCCGCTGTGACACTTTCGCCACGTACAATTTTTCGGTCAGTCCCCAAAACAGTACCGTAATAGGAGACAGGTGGGGTACAGCCCTCATGACCCAGCATGGACTCTGCCACAAAACCACTCAGGGCTGGTCCTCAGGGAGCCCGGGACCCATGAGATCTGAGGGCCAGATGATGGTGCCCTTCACGCTCAGAACCCACAAGCATCTACTTGGCCCCACCCAGGCCTGGCATGTTCCCAGTTATCCACCAGCCCACCCGTCCATTCATCCTCTCGCCATGAAGGGAAGAGTTGCTGGGACCAACTGGGTGCCCGTTATCCTACAATAAGCTATTCCTTTTCAAACCCTCCTATCTATTCAGTCATTCACATATTCATTCAACAAACATTTTTTGCTATTCTGCCAGATGGAACCATATAAAATTGCCCTATTTGGCAGGGTAGGATTACAAAAATGGCAACTTCATAGGGTTTAGTCTAGTATCATATGCCACCCACACAGCCGTTGAGTCACTCATTCATTTGTTCATTTAACACAGTGATAGAATGTCTGCCCTGGGCCCTGCTTGTAGGAGGCAATGTCACATTTCACACTCATTCATCTGTCCAGTATCATGTGTAGGGTACTACCTCAGAGCCAGCCATTTGGCTCCATTCATCTTACCTCTAAAGGAATCCAACATTACAAGTTGTTCAGCAACTCTGTGATGTAGATTTGGAAACTGAGTCTCAAAGAGGGAAGTGGCTCTCATGGCTAAGTCTGTGATCGGTTGGCTTGGGAACCTGTCAACTGGTAGGGATTCAACAAATATCCCAAATTCTTGAGACACCAGGCAGCAGGAGTAGGAGATGAAAAAAACAGTTGTCCTTTCTGCCGTAGAGGTTGTGGCCTTCTTAACTTCCAAAGTACATCTGCACCCATTTTTGCAGTTAATAGTTTCCATCAGCCATCCCCTGAAGATCAGACAGCAGCAAGAATCGTTGTCTCTATCTTGTAGATCAGAAAACTGAGGGTCAAAGAGTGTGACTGGCCAAAAGTATCATGCTGGTGTATAGTGGAAGGGGCACTTGTGTGCACATTTCCCACTGGACCAGATGCCTGAAGGACACTGTATAGCAGGGAACTTTTCACCCAAACAACAAAAGCCAAGGGGTGGAGGGCTAAGACGGATCTTCAGAATTCTCCACGGCAAAGTGGCCAGTGTGGTTGCTTTTGCATTCTTGATCACAGCCAGAATCTTAAACTCAAGATTAAGTTCTTGGTCAGCTCACCAAAGCATTAACCAGGGGTATACTCTTGGGTTGCCCAATATTCTTGACTTTTAAGCATTTCTTTTCTTGCATACTAGGGAGATTGTTGGAGCTGCGCCAATACGCCCAGCTGTCCGAGGTGGAGTAAGCCAAAGGTAATTGTGAATGCAGTGACAATGTTTGGAGCGCAGTGTTTGTTCCATTGTCAGACCCCAGTGTTCTGGTGGGTGTGTGTGTGTGTGCATGGGTGTTGTAGGGTGGTGTGTTGTCTGCAGGTCGATTGTATAAATGCAATCAACATCATTCCTTTAACAACCAGGCATCCTTAGCCTCATTGAGCACAGTACCCACCTTCCAGGAACTGTCTACAAAAGTCATGGGATTGTAGACTTAAAAGGGACTTCAAAGATAATGAGAATTATGCAAATCATAGTTGCATTTTGTTGGCTGCTATCCCTGTCCCTGGCCGTGTGTTGGGCCCTTTATTTCTGATACATTACCCTCATTATACCTCTCTTAGGAAGCTATTATTTCCTCCACTTAGGAAAAAAAAAAATATGTATCTCAGAGAGAGAACGCATTAGGCCAAGACCACAGAGCTAGTAAGGAGCAAAGTTAGAATTAGGGCCCAGAAAGCAACCTAAGAGTAATGGTCAAGCCAATGGAATTTGGAGTCCACGGCCCTGGGATCCAATTCCAGGGGGTAATCTTTGGCTAATTACATCATCTATATGGTTTTTCCTCCATAAAATGGAGCTAACAACTATTCTGTGTGTGGCTATTAGGAAAAGTACATTTTAAAAAGTACTTTAAAAGCACTCATTAAATATTGCTCTTTTACGTACCCCAAAGCCAATTTCCTTCTATTCTACTAGTAAAACCTCTAACAAAAACACACCTGCCAAACAAAATGGAACTCATACCTTCCCTACTGATGATTAGGGGACCTTGCCGCAGACACCCCCCCACCCCGTCGTACCCACCCCCCCAACGATGGAAAGCTCTCTCTCCCCCACTGTCCTCCCAAGAGACTGCACCCTTTGCAAACAGCTCTAAGGGTCAGCAAGTCCTTCCTCTTAAGGCTAAGGAGAACTTCTGTGAACTCTAGCTCTGCCCCCTCCCCCATCCATCTGCCTACCTACACACCTAAGAATTCCTTTTCTTAAAAGGGCTCCCGGGCCATGGAGTCCCACTTTCAGTTTGGGCAGTACCCAGGACCCTCCACTGGGGGCGGACTAGAGCCAAAGAGCCCAAGTCCGGGCGGTGGAAGGCTGAGGGTTAGTGCGCTTTCTTCCTTTAGGGCGTGAAGCAGAAGTGTCGATACAACATGTCCTTCAAAGGGTACCTGGAAGGCTGCCGGGAGCAGTGCACCATGGTGATACGGCTCCCCAGGTGCTGCAAGGGCTACTTCGGGCGAGACTGTCAGGGTGAGGGCGCCTCTTACCACCTCGCGATTCTGAAAGGATTGTGCGGTCACTGCGCTGTATCTGAAAGTACAGACGCTGTGGAGCCGGGGTGGGGGAGGGGGCGTCGGAATGCATTGCTCCCAGGAACCCCTCCAAGCAACGATCCGCAAGCATTCTAAAGAGTTGCTTAGCTTTCCTTCCACTTTTCCTTGTCTCATATTTTGTTCTTTACAGAGCTGAGATTCTCCTGTGCCTCGATTGTCATTGTGTTGTGCTTTTTTACTCAGCAGGATAGCATCAGACATTTCCCACGGTGCTAGAAACACCGTATTTCATTTCTGATGCTGGTCCAGGATACTGATGAGCACATGAGTTTAAATGCATAGAATTCTACCTTGGCAGGGTGCTGTGCTAATATGAGGTGTGGGGGCCATTGTTTCCTGAAACCCCCCTGTTATGGGATGTATGACATCACCTCCCTCTCTTACCTCACCAAGAAAGGGCTCCTTGCCAAAGGACATTTGGGCCCATCCTGAAATCTTTGTGTATAGATAGAACTTCTGGCCAATCATAACAAATGCCATGGCACTTCCCATTGACCACACACTGTTTTGATTAAGCACATTTATTGCATGCTGCTTCCAATATATAACAACACATTTAAACCTGGCAACAACCTCTAAGAAACAGGTTCTATTTTTTCTTTAAAGATTTTACTTATTTGACAGAGGGATCACAAGTAGGCAGAGGGGCAAGCAGAGTGAGAGAGAGAGAGAGAGAGAGAGGGAGGAAGAAGCAGGCCTAGCAGAGAGCCCGATGCGGGTCTCGATCCCAAGACCCTGAAATCACGACCTGAGCTGAAGGCAGAGTCTTAACCCACTGAGCCACGCAGGCAGCCCCTAGAAACAGATTCTATTTTTATCCCCATTTTACACATGAGAAAGTTGAGGCAGAGAGAGGATAAGCAGCAGGCCCAAGATCCCACAGAGTGTCCCCAGAAGCTGTGGTTTTAACCACCATATGTCCTCCATTCACTGTGGTCCAGTTGAGAAAATTCTGGGCTGGGAGTACACATGATCACCCAGTATCCACACTCCATCACTTGAGTGTGCACAAAAATCGGTGTCGTCCCTTACATTTGCTCAGTGCCTTATGTTTTCAAAGTGCTCTCAGTTACAGTAACATTTTTTTAAAGATTTTATTTATTTGAAAAAAAAAGTTTTTATTTATTTGAGAGAGAGGGAGCACACACATGGGGGGTGGGTTGGGGATAAAGGGACAGAGTGAAGCAGACTCCCTGATGAGCGGGAAGCCCAATTAAGGGCTTGATCCCGGGAGCCTGGGATCATGACCTGAGCTGGAGGCAGACACTTAACCAACTGAGCCCTAAGTAATGTATTTGAACCTCAGTCACAGTGTGGTCTCGGTCATCATCATCATCATCATCACCCTCTTCTAGAGCTAACAGAACTTAAGCTCAAAGAAATTCAGCCCAGATCTGCTCAAATCCAGGCCTCCTAACCCCAAATACAATACACGGTTCAGCCTATTGCTCTGCCACCGTAGAATTCTATCTGATACATTGAAGTTCATGCCCCAGAGGCCACTGGCTTGCCCTAAGCACCCGGTGACACTATGTGGGTGTGTCCCCAGGGCCACGGTCTCTCTGGGATAATGGAGATGAGCCCCACAGCTGAGGGCCGATCAGACTTACATTACAAAGGTGCTAAGCTGCTCTGGGTCTTGCGAGACTGTTGAGTCACTGCTGTGTCCTCTGTTCCAGCCTGCCCGGGAGGAGCGGATGCCCCCTGCAGTAACCGCGGTGTCTGCCTCGATCAGTACTCAGGCATAGGCGAGTGTAGATGCAACACAGGCTTCAATGGGACGGCATGTGAGCTGTGCCTGCCGGGGAGATTCGGGCCTGACTGTCAGCGTACGTGGCTCCCACTCCCCCTGCTTTAGCCTGCTGTTCAGCCGTGTGCTCCCTGTCCTCGTCCACATCACCTGCCTGAACCAGTAGCATCCTCTTCCCCTCTCTCCCATCCCCTCACCTCCCATCTGCCTGCCTTGACATGCGTTTTCCCTCCCTGGATGTATTCCCAGTTGCCATCCACTGAAAGAGCCCTAGCTCTAGAAGTGAAATTCACATCCCTTGCAGCCATCAAGACAAGCTCTGACTGAACAACACTCATTCAGTCATTCAACCAACATGCATTTAGAGTCCTTATTAATATTGACAGCTCATGGTTACAGTTAATGTTTACTGAGCACCTACTATGTGCCCGGCAGGTATGTTTTGTCTCTTACTTAATCCTCACAACTACCCTTCATGGGAGGTACTGTCATTACCCCTACTTACCATATGTGGAAACTGAGACACAAGGGGGCTAAGTGATTTGCTCTAAAGCCAGGAATTGTTCTAAGTTGTAGGGATACAGTGGTGTTGGGAGGGGGCCAAATCCCAACTCTCAAGGAATATATACTTGAAAACAAAGGTAGTTAGTTATAAAGGTATAAAGAGAAAGAAGCAGGTGAAGGGAATAGGGAAGGCAGGGAGGCACTATTTTAGAAGACATCTCACACAGGGAATATTTGAGACAAGACTGAAAAGAGGTGGGGGTAGGCATGGGGATCTCCAACGGCAGCTCTGCCCAAAGAAATTTTCAGTCATGCTGGATATAGTCTGTAACTCTACCATCAGGAATGGGAGCCACTAGCCACATGTGGCTGCTGAGCACTCAAAATGTGTGACTAAGGAACTGATTTATTTTAATTAGTTTAAACTTACATAGCCACATGTAGCAAGGACTACTGTACAGACCAGTTGCAGACTAGAGGGATGGCTTTTTTAGAAGAGAAATGAGCCAGTGCAAAGGTCCGGAGGCAGAAGTGGGTGTGGCATGCACTGATGGTGGCTGAGCAGAGTGGGCAAAGAGGGAGAGAGGAAGGAAATGAAATCTGAAGGCCACCAGAGACCAGGAAACATAAGAGCTTCCTGGCAGAGATAGCCCTTCATCTATTCTAAGTGTAATGGTGGCCAGTAGAGGACTGTGAATGGAGGAGTGCGCTGAACAGATTAGAAAGGATTGCTGCAGCTGCCCTGAGGAGAACTCACTGTAGGAAAGCAAGAGCAGAAGCAGGGCCACCTCTGGGGAACTGAAGGCAACAATCCAGGTGAGAGCTGTAGTGCCTTGGGGCAGGGGTATAGTGCTCAAGGTGGCAAGAAGAGAAAGAGTTGGTATGTATCTTGAAGATTTTGCTGTTAAATAGATTCTCTGTTAGGAGATCCTATAAGGTTCTCTCCTCTTTCTATTCTGCTACATACCCTATGATGCCCTCTAATTATATGTTCAAAAGCCAGTTACTCCTGGACTGTAAGCCCCATGAGAGCAGGAACCTTATGTTTTATGTTTTTCACTGTAAGCTCATTGCCTAGTCATGTTGGCCCCATGATAGCCACAGACTGTGTTCCTTCAAGTGAGTGAATGAAAACGATGACATAAGCATGATCCTCCCACACTGACAACACAGCCAACAGGGGGCCAGTGAGCTGGCTGATAGGATTTCCATCCCTGATCACTGGTTTCCGATCCCCCTCCAATTTGTTTTACAGCTTGTGGCTGCTCAGCCCACGGACAGTGTGATGATGGCCCCACGGGCTCAGGGCAGTGCTTCTGCGAAACGGGGTGGACTGGCCGCTTCTGCGACACTCAGACAGGTGTGTCCCGGGAGCGGTCAGCTGTCTGCAGCACCGCGCCGCCGAGCGGCCTCCCAAAACCTCCAGCTGAGGTTGGGGGCCTGCGCGGCACCTGAAAAAAAAAACAACAAAACGGGTGTTTCCTTTTCCACAAGGAAAAGACGGTTTGGATACATGGCCCCAGGCCTCAGGAGGTTTGGGGACTAGAGGAAAAACTGGCTGAAAAGATTTAACTCAAACCCATGAAACCGGCACACAGTCCCATGCAATCACAGAAGGACCCAGCTCGGGCAGACAATACAGGGTTGGGCAGGAATGGTCCCACAGAATCACGGTCCCAGGCGCACACATGCGCCAACAGACGCAGAGTGGTTTCACAGAAAATGCATGGTTCTGTGGAGTCCGGGATCTGAACCCCAGTTCTGCTAGTTGCTAGGTGAATGGCCTGGGATAAGCCACCCAGTCGGGGCCTCAGTGCACTCACCCACAAGAGGAAGGGCCTGATCAACCCTTTGCAGGGGAGGGGCTGTGAGGGTCGGAGATGGTGGTTATAAAGGGCCCCGCATGTCAGACACTAATGAGAGCTGCCATGGTCATTGTCAGTCATGATCCTCATCATCACAATCTAGATCCTTCCTGAGCGGCCAGTTTTCTGAGGTGCCGCCCTAGACCCTGAGCCCCGACTTCTGGTGGAAGGTCTGAGATGTGAAGGTTGAGTTATCACTGTGAACCGCTGGGGGCAGGAGGGCATGATTAAGTTCTCCCTATGGGCTTAGGCAAACTGCGATTCCAGAATCCCTGAGCTTCCGTTCCTGCACCTTCCCTCCTCCCCTGACCACCCACGGCTCTGCGCTGCCTGTTGACACGGTCACCCCATTCACTCACCGGAGCTCCAGACTTCCCCCAAGCTGAGCAGTGCCCTCAGAAGCCCCTGGAATTTCTCCTCCAATCCAGTCATCTCCTTCTGGACCTTATGCCTGTAGGGCCAAAGAGCTAATCTGCTGAATTTATCTTTGTTGAGGTATAAGGTTTTAACTGATTGCCCATGGAAGTGACATATTATAGTTTAATCTGAATAACATTGTAGAGTTAATGTGTTACTACTACAGAGTAATTCTGGAATCTCAGAATCTCCAGGCTGGAAGGAAACTTAGCAAATCACCCTATCCTCCCACTGGAAGGGGGTACTTCTGAAACACGGGGATGGGCCAGACCGCGAGACTCGGTGCGCCCAAGTCCTCACACCACAGGTACAGCATGAATGGTGACCTCCTTGTTTGCAGCCTTGCCCTCCGTGTGCACACCTTCTTGTTCTGCTCACGCCACCTGTAAGGAGAACAACACGTGTGAGTGTAACCTGAATTATGAGGGGGACGGAATCACGTGCACAGGTAGGTCCTGTTGGTGCGTGTGTGAAATAGGGTGGGGCAGGAGCAGAGTGGAACTTGGTCACAGTGCCTGGACTTCATTCTGGCCCTTCCATTCCTGCCTGGGTCATTTTCCCAATACCCACTCTCTCTGTGATTCAGTATCCTAAGTGCGTTTGCTCATGCCTGACCTGCTCACCATCCAGGTCATTGTTCTGAAATCGCTTTGCACACTCAGAATGATGCACCTTATTGTATAGTGTTTTTGTAACTCTACAGGGAATCCAGTCTTCAAAAAACATTTCAGAAAATACCTTACAGTACTAAAAAAACTAGCAGTTACTTTCATCATTTGGTGAGAATCACTCTGACCATTGCCATGTCTGTCTTTAGTAGTTAAGACATAGGTTCAGCCGTGCAGATACCCAAAGGGACAGTGGCAAAAACAAGGCAAATGTTTAGATGTTTATTTTTATCTCATATAGTAGTTTGAATGGAGCCATCCAAAACTAACATAACTCTGAAAGGACATCTGGGATCCCAGACTCCTTCTATCTTGTTGCTCTACCATCATTCACGTCCCTGGCCTGAGATGGTCATCCAGTACATCCCAGGCAGCAGGATGGAGAAGGTGAAGAAGGAGGCAAACCTCCTTCCCTTTACCTAGAAGTCGGTAAAAATTTTGTCACCTGTCATACCTAGTTGCAAAGGAGCCTGGGAAATGTAGTCTTCATTTAGGCAAACACGAGCCCAACTAAAAATTTCTTACTATAGAAAAAGGAGACAACAGATATTGGGAGAAATCTACCAGCCTATGCCACATGTACTTTCTAACTTCTTTCATGCATAAATATGTAAATAAAGATACATAGTTTCTTTACAGAAATTAGCTCTTGTTATACCTGCTGTTTTGTAATCTGCCACAAGGCAGTCCAGAAATAGGCCACTTATCAACAATGGCAGCAAAGACCCAGGTTCTGTCTTTCCACTCTACTGTTCTTAGGATGAGGCCTTTTGTCCTCGTGTTTATTCTCTCAAAATTTCAAGTGGCTGCCATGACTCCAGGCAAAACCCAGATAGGAGAAATCAGATAGCTTTCTAGCTGCTCCCGAGGCTAGAGCTCATCTAGTATTGGGTTGAAATTTGGGAGATTATGAAAACAAAGGTCCTAATGGGTAGCGCAACACAGTGGGGAAAATATGAGCTTTGGGCGTCAAACCAAGTAGGGTTGAAGTCCCTGTCCCACCACATTATCACCGGGGGTAAGAGAGTTAAACTCTCTGGGTTTCAGAGTGTTCGTCTGTGGAGTGAGGTTAACAATGACCATCTCATGAAGTACTCCAGAGTACAGCAACTCCAGACACACACACACACACACACCTGTCCTAACATTAAAAACTCAAACTCATTCAAAAAAATAGCAAAGTGGAGCCTAGAGGTATGTGACAAAGGAGGTCACAGGTGCACAGAGGTCATCAGGCCTGGTCTCAGAGGCTATCAGCCACAGGATTCTAGCGTCCCCAGAGGCTAGCCCAGGGGCTATCGGGAATGGGGAAAGAAGACCCCTACCTGCTGGGGCCCATTTCTTTCCCAATGCCCCTGATCCCAGGGTGACCCATAATCCCCGTCTGAAGCTCACATTCCACAAACCGTGGTTCAGTGAGCCCTCTCCCTTCTGCTCGTGCAGTTGTGGATTTCTGCAAACAGAACAACGGGGGCTGTGCGAAGGTGGCCAGGTGTTCCCAGAAGGGCACAAAGGTGTCCTGCAGCTGTCTGAAGGGCTACAAGGGGGACGGTCGCAGCTGCACGGAGATAGACCCCTGTGCCGATGGCCTCAACGGTGGGTGTCACGAGCATGCCACCTGCAAGATGACCGGCCCGGTGAGTCTCTCTTGCCCCCGGGAAACTTGGGAGCGGTTCTGCATCTGGCTCAGCCTGGCTTCACTCTGCTCGTTGTTCGGCCTCCTCCTCCGCTTCCTTCCCAGCGCCCTCTCCGTCCTGTCAGGTCTGCAGACCGAATGCCAAGTGGCGTCCTAAGCAGAAAAGAGACATGAGGAGGAAAACCAGTGAAATCTACATAAAATCTATTGTTTGGTTCATAGTAATGTGCCACCATTCATTTCCTAGTGGGGGTTTTTTGTTGTTTTTTTGTTCTGTTTTGTTTTTTGAGAGAGAGAGAGAGAGCACGAGAGTGGGGCAAAGGGTAGAGGGAGAAGGGAGGGAGAAGCAGACTCTCCACTGAGCAGGGAGCCCCATATGGGACTCAATTCTAGGACCCCGGGATCATGACCCAGGTCGAAGGCAGACACTTAATCGACTGAGGCACCCAGGTGCCCCCATTTCTTAGCTTTGACAAAGATACTGTGATTAGGTAACGTGAGGGAACATGGTGAAGCGTATATGGCAACTCTTTCTGCTATCTTGGCAGCTCTCCTCAAAATCTAGAATTATCCAAAGTAAAAAGTTTATTAAAACAAAATGTCAGCAAAACGTGGGGGGAAAGTGCAGGTTTGGACCCCCACTCAAGCCTTTTTAGGATGGGATCAGTGCCCTGGTGCCGGCTTTATCTGTTGGGAAGGGAAGTTGGTAGAAGATAATGTCCACTCTGGTCCTAAGTGTGAACTTAGGACTCAGAGTCACTCTCTGAGTCTTAGCTCTCCCACTTACACTCTGTGGCCCAGAGCCGGCTACTTGATTTCTCCCAGTCTCTGTTTCCTCATTTGCCAGGTGAGTCTAATAATGCAGCCCTCATAGAATTGCTCGGGGATTAAGTGAGGTCATTCATTGATTGGGCAAGTGCTCATCAGGCACCTGCCGTGTGCTGTTTTCAGAGCCAGGGACGTAGCAATGAAATGTGAGGGGGGAGGGGGCAATGCTCTGGGCAGAAACAGGTGCACGAGATACTTTCAGAAAGTACCAAGCACCTGACCAAGAGTCAGGCAGAGTATGAATTGGGCCAGTGTGATAGAAGGGATGAGGAGTGTTGCTTTATTTAACGGGTCAGGGACGCCGTCTCCGAGGAAGCAACATTTGAGCCGAGGGGACATTTCCTCATGAGTCTGTACAAACATGAGACATGGCAATGACTTAATTGCCACTATTTATAAGCAAAGCATTTTCCTGGTGCTTCAGAGCATCTCCTGCGCTGGATGGGGGCCTGCAGAGCTCATCAGGGTCCTGGAGTCCTAGAAGAGGGGCTTCTCATCTCTTCGGCTCTCCCTACAGGGCAAGCACAAGTGTGAATGTAAAAGTCATTACGTGGGAGATGGGACAGACTGTGAGCCAGAGCAGCTGCCTATCGACCGATGTTTGCAGGACAACGGGCAGTGCCATGCCGATGCCGACTGTGCCGATCTCCACTTCCAAGGTCAGCGTGGCTAGGGGTCACTGGCCTTCTGGCCTGGGGAAGGGGTTTGCCCAAGAGCAAAGGGGAACAGAATTAAAAGCCAGGCCAAACAGCCCAAGCATTGCCCAGGACCCAGTGCCCAGGAGGTTGCAGGCTTTGGTAGCAGAGGACTGGAATAATTCATCTCGACTGGGAGCCTTAGAACTAGGAGGGAGCTCAAAGGTCATCCAATGTGAATTTTCCTGAAACAGGTTTTCCCCAAGTTGCTTAGCAACCATCAGTTGGAATTGAATCTAAGGAGCATAGTTCAGGGTTTAAATAACAGAGGAAGCACCTGCCACGTGCAGATGCAGCTTCTGAGCGGTTGTTTCAATAATACACATCGATCGGCATGTGTGGCGTTCTCTTCCGAGGCTGATCTGAATGCCTTATAATAAACCCACAAGTAACATAAAACTAGGAATCACAACACACAGCAAAGTAGAAAGCCAAATGGGAAGTGCAGAGGTGCAGGTGATCTTAAAACCTCAAGGATGAAATCCACAAGGGACGCAGCAAGGTCATTCTGAGCCAGAGGGGACAGCAGTGGTTCAGAGGGAGGGACGGCATTGGTTCAGAGAGCAATTCAGGGTATTACATGTTATGGCCAATCAAGATTTATTGGATGTCTCTGACTAGGACAAGGTTTAGAGACATGGTATTTCTAGTGAGGCAGTTTTTACATATCTCAATAGTAACTACTGAATTAACACCTGATACATACTGTCTTAATCCGTTCTGACTGCTACTATCGACTGAGTGGCTTAAAAACAACAGAAAGGTGTTTCTCACCATTCTGGAGCCTGGAAGGCTACGATCAGGGTATCGGCATGGCCATCTTCTAGGGAAGGCCCTCTTCCAGGTTCTGACTGTTGTCTTCTTATGTCCTCATGTGGCAGAAGGGCTAGGAAGCTCTCTGAGGTCCCTTTTATAAGGGCACTAACCTGGGACACCTGGCTGGCTCAGTCAGTGGAACGTGCCACTCTTGATCTCGGGGTTGTTTGTGCCCCATGTTGAGTGTAGAGATTACTTTAAAAATACACACACACACACTCACCCCATGCAAGAGGGCTTTCCCCTCATGACCTGTTTACCTCCCAATGGCCCCACTACCTAATACCAACACATTGGGAAGATCACCTCATGAATCTGGGGGGACACAAACATGCAGTCCATAACATGGGCCAAATTCTAAGATGCTTCAGATCCCTTTTGGGGATGAGATAGAAGAAATGTAAGCAAGGAAAATACACAGGATATATGACATTGTCCCTTTGCAAGGGGATTCCCAGTGTAGCTGAAGACATTTTTTAAATTGATAAGACAAGGAAAGGCAAGTCACAGAACCGAAGACAGAAGTTTATCTTGTGCTGATGGTTCAACTTAAAAAAAAGAGAGCAAGAATAGAAGAAAACTGAAAGCAGGGACTCAAACAGATATGTGTATGCCCATGTTAAACCAAAAGGTGGAAACAACCCTAGTGTCCATCAACAAATGAATGGATAAATACACTGTAGCTTATCCATATGGTGCGATATAATCTGGTCCTGGAAAAGGAAGGAAATTCTGGCATATGCTGTAACATGAATGAAACTTGAAACCATGTCACGTGAAAAAACCAGACACCACAGGATAAATATTATGGACATATGCAAGGGATCTATGACAGGCAAATTCATAGAGACAGAAAGTAGAGTAGAGGTTACCAGGGGCTGCAGAGAGGGGGATGGAGAGTCACAATTTGATGGTGACCACGTTTCTGTTTGGAATGATGGAAACATTCTAGACATGGATAGTGATATTGGTTGTATAACATTGTAAATCTACTTAATACCACTGAATTGTACCCTTAAGATGGTCAAAAAAGTAAGTTGTATGTTATGTATATTTATCAGTGTAAAAAAGTTATTTTGAAGAATTGTCAGAGATGGGAAAGATCCCTAGGTAAGATGAGAGAGGGAATCCTCAGAGAAGCTTAATAGAGGCTGGGACTATGGCGGAGACTCAAAAGATGTCACGGCAATGACCTCAAGGTAATAGGGTCTCAACCAGGAAGAAGGGTGAGCTCAAGGCAGCCTTATGACCAGAGAAGGTGAGGATAAGTAAGCCACATAAGGTTTCTATCTCAAAGCAAACCCAGTGTGGTTGTGTTCAAGCAGATGGGAAGCAACATGGTGCAACATTTGAGAGCTTGGTTGGGGACATTCTATGTTCAAGGTGAGGCTACCAAGCAGAAGGATTCTATAAGCAGTTGCTATTTAGGATGGGTGCCAAAATGAGCACCTGGGACCAGGGACGTTGACCTGCGAGCCTTTTGCCTCAAAGGGTGAAGTCAAGAAAGTGCTTGGCTTTTTTCTTCAGGACACAGTCCACTCAGCCAGTCCTGCTATTCCCACAGCTGACTCACAGGTGGAAATCTAATCGGCTCTTCTTTTCCTGGGGGCTTTTCCTTTCTGCTCTCATGAATGCCAAAAAAAGAGAGACAGGAGTGTTACTAAGTGACTGGGCATCAGAATTGGACCCACCCGCTGTTGAAGCTGAGTAGTTACCCTTAGGAAGACAGGATGGTTTGGGGATAAGACCTCGGCTTTCCCTGTGGGCATGGTTACAGAACCATGTCACACTCGGGAGGAAGTGCCTACTCTTCCGGTTCAGAGGAGGGCAAACTGGTATAGCCTTAATGGCAGCCAATTGGACAACGTGTGCTGAGAGCCTTAAAATAATTCATGCTGAGACTTGGTAGCTCCATTTCAAGAAATGCATCGAATAGACGCACAATCTAATAAGGAAATCAAGATAGACGTACCATCCCAGCATTACTTTGCATCATAAAAGATTACAGATAACACATATCTAACAGTCAAGGATGATCAAATGCACTGTTACATATCTACTCAGATGCCCTGTTAAGAATCATGTTGCCTTAGCAACATGGAAAAACATCTATCCATCCTTCCCCAGACTGTTATGCTGGGAAGTGTCTGCAATTCAGATAGGGCTGACAAGATCATACAACCTGTGGAATGTTCTGCCGGACTATGGTCAAAGAAAGACCTTGAACTTAACTCTTTTTGGTGTAGAAAGTGACCTTTCAGTGGCATTTGCTAATGAACTTGACAGATGTAAAGATGTAACTCGATTCTTGAACTATTTCTGGTCTCTGCATTTAATTGTCTGGCTAAAAAAAGATTTCAGCAAGGAAAAAGTGATAAATCTTTCAGTCTCTTAGGGGAGAAATAGCTAGAAAACTTGTTTAAGGGCAGAGTGCGATCAGAAAACATAGAATCCTTGACAAAGACTCTCTCTCTTTTTTTTTAAGATTTTTTTTTTTATTTGTTTGACAGAGAGAGATCACAAGTAGGCAGAGAGGCAGGCAGAGAGAGACGAGGAAGCAGGCTCCCTGCTCAGCAGAGAGCCCAATGTGGGGCTCCATCCCAGGACCCTGAGATCATGACCTGAGCCGAAGGCAGAGGCTTTAACCCACTGAGCCACCCAGGCACCCCGCAAAGACTCTCTTTAAAGTATTTTGTCATGGCTGTAAAGTTCACAAAAATTAGTCAATTATAAGTATTGAGGGGGAAATCCTGTTGCTAGAGAAAATTTATAACATGGGGGAATAATCATGATTCAATGTTAAGTTTTTAAAAAGATTTCTAGGGGCGCCTGGGTGGCTCAGTGGGTTAAAGCCTCTGCCTTCGGCTCAAGTCATGTTCTCAGGGTCCTGGGATCGAGCCCCACATTGGGCTCTCTGCTGAGGAGGGAGCCTGCTTCCCCCTCTCTCTCTGCCTGCCTCTCTGCCTACTTGTGATCTCTCTCTGTGTGTCAAATAAATAAATAAAATTTTAAAAAAAATTTCTAAAAACTCTATACGCAGGACGTTGCCACATTTGTAATGTATATGACATGTAAAGGAAGAGGTAAAAAGTCTAGAAGAGTATGAAATTATGTCAAAATAAGTTACCAAAAAAGAAAATAAAAATTCTTTAGGGGAAGTATACCAAAATGTTAGCCCTGGAGTAATGATTATTTCCAGGGAATAAGGTTTTAGGCGATTTGTATTTTTTTTCTTACTTTGATGGATTGCCCAAATTTCTACAATAACATGTGCCATTTTTGTATTGAGAAAAGAAATAAATATTTTAAATGATGTGCTTCAATCTACCTTGAAGGGAAGTGGCTCTCCGAGGCCCCTGGGATATAGCTTGCCTTCTGCTTTGCCAGTCCTTTCCTGGGAACCCTGTCAACCAGGTGGGCTGACCTACAATTGCTGTCTTTTCCCTTCTAGATACCACCGTCGGAGTGTTCCATCTCCGCTCCCCACTGGGCCAGTACAAGCTGACCTTTGACAAAGCCAAAGAGGCCTGTGCCAACGAGGCAGCAAGCATGGCAACCTACAACCAGCTCTCCTATGCCCAAAAGGTGGTCCCCAGTTGGTCAGCCCCACTCAGGCAGGGTCTGCAGGGGACAGGGTACAGCCTCTTCTTAACATGAGGGAGACCTGGGCTGCTGCCTTCTTGGAGGGGAAGGAGGGTGCTCCTGGAGCAATGGTATCAATTCATCACATCTGTCGGGCATGTACTGTGTGTCAGGCATTGTGCAAGTGCTTTGTTGATAACACTGTCCATCCATATAACATCCCCGGAAGTAGGCGTCATTATTCCCATTTTACAGAGGGGGCAACTGGGGCTCTGAAAGGTTAAGTAATGTGCCCAGGGTCACCCAGACAAGAGGTGGCAGATCCAGTATTCAAATGTAGCCCTTACTCCAAAAGTCTGTTCTCTACCATGACATTTAACTGCCAAGGCAGAAGCACAGACTGGGAGTGCATGTCCCACAGCTGAAAACCAGAAAGAGATCCATTGCCAGAGGCCTAGGAACTCCTTGAATGCACAAAATATCTGAGGGTCTCTGAAATGTCTGGCGGGGATGTGAACATAAATGGGGATTGCCCCAGCTCTTGGCAGCAACCAGGTAGGAGATGGAACTCTAGCAAAGGCTACTCTCTTGGCCCCCAAAACCAGAAGCCCTGAGTATTTGGAAAGGCCAGCACCTTGGAGTTACAGGCTAGCAGTTGCTACGCGGGTGTAGAGGAGGCAACTGCCTACACAGTATGATTCTAAGGCCGCGCCTCCAAATTCCCTCACCATCCAGTCTCCGCCTTCCTTCAGACCTGGCATTTTTTCACCAAGGAACAAAACCTCTGATGTCAGGCCTCAGCATATTGGAGGGTCTGAATTTTTGCTCTCCTGCTTGCCAATTTTGTGGCCTTGATGAGGCCATGGAAACCTCTGTTCTACTTGTCATGTTTGTATAGGACTAAAGGTAATAGGCACTATAGTGACTGATGTACTCAGTTTTTAACATTAAGAGCTCTGGAATGGGCTGCTCAGGTTTGAATCTCAGTTTAACTACTAGCTAGCTGAGCAAGTTACTTAACTCCTTTTTGCCTCAATTTTGTCAATTATATGATGGGGATTTTTTTTTTTTAAGTTTCTATCTTATAGAGTTGGTATGAGGGTTAAAAGTGCTGACACAGGGAAAGCCCTTACAACAGAACCTGGCCCAGAGTAAGCTCTCAATAAGTATGATGATGATGATGATGATGATGATGATGGTGATGATCATGGTGATAATGATGGTGATCATGGTGATGAAGGTGATGATGATGATAGTGATGTGGTGATGGTGGTGATGACAGTGATGGTGACGATAGTGATGATCATGGTGATAATGATGGTCATGGTGACGATAGTGATGATCATGGTGATAATGATGGTCATGGTGATGATGGTGACCATGGTGATGATGCTGATGATCATAGTAATAATAGTGATGATGGTGATGATAGTGATTATCATGGTGGTGGTGGTGATGATAGTGATGACGGTAATGATCAGGGGGATGATGATGATGATGATGATAGTGATGTGATGGTGATGATAGTGATGGTGATGATGATAGTGTTGATGGTAATGATCATGGTGATAATGATGGCGATGATAATGATGGGGATTATGGTGATGATGGTGATGGTAAAGATGGTGATGATCAATTTGAGTTCTATAAATGCATAAGCAGAAGAATTTGCATCCAGGAGTAGAAGCCTGAGAGTAAATTTAATTCAAGAACAGAGAGAAGAGACATGAGTGTGAAGGATTTGGGCATTGAAAGAAAAAAATGGTACCATGTTCATCTGTTCAATGAATCAACCAAGAAAAATTTAATGAACAGCTACTATGTTCCAGGCACAGTGGTACAGTAGGCAAAATGAGCCATAACCCTGTCTCATGGAGTTTACAGCCTGATGTGAGAATCAGACAGGAACTAAAGGATCCCACACCAAATATGAAATTGTAGCTGATCCATGGCCATATCTGTGTCCCTATAGGCCAAGTACCACCTCTGTTCAGCAGGCTGGCTGGAGAGTGGGCGGGTGGCCTACCCCACAGCCTACGCCTCCCAGAACTGTGGCTCTGGCGTTGTTGGAATAATAGACTACGGACAAAGAAACAACAAGAGTGAAATGTGGGATGTCTTCTGCTATAGGATGAAAGGTAATGACCCCAGCTACGCTTCAGATTCCAGGACCCGCACTGCTGATCAATGCTCAACCTGGCCAGCCAACCTTCAAGGGTGAGCTGGAGCAGTCCAGGCCGCCCCCTCACTGGAGTGGTCCCCTGTGTGCCCCTGCCTTCCAGATGTGAACTGTACTTGCAAGGCGGGCTACGTGGGAGATGGCTTCTCATGCAGCGGCAATCTGTTGCAAGTCCTGATGTCTTTCCCTTCACTGACGAACTTCCTCACAGTACGTACCCTGCACCCCATCTGCTTGGTTCTGCCTTGGGGAAGGAGCACTTGCCTCAAGGCAGCGATTCCAGAGGCAAGTCCTTGAAAGAAGCCCCAGGCTCCCAGTCATGGGTAAGAGCACAGGCGCCAGACCACACTGCTTGAATTCAAAGCCAGGGTTTGCCACCTGTTGCACCACCTTCGACAAGTTGCTTCCCTATCTGGGCCTCAGCTTCCCAGTAAAATGGAGAGGATGATAGCCCCAGCCTCCTAGCACCATTGTGGTAATGAAAGCACTTAGACTTGTGGCCTGTACGCACAAATGGCCACACTGGGGCTGGCTAGTAGTAGTATCTCATTTTGCATCCAGAGCAGCCTAAGAGTCTGATCTGCAGTAACGAGAAGCTCTTTGGTCTTCACCGACTAGGTTGAGCGCAGTTAGCTGGGCCAGCCTGGTGATCAGACAGTTTTCAACATGGCATCAAACTGCCCTTAGCACTACCCTTCCAGTCAGTTCAATGCTCTACATGTTATGCCTAGTGAAGAGAAAGTTCCAGCTGGAGAAGGATTTGGTGCTGACCAATCAGAGAACTGAGCTAATAATAACAACTAGGTCAAGAATAACATATCTTGAGCATTTCCTTTGCACTGTGCATGCATGAACCCCTTCAGAGCACTTATAACTCAGCTCACAGAATGTAAGCTCCCTAAGGGACAGGATTTTCCCTGCCTTGTCACTGGCATATAGTAGGTGCTCAACAAACACTTGTTACTAGGAATAAATTCTCATGTGACCTTATGAGGTCACTTCTGCTATTATCCCCATTTTGTAGATAAAGATGCTGAGGCTTACCAAGGTGAAGGGCATAGCCAAGGAGAGGGGACTGGGCATACATATAGGGCTTGCAGGATCAGAGCAGAAGTTAAACCAAAGGCTCCCAAATGGTGAGTCTTTATCCGCAGACTGAAAGCATCCATCTAACTGTTCTAAAATTCAGGGTTATCATAAACACACTGAAGATAAACAGTCAAACTGGTGTTTCTGCATGTGGGAGTTTGGCTTGCAACAGCATTACAGAAAAAAAAAAAAAACAGTGTCGGAACAAGACCCACTGGCTGTGTGCCCCTGAGCAGATTAATTACCTTCTCTGGGCTTCAGTGGCCCTGTCCGCACAATGACAAAGTCGAACTGGGTAAGTGAGGTTTCTTAAACTGTTCCAGCAAGTATTCATTGAGCACCTACTACATGCTTGACATATATCAGTGAACAAAACAGACACACCAAATAATAAACAAAATAAGTAAGTACATAGTAGTGAATGCTAGGAGGTGATTATATATGCTGTGGGGGGCAGGGAAGGAGGGGAAGGGTTGAGTAGGGAGAGAGAGGGGTACCACCACAGGGTTCCCAATTTGCAGGGTGATAAGGGGTGGCCTTGGTGAGAAGACAACACCCTAGGAAAGCGTGAACAGAGGCAAGGGAGCTAGCTGTGTAGATGTGGGGCAAGAACACGCCAGCAGGAGGATGAAAGGCAAGAGTGGCCACACGAGTTTGAAGAATGGCCAGGAAGCCAGTGAGGCTGCAGCCGAGTGAGGGAGAGAGAGGCCAGCTGGGCCCAGGGGCAGTGGAGCAACAGGGTCCAGGCGGTCTGCGCCTCATGGGCCATCCCTTGTAAGGCCTCTGGTTTTCCTCTGAGTGACATGCAGGTCATTGCATGACAAGAGGAAGCTCAAGATTTGACTTAGATTTCAAAGGACTATGCAGGCAGCCATGTTAAAAATGGTCTTGATGCTGTGATGCGGCTGGACTTCGCACCACAGGATTCGATGAGGAAAGAGAAGTGCTCCTAAAACTCTCCCAGGAGGCAGTCAGAAGAAACAGCCTGTGAGTGGCAGCCAGACTTGGGGCCAGTGTCAGGAACCGTCCCAGATGGGTGGTGCCCCGTGACCCCTTCCACGAGGTCCTCCCACCACCGCAACCCGTGCACGCCGGCGCTGACCGCTCTTGCCTCTCCCCAGGAGGTGCTGGCCTATTCCAACCGCTCAGCCAGAGGCCGGGCATTTCGGAACCACCTGACGGACCTGTCGACCCGCAGCACCCTCTTTGTGCCGCACAACGGCGGGCTGGGGGAGAACCAGGTGAGGCGGGCGCCGGCTGTCTGTGCTTCAGACTAGTGCTTCGACAGGATCCGTTATCTGTCCCCACAAAGCACCCCAAAACTCAGTGGCCACTCAGGTACTCGGCTCACACATCTGCAGGTCAGCTGGCCATCGTGGTCCTGGCCAGGCCTGCTCACGGGTCTGTGATGGCCTGGCCGTCCGCCGACAGAGGCCTCCCGTCCTCCAGCACATTAGCCCAGACACGTTCTCATGGCGCTGGAAGCAAGTGGTCATTGGGAACAAGCCCCCATTGGGTCGCATCGGCTAACAGTCCCCTGGGCCCGCAGGTCAGGCGGCTGAGCCCAAAGTCAGAGCAGGAAGCACTCAGCGTTATATGGCAAAGGGCATGAATGCAGGAGAGGTGAAGAAGCAGAGCCCCAGATGCAGTCAGCCCGGCACACTAGCCATCCTCACATCCGGATGTGCGAAGAGATGGCAGTTCCACACAGGTGACTGACCACAGGCTCTGGCAGCCCCCAGCCCTGTGCCATCGAGGGGCTGAGAGGAGTGGGACATCTGCCCACGGTTACCC